CCGACAATAACTACGGGGAACTGTAAGATTGTTAAGATTGCAATATTTATTTATAAATGTGTTACTGTTTCAGAGTACACTGTATGTTGTAGATAAATAAACATGCTTCAAAGTGCTTGTGAATAAGATTGCAGGTCACTAGCCAACAATATGGTGATATTTTGTACATTTTACAGTGCAAATAAGGTACACAATACTAACTACCACCACAATGTGAAAAGTGATCTCATTGGTTCTTTTTCTAAAGATGTTCCTGTCTTTGTTTCAAGTATTGAACGGGGTCTTGTTTTTGTACAGGGGTAGGGATCAGTCGACCTCCATGAAAACATATAGCTAAAAATGGAGGGAACCCATCATGCAACAAACTCAAAATTGCTAAAGGTTAGTGAGTCCATGTTCAGAGAGAAAACCAAACCAAATGTGAGGATGTTGGCTAGAAAACAAGAGCAGAATCTGGATTACAGCTCTCATAAATATCTCATTTTCTAATCAAGAGTATAAAAAGGATTATTAAGAAGATGGGAGACCTGCGCTGACTCCAAAAGGGAGAAGTAAATGGGCTGCACAGCCTGCACCAAAGCAATAGATATTTCTACTGATGATGGCAACTACATTGAGTATGTTCTGGGCTAATGTACAAAACTGTATCTCACCTAATTAAAAGTAGCTGCAGGACTGCTAAGATGGAGAGGACGGGTCAAACTGGTTCAAACTGGACGGCTGATCTGGGTAAAAGTGTAGCAATGCTCTCAGATTATATAAAAAAATTAAAATAAACAACTTTTTTTTCTCACATGCTTGAACTGTGACACCCATTATACCTGCTGTATAATTTCAAAACTGTATGGATGTCAATGGCAAAATATAAGGCTATTTTTGAAAACTACTTTTGGGGGCATTTCAGCTTTTATTTCACACAAGGTCATAACAGATGCACTTCATGGAGCCACTATCGAAGGACAGCAACTCAAAAATTGCTGACTGGCAACTTCTGAAGTTTGACAGATCCCTGAAAAAATGGTAGAAATAAAAAGGAAAATAATTTGGCTTCTTTGTGATATTTACAGCTACTCCTTCACTGAGGACGACGTTGGTTATAACCAGTGCTTTAAGTGCAAACCCATTAATATAATGTCTTAAATTTGTACACTTGAAGAAAGATAATGATGATTTTCATATTTATTGAAAAAATGACTTCAGTGTGTCGCACAAACAAAGTCCCCATTTCGGCATCATCACGCTTATACCTAATGTTCCTTCAAGCCGTATAAACTGAATACAGCAGCTTTGGTGTGTGGTCTAAACGAGTCTTCAGGCCTTCACTGGAGGACTCTGGAGAGCGATGAAAGGGTGACTTCACTTTCATAGCACAACAGAGAAGAATACAGACCGGAGAGAATAAAAAAAAACTAAAGGCAGAAAAGGAAATTCAGAAAGGAAATGATATAAGATGAATCAATTCAGTCCTCCAGCTTTGCTTCAGTTGTGCCAACATTGATATTAGCTTCTTTGCGCTCAGACTTTTCCAGAACTGTAAAGACTTACAAGTTTGCATTAGTTTGACTTAACTCTCTGGTGGAATACAAGTGACACTCATGTAACACCTACAAAAGGACATGAGTGTCACTTGGTGCATAATAATTAATGTCCTTTAGGTCCAATAACGAATCTGCAAAAGAAACTGTCATACAGGGAGGATAAAAAAAGGATACTGGTATCTGAAAAGAAATCCTGAATATATTTCTGTACAGCTTAGGAGACCTTTCCAGTCCATTTAAAGCACTGGTTATGACATGAATTTCGTACCTTCCTCTTATGCCACAAAGGCACATTTTTTCCACCTACCTCTCTGAGACATTTATTATTATTATTTTTTGGGAAATGAACGCCTAATACCATCCAGCAAACCATTTCTGACCATTGTCTTCATTTTTAACCATTTTTAAATGGTAGAAAACATTGATCATTGAAAATTGTCTTCAAGGGAATGTTGTATTTACGCAAAAACATAACATTAATGCATAGGGCATTATTTTTGACAACACAGTTCAGTTTTGTGTCAACAAAGGATCTGGATTTATCTGAGGTTGCCGTATGAAAACTAAAAAAAAAAGCCCCTTCTCAAATGAGACCAAAGTGAGGGGAATATGACCTTCAAACTCTTCAGTTCTGCACACAGCCACAAACATTTAATTTCTTATTTTAATATTGAGAATTAATAATTCAGTTTGCCCCACTCCTCTTTGATGAAGCACTTGTAAAGCAATAGTTCAGCCAGCAGAAAACAACAGGACCTCAACAATGGTTACATTTAACTGTACTGAGAATTAGAAAAAAAAGTATTAATGAACAAACACACACATGATCTAAGTTTTCGTAAAGGTTGGGGGTGTGGGGAGATGCACCAGGACAGCAGTTAAATTTATTACAAGAAGATAAGATGCAAGTGGACACAAACCCTTTTGTTTGTTTCTTTTTCTGCTGTTGTCATTGTTTAGACATGGAGGCCAATAAAAACCCATAACCCAAAACTTACAGTCTGCTTCTTTGTCTTTTAATATTCTTTGACTGAATTTTTCATTAAATGCATAACTTTTGTTTATGAGAAGTACAAATGGCTCTGGTAGGTTCAGTAGAGAGGGGATTTGAGTCTATAGAGTAACGGGTTTATTGAGACATGCTGTTATTTTAACGTGTTCTCTCTGTAATTGGTCTTATTCAGCTGTAGTAAGGAAAACTGTTGAGACAGACAGCACTTTCAGTTCTTTGCTGAACAAAATTATTGTAATTATTGTAATCTTGCTGATTGTTCCAGTTGGCTGAGACTTAAAGTTTACTTTCTGCAGCTCATGAATGCCAAGCTTCAGACTTCAAAAACAGAATCCCAGATGCCACTGAAAATGTTCCCCCTGGCTATTCCTACAACAGTCTGTGTAGTTATAGCATTAGGGCCTGTGTCCACAGCTAGTGTCGGCGTCAGTGCTCAGCATCCTCAGCTGGAAAAAACCCTCGATATCAGCTGTTTTTGTGTCACTGAGCTCACAGACTTTCAGGAAATAGTTCAACTTTGTTCATGTAACTGTGCTTGTCAATGTGTTGTTTCCATCACTGACCAATCCAAATCAAGAAGGGGCAGGACTTCTGATATCAACTTTGTCAGCAGCAATGGTGGAGAAGTAACTTATCAGACTTCTGTCAGTATCATATATTAATGCTTTAAATTGCTCTTTGCAGCAGTATTAATTTACATTATCTGGGTTAAGCATCTTGTTGCTGGTCTCATCCCTTTTTGTTCTTACTTCAGATTAAAAAGGGGGTAAGACAATATCTAATGGGTAAGCCTGCTAGAGGATGCTCAGGTGAGGAGGATATGTTTGTCATGGGACTGTGGAAATCAGTACAGCCAGAGCTACCTGCTCGAAGTAGTTTGCAGGGTTTGCTCTTTTTGTTTGTTAAGAGTATAATTTTAAGGTCCTAACTGCTGCAAATACCAGGAAACAATGTCTCTTTCACTGTTTTGTGTAGTTTTCTTTGTATGTTGTAAAAGGTTCTTCAATAGATGCAAATATTAAGCATGCTCAACATCTGAAAACAGGTTTAATAGTCTGGGAAGCAAAAGTGAAAAGCCAGTGAGATATTTTTTAGACCTACTAACAGTAAGTGCGAGCAAGGAGTGCTTTAAAACTGAGTTTGTGTGTAAAAAAAAATGTAATTAGTGGACACAGGCCTTTAAGGGTTGAAACTGATGGTTTGAACAGAAGGAGGTTTGGTGGTTTTGCTTAACAAACACTGTGTCACAGTGGCTGAAGCCTTAATTTAGATTAGGTCACGTGTGTCGTGGAGGACTAAGAGACAACAGCAGCTGATTGGCGCTCCTACAGTAAAAGAGGAGAGGTTATTAAAACCCACTTCTTAAAATTTTCAGACATTTTGAAGAGCCGGGCTTGAACAGATGCAATCAGTGCTGATCTCTGTCTGTCTGAGAACAATGCTGGTACCAGCTGGTTTTGAACTGTGTCCAACTCAAGCTGATGTCAAAGCCTGCAATTATTTGCCACACGCATCTGCTGCAATGTATGATGGGAGGTTATTTAACCATTAGTTCCGAGCTATTTACCTTTTTTTTTTTTGTGGCACGTTTTTTTCATTCATAAAGCAGACGTGGGCTGCATGGTCAGGTATATTTAAAATGAGGTGTTTACCCCTGGAGACAACAGATTCTTTGAGATCACTTCTTAATTTTACCTGGGCTTTAAATGCTGGGTTTGTGTGGACTGCTGCTTGGATGCCTAGTGGGAGTCATGATGATGGAGAGTGATTTACATGGGAAGTTAATTAAGATAATGCTTTGTGGCTCACCCGGATTACCAGGAATAAGTATGAATTTAGATATCCATGATAAAATTTATATTTGATCCAAAATGCGTACATCCCCTCGTGGTTGACTGCCCAGCCCACCATCCTTGAGTGTGTGCATCATAAAATCTGTAATGTATAATGTAGAATGAAAGTTTTCCGTCAGACAGGAGAACGAATCGTGATGTCTAATGTGGACATCACAGTCTTCGGGCTGGTCAGTCAATGTCCTCTTGAAACAATTTCATCACATTGGTCAATTCTTCACAAATGAAGTGGAAAATAGAGCCGGTATAACCTGCTGTGATACTTTTTTCATGTCCTTGAGGTAAAAACATTTCAGCCTCCTGAAATTGCTTTTGAAGTTTCTAGGGTGTTGCAAAGTTTGTCTCTATCAACATGATACTGTCACCGAGTTAGAGCCTGGTCAAATAGGCCAGTGTAATGTAAATTCCAAATCCACAGCATATCAATTGTAAATATATCAATTTAACATCCATCGCTAACAATATTGGTACAATGATATCATGATGTAATCCACGGACAGGCCGGAGACTCCAATTTCATAGCAGCTCTCCTCTCAATGGTTGTTACCAATGAAATGTGTGAAATAGCGCCCCTCTGGGTTGTAGTGACTGTGGTATGTGAATGATATGTTGTGGTCAAACATAGAACTGCACCCTCACAGAACACGCCACTTCGTCACAGTTACAGAGGGAGGGAAAGACAGGTAAAGTTATTAGAACAACTGGAAACAAATGGGTGAATTAACGAGGATTACATCGATGGACAAGTCCCGGGGGAAGAATTACGAAGAAAACAACTGCACAATAGCGTTACAACGAGCGCTCCAGTGTTTTAAGAACTGAAGGACTCGGTTTGAGATGGACTGCACGTGGACTATTGCTGTGTTTAAAGGCAAGGTGTCGACCACAGCTTCTCAAGGTGAGTCAAATTCACAAGTTGTCATCCCCTGAGTGCCGTCTGGTTGAGTTTTGGCCTTGGTATATTCCTGTGAACTATGTTTTTACTCGTGTTACTGCTGATATCCCACAAGGCCTGGCATAAAGTGAAACACTCAGTAGGCCTACTGCTGGGCTATTAACTGCTCCATGTATCCATTTGTGTATGTATACACATAATCAGGGCTCTCAAGTCTCACGCACTCAGCGTGAGACACACGCATTCCCACCTGTTCACACGCTCACACGCCACACATCGTATTTCTCACGCATTTAAATGAACATGGTGATGTCCACCAAGTTGCACCTCTTTATGGAACAGGTACGAATCAACTGAGTTCCTCCGAGAGTTCAGAAGCTGCGTGCCACGCGCAAGCCAATCAAATAAAGTATATCTACTGAACAGCCAATCAAAAAGCAGCATTGCTGTATCCGGGTAGATTTTGATATCTTGCGGTTTGACTACAGGAGAGGACAGACACTCGCCGTAATAGAGCAGGTTTTTATAAGGACGAGATAGACCCGATGATTACAGTAAGTCAGTAACCTACACATGCAGAGACCTCAACACCTCATGGCATATAAACTCATATGATAAACTAAAGCCCTATGCTATTGCTATTAACAGCTGTATTGACGGATTTAGCCTCCGTACAGCCATTTCCAGCCATTTTCCCCTCCACAAAAGCTGCATTTCTCATATATCTCAAATATAAGTTCTGATACTCATGACAGTGTAATGCTCATGTACCAAAGGATTAAGTATCTCCATGTTTGTGAAACCTATACTAAAGTAAAATTCATCTAAATGCTCCACAGTGCTGATTTTAAAAACGTTTTTTTCTAATTGTGCCCCTTGTGCTCCGTTGTATTTAAGAGATAATTATACTAATAGTTATCTTCACAGCAGGAAATCTCACTCTAAGCTTAGTTCAAAACTTGAGAGCCCTGCATAATTATTGGTAATTTGTGTAAATGTAGTGGTTTGGGGATTATATGTTACCAGCCTGGTGTCAGTATTGTTGATAATAGCTTAAAAAGTTCATTAGCAGATCTCTGCTGATACATACAGACCATAAGGCCACACATTTATCATGTGCATGCAGTTCAAGCTTACATGAGGCAGCAACTAGCTTCAGCATATTGGTGTGTATCTTAATATTGGCCAAAATGAGATTCTGAAATATTGGAATTATTGTTAAAAATCCAGTAAAAAGGGGGAGACTCAACAAAGAGTTTGTTTTTTTTGGACATCTGTCAACAACAGCAGCTGCTTGTTGTGAGGAAGATTTGTAGATTTGATTAATTTACTTCTTCCACTTGTAACTGTGTGTTTGATTTGTTTTGTTCGTCCAGCATCTTGTCTGTGCGTTTCGTCTAAAATTGAAGTGATCTCACCTGTTGGTTGGTAGCAAACATCATCCAGTAGAGGATATCTTGCAGTGATTCACATTGTTTTTTAAAATTGTACTTTCTCTGTCTTGTATTTTACATCTTAAGCCCCGAGAAAATGCTGGTGGCAGGTTTTAAACTGCAGCACTTTCTTGATATCTGTATTTAGTGGCATTCATTTTCAAATATTAAGTTATTAAATGACATTTGTTTTGGACACTTTTAAACTTTTTATAGTTAGAGATCTAAGAGTGTCAGCCAGTCTGTGTGACATTAAAACATTCAAAATCAAGTATGTGCTGCACTTTTTAAGCCCTTGTGAAATTAGAGCCCAGAGCAGCTATTAGAGAGTCCAGACTTGAGGGGGGATAATAGATCCTTATTACACTTTCGGAGTAATAGGGTCACATCCAACTACATTTCTTTAAGTTTCCTCTCATTTTCCTCTATCTAGAACCTTTTAGATGTTGTTAAAATGTTTCTGCGTATCGTGCTTATGGGTGTATTTGGATACATACAACAAGTAAGAGTGAAATGATAGGAAAAACCTCCATAGTGGGGTTGTTTGTGTTCACTATGGATGTTGTATGTATATTACATCTGAGTATTAGTGTGTTTGAAGGTGTGTGTGTGTCAGAGAGTGCATTCATGTATGATGTATGACATGATGACACTGTTTTTTGCTGTAATAATAAAATAGAGTCATTTTCGAGAGAGAGAGCTCAGTAATGACAGCATTACCGTCACCTTGTCAAAATAGACCTGCTGTGTTTTTGTCCATTAAGGTAAATATACTTGCTACAATTTCTTACATGCTTTCAGGGCATGTACATAAACACACGTAACAGACACAGGCAGGACCAAAACACACACCTGTTATCGCTTTTGCAGGAAGAAACATATCATCAGGTCTAATCCCGAATAACCCTGTGAAAAATCCCGGACATACGCTTTGTGTCTCACTGGCACAACTTCATATGAGCCCTCTTCCAAGTGAAAAATGTTATATGATAAGACCTTTTTAATTTTACCCAATGATAAGGAAAAGAGTTTCTTTGCTGCTGTAAAATCTCCTAAAGCTTTGGATACAGTGTCATTCTTAATGAAAGGAAAGAAGAAAATACGACCCATTAATCTTTGCTCCAACTATGTATAAATGTATGTTTTTTTCAACTGTGCATGATAACAAACGATCAGTATGCAGCAGCTGGTTGGATCCATCTTCACTTGATTGAACAATAATTATAATTTAATGAAACTCATGATTCATGTGGATGAGAAGAACATGTTTCTTGCAGCGTGACAAACACTTTACTTCAGATAACTTATACACCAGTACTTCTAGTGTAGTTCTGATTAGGCATGTGCCGATATGAAAAAATTGATTTCATGATATTGGTGGCCCAAAATATCACGATTCACCAATATTATCACGATATTAGCGCATTGCTTTTAACGTTATTAAAGATGGCAAAAAACTGCGAAATCACTTCTCTGTGCACAGCATGACACGCACAAACAATATGGGCAAGATACCTGCTCCGTCTGTTTTGTGAGGCCGTAAAATGTCCATACTGCCGACGAAACCTTTTTAATAGGAGGATACAGCCAAGGCGTTTCGTCATTCTCAGTCTCTGACTGTTCTTGGTCCGGTGTTATGCCATAGAATGCACCCCTGCCGTTGAATGCGCCCCTGATGGGAGCGCGGTTAAAAGTACATCACAGGGCTAAATAATCCAAGTTTTCCTTAGTGTTGGGTGGATTCAAAAGCCTTTAATGATTTCATTCAGACTATTCAGATAAGCCGAAAACAATAGCTCTCTGATTCGGAATATTTGCTGTCCCGAAAATATAATGCTCTCTACCTTGACAGCTTACTGTACAGTTTATGTACCCAAGTACATCTTTATATGTGCATTTTTGGACACATAAAAACAGAACGAAAGTTTGCTGCTCCATTTGACATGTTGTCATGATCCAATACTCGTGTTTTTAAAATATCAGATCACATCTCCTCCACTTTAAGAAGCTAATGAGCGGATGGGATGCATGCATTTTGTTGTAAAATTTCTTCATTTTCTCTTTTAATGTTCCTGTTTTTGTCAGGCTGGCATTAATGTACTTAATTCGAAAGTTTGTTTTTGATTTGGGACTACTTTTGTGGTGCTTTGTTTGTACTTTTTGCTACCGAGGCTTTGACACCGTGGGTAAGACTACAAGCGGGTTAGGTTGGTAAGTACTCGGCTTCGCTCATCTCCGCTGAGTGACGCGGCCACTCGTCTTTAAATTATAATTGTGGAACGACTATTACAGTACCTTACTATTTCACCATTGTGGCCGTTTAATATCGAATATTGCAATTAAATCGTATATCGACACATCCCCAGTTCTGATCAGACAGTAATTCAGAAAGTACCTATGATATTTATATATTCATATAATATCAATCATTACTGTTCAAGTTTACCCACTTAGCTAAGATTAGGTGTGATTTCTGTAGTTTTATTGATGATGATGCTTACAGATAAAACATGATCATTGGTGTGTCATACTGAAAGTAAATAAGAGAAATAAATACTCATTTAATAAGTGCAACAATTTTTTTTCAGTAAACAGTGCATTTTGTACAAGTTGAAAGTAACATTAGAAACAGGCTAATGGCCTGTTTAAATCTTTCATTTATAGGAAGGCAACAAAACAGGAAATTATTTTATATGTATGTACAGTTGAATAAAAGATAAAAAAAAATCATCCATCAAATGATATCAAGTGTGCATTTTAAACATGTAACAAACAACATAAAATAAACCTTTTAAGGTGCTCTCAGTTCTTCAGGCTGTCAGCAGTTTCAGGTTATTTCATCCTGAGCAAGACGGTCTGCCTCATAAACATGTAAAAACCTGATAATGTCACCAAGTTTGTGGCTGCACGAAACAGCGTGGTAAAACGCATCAAGCCTTTGTAGGCTTAGTGGACTGCAGGGCCTGTTTTCCTCACTTACGGCTAAGACTGAACGATATATCCTTTGAACGTCGAAATTGCAATATGTACAGGCAGGATGTGCAATATCAGTCACATGACATGAAACATGCCATGCTGTCACTGTTTCCTCGTCAAGAAGCTATCATGCACTGCAAGCACTTTAAAGCCTGTGCAGTTGCAGGGAATACTGTGTTTGCTATAGAATTAATTTGTATTTAATATAAGAGCTTGACTAAACACATAGAGAGTGCTATGACAGATTTACAGGAACATTTTATTTTTGTGGGCTGCTTCTAAAGTTTCACTCATGCTCCTCACGTTTAAGGTTTAGAGCACCAGTGCTGTTTGGTGGAAAAGTTTAGTTTGACTCCTTTCTCCGCAGTTCTTGGAGTGAAGCAAAAAAGTTAAAGGTACAGTTACCACCACTGTTTTGGATGGGGAGAGACTTGATTTGACAAAGATATCCATCTAGACTTGAAAACAAAGACTTGTAAAACCCTTGTCTGAGTAACTTGGGATGCAGATAAGACTTTCAGTACATACATCCAACTTGTGTGTCAGTATTAGACAGAAAACAGGGATTATAAATTGGAATTGCTTAGACTGTGTTATGGATTTTTCCACTCTTTCCTGATCAGCTGGACCTGTTTTTGTCTGATATTCTTAGTTTTTTCTCGAAGATCTTTCTTTCACCCTAAACCTCCACATCTTAGACCATCTTCCTCACTCTTACACATATCGCCCCTCTCTTCTTCTCTGTCAGAGTCAAATTTGTTTATGCACATATAGTATTGCTCTCCAATTTGGAGCTGCGTTCCATTAACATGTGTTTTGTCCGTCCCTGCAGGCTCTGCTCTGCTTCACAGGTTGATTTACAGCTCTTATCAAATACATATTGCCAAGCGAGTGAGACGTGCAACCTTTCATTTGCACGCCGCCGCCCTGCAAATTCGACACGCTACATTAACAAGAAAAATGACTGCTGCTATGCATGCCAAGAACCTGTGTATGTGAGTGCGAGTGTGTGTTTGAGAGCAGAGGAGTGAGAAAGAAAGATGAATAAAAGGGTTACAGAAGGAAATACTGTTAAGTGAGTGTGTGAGTGTAAGCTTTAGCCCCAGTGTGGTTGAGTGAACGAGAGAGAAAGAGTTCAGATGTTTAAAGTTGTTTAATTTATCGTTGCAAGCGTGTGTCAGCTCAACAGTGATTTAGAGTGTGTTTAACATAAGTGAGACATTTCCTGGTAACCCACCAATGAACAAACAAACCAGTCGAGCTAAAGTTTAAAAGACTAAGAGATGAAATAAATTAAATGGACACTCAAATGTTTTTAATTGATCTGGTTGTTTTTCAAGCATAAAAACCACTTAAATACAAATCGTTCATTTGTGCACTAATTAAAATTTGGTTCCTATTTTGTTGTCCATCCTTGAAAGTTCGTTATTTCAGATCAAATTTGTATCTTTTTTTCTTGTATTGTGACCTTTTACAAATTTTCAGGACAAACTAAACCATCCCATCATATTTGAGACTGATGGTAGTGTGTTTACTCTTAAATCCAGGGACAAAGACCTACCTACTAAGCCACTACACAAACACAGCAACAAGGAGGTTATATGATCAAATTGTAAAGTATTGGCATGGGTTGGTTTCTATGACTGTGTCTTTATAATTGCAGCAATTGCAATTGTGATGTTAGAATATGCAATTACGTAACTGAACAAAAGGCTGCAATTTACATTTGAAAGAGATGTGCGTGAGTGTCTGTAACATTACAACCAGTTTTCTGATTGTTGAAGTCTGTTTGGTGATTCCAACCAGCTACTCTGTGCATGTGTGTGTATGTGTAAATATATTTATATATATATAAATATATGCGTATGCTTGTGAAGTGTGTTTGTATGCAAACACAATGTTTGCTGTATCTAAATAATTTTGACCTTGAACAGGAAAGGTGCTGTGGAAAACTTCTAATTTAAAGTTTGTTGGTAGTGGTTTACCAATTTATCAACTAATCCACCAGTCAACTAGATGTTTGAAATTGAAAACCACAACTGACATTGTGCAGTGGGACCATCATTTCTGCATCTATGCTCAATGTTTGAGAGTAAGAAATACCTAAGGTTAACAGAAGTGCTACAATGTCCTGTCTTTGCTTACTGACTTACTGCATTTAGTTTCAAGGGGTAAAAACACAATCAAACCTGCATTTAACTTTTAAACAGTTATTTTGAGGACAGGACTGAACAAGCCTAAATTCTTTTGTATTGTCAAAATGTATTCACATGGTATTTTTTGCTTACAATTTATTGAATTAGGGGTAAGCAGATAGCCCAGCAAGTAGGGGGTGTGCCCATGTATGTACCTGCAGCAATCACGGGTTTGAACCCAGCCCTGACCCTGTGCTTCATGCCCCCCCACCCCCATCCAATAAAGGCAAAAATGCCCGAAGAATACTTTTAAGGTATAAAAAATAGGATTGAATTGAAACTCAAATTTTAAAACTTAAAGCAATCTCTGCCAATTCTTTGACAACCAAGCAAAAAGTGTTACAATATCATTTATTTTATTACAGTCCTAAATCGCAGTATTGTCTACTATATTCGTAGTTGCACAGTTTGACCAAATTATGCTGTACTTTTTATTTTCCATTAGAATTGTATACATACCAAAGGTATTCATGTTCCTGTATTTGTTTGGTACTTCGTTTGGCACAAACATAGACTGTATATACTATGGACAACTTGGTTCCGCCTCCCGCCTGTACACAGATTTGAAGCCAAAAAGCTCTCGATATTTCTGGGATTTTTCTTCATTTCCTGAAACCAGTGCTGCGCATTCGGCAGTAGAGTCGCCGAGAGTCGCTGTGATGACGCTTGGCTCAAACTGCGTATCCCCTGGGTGAGCTACACAATCCCTGAACGCCAATAGGCTGTATCAGGTGTCAATCATAGCAAACATGAACCCCCTAATAACTTTTAAATACAGAGTTTCACAGAAAAAAGAGGACTTGAGCACAAACCAGTCTCACTGTAACTACATGTCAACAACGCAAGCTGGGGGGAGAAAAATTTATGTTCTGTGTAATACATTTCTAAATTTGTCCACAGCCCTATAAGCTTTGCTGGCGGAGGCGGGATTTATGACCTATACTGCAGCCCATCAACAGAGGGTGCTGTTCTCGGAGTGGCTTCACTCAGCAAGGAGGCAGACGGCGTCCATTCTATATACAGTCTATGGGCACAAATTTCTATAAGAGCCTTAAGCACACCCATTGCTATGGGTGGGCCATAGGAGCCCAGGCCCCTTGCCCACCCCCCAAAAGGATTGCGCCCTCCCCACTTGTGAAATAGGCATGGGCTTAAATAAATAATGATGAAGATCTTTGTCATTTTTGCTGTTTGTTATGTTAAACATGATGATAGCATTGATTGGCTAATCTTGCAAGTGCGCTCATTCCAGTGCCAATCCCCTCTATTTCCTTTTAGTTAACAATTCTAAAATCGGGGGAAAAAGAAGGTGGAACAAGAGACTTGGCTGATGAGAGTGTCTTTCTGCTAGCGGCATTCTCCAAGTGCAGTAAATCAGGCTACATGCTCCAATGCTCTCAGCTGCAAAGGTGGTGCTGTCACAGCGCTGTCCGTGGTGCTGAAGATGACAGCAGGTTATTTTGACTTGATTTAAATTCAACATCCGGTTTATTCATTGTATTGTATTGTTAAGTATCGTATTCTTAGCATCATTTTTTAAAAGCCAATTGTTTATAGAACTCGCAGTACACCTACTTGGTGAGAGTTATCAAATCAGTGTGACAATATATCAAATCTGAGACCAATTTTACTTATATGGACTTGCTCAAATGATGTGATTCTTGAATAAACCGGGACACACACAAAAAAGGAGAGTTATAATAATTGTGCCCTCCTATGTATTTCATATTTCCCCCTATAGACAGAGGTCTGGTGAGGAAGTGCTGTTATTTGCTGATAATCCCAATAGTTTTTATTGATTTTTAAACTAGAAATCACTTTAGACTGTTGTTAACAACAGACTTTGGCACCTCTGTCGTAGATGAATCTTTTAGCATAGCCAGCAGTTACTGATCCTACTTATTAAAAAAGTATTAACCCTTTTCCAGTCTGATTGATTTTCGAGATGCACCAATGTTTCAGTTGTGTCACAGAAGTACAAACAATTTGCAAGAGCCCTGAGAAGAAACTGATTATAATGGAGCAGCAGCAGTGGCTTTAGTGCTTCAGGAGAGTGTTGCCTTTACAGTTTCCTTCTGCTTGCTGTTATTTAGGGGCAATTATTGGATCTGAAAAAAAGTTTTCCATCTGCAAACCTCGCTGCTCTGCAAAAATGAAATCACTGACTGTAAATGACATGAGACTCTGAGGTACTTGTGAGTCCATTAGGAAAGCTGACTTATTCTGGTGTACCCATCTATCCTGTTTAAATTGATAAATGGCCAGTCAGGGAGTTTATTGCAAAGCTGTTTCTTTGCTCTCAAGCTTTTACAAACTCTTGTGTTATAACTGTTACGAGGATCATATAGATTTTATCACAAATGATAACTTACATTAAACCTTAACTAAAAACCATCTTAACAACCTTTTTGTGCAAGTGTGTATCTGGAGCTTTGTGGGGGTACACTTAATCAGGGCCCGTCTTTGGTCTGGGGTCGGTATCAGGAATTTAGAGGGAAAGGTACGTCTACAGAGAATGAATACACTGTAAAATATATACAAGCTCACACACACAGATCTGGAACAGTGTGCTGTAAATGTGTCTGAGAAGAGCAGTGAGTCAAACACACACTGACACACAAACAAGCAGAGCGGTGTAATTCATGGCCCATTAATCGCTATGCGACCTTCCTGAGGTGTTTGGTGATCCACAGCTTCTAGTGAGCTTGCAGGCTAATAGATGACACCCCACTGCGCACACACACACACACTAGAGCCTTTAAGCATGTTCACAAACCATGGTGCTAATAGATGTTGGTATTATTTATTGTTTACACACATTTTTATTACAGGTACACCCAGATAGACACACACACTCCAAACACAGACAACAAAGCTGAGGTGTGTGTCAGAGGTGCTGCAGCTTATGGCCTCCTTACATAATGCATACACAAGTGTACAACAAGAACACATGCATTGTGAGCAAAACATTGAATCGGACTCACAATACGGAGTAAAGTGTGCTGCACACTTACACCCAAAACAAGGAAATCCAACTACACACACACACACACACACACACACACACACACACACACACACACACACACAGTTAGTGTTCCTCTGCAGCTGGCTTGCCTGTACACACACATACACACTAAATGACAAGAGGGGTCATCTTAAGTTTTCTGCATAGACATACACTCACACCTCAGCCTGTAGTTCACCCCAACCCATACATCCCTATTAAAAATCCAGCAATGTCTGGCATGATTTATGACACAGCACATGTGTGTGATTACACACAACTGTGCTAATAGGCTATGTGAGGCTCATATGACTGTGTATGTGTGTGTGTGTATATATATATGTGTGTGTGTGTGTGGGTGTGTGATAAATGACATGTTCAGTCAGACTCAGAGCCCTTAATGACTCCTCATCCATTCAACTCCTCTCTACTGAATGACAACTGGAGATTCAAGAGAGCAGGAGAGACTTCAGATGAGGCACAGAAAGACGAAACAGAGAGGAATAAAGATCGAGGCAGACACACTGGTGGAAATGAAAAAAAGTAACAGAGGGTGACAGGGAATCATCTGGATTCTGCGTGTATCTCCTCTCTTTTGCTGAAACTTTTTGTGAATTCCCAAATTCTAAAGCTGCTCAACATTAAATGACACTTATCTGCTAGAGCAGACCTCATATCATGTTCATCAACATTGTGGGGCTGGATGTCTTGCATAAAAACTGAACTTATAACATTTTTTTGTTTGTTTTAAGGGGTACAAGACACTTAGTTTATGTGGAAGCTTTAAAGGAGGGATAGCCTCATAAAAAAGTCATATGTGGTGCTCTTGTTTTGAATACACCCAGGGGCCTTTTTGGTTTTGATGAAAGTGTGCTTTTATTTTGAAGGAATGCTTCCGTTAGATTATAAAACTACAAGAGTGAGGGGGCTTTCACACCTACGTCGTTTAGTCCAGATTTTTGGACTTTTCTGTTTAGTCTGAACCAAAATGATAGGTGTGAAACCTCCCCAGGACCTTGGTCCAAACAAAAAATGTGGTCTCTGTCTGGACCAAACTGAACCACGGTCTGTTTCATGCCCAGTGTGAAAGCATTATTTTGAAAGGTTCGGATCTTCGTACCAAAGTCAGTAATGATGTGAGGAGTACAAGAGTCTGTTATTATCCTGAATTGAGATTGTCCATGAACGGGAAATTTTACAATATTGTAGATTAAGTTATCTCTCACTATTGACAGTTTATCTTTTCAAGAGTTTTATAACATAGACTTTCTCTCCAAAGTCGGTGTTGCAGTAGCTTGCAGGATTGCATACTTTCTTCTTCTTTTTCATTGACAAACGATTAAGTTGTCATCTAATGATAAAATTTATTAAACAAACTCAGACCAGCCTCATGTATACCTCTTCAAGTTGTCGCTGTTGGTAGTTAAAAATTTCTAATTATATGATGGTGGAAATGACAATGTTATTCATGTTTACAACATTCAAGGCCCGTGTTATTCAATGTGTTGATGTCAGACACCTGCCGGTCAAATGACCAATCAGTATAAACTACAGAGACATGCAAACCACGTAGTTGATGACGATATCATGTAGTTTCGGTATGTAAAGTCTTTTAGTCCATTTGCAATAATGACGGTGTGAAACCTAAAGAGACCGAACCAAATGTGTGTATAATGTAACAAAAACATCGACCTTGGTTTGGACCTTGGTATGTCTTTGTCTAGTCAATAAAAGGCTGTTATATTGAGTCATTACTGTTACTTCAAATGTTTCATTCTGACAGCAAGTAATCAAAAATGGCTCAGTAATATCAATTCCAGTCACCACTGGTGGTTAAATGTGAAGCAGTAACAATCATTCAAGCTTACCATGAGTAAATCCCAATAACAGAACTAAAAATAAAATAAAATACATGTCCAAGCATGTGCCAGCACAACTATTAGTTTGCCAGTTTATGAGCTGAGAAAGTAGACTTTAAGGATCCAGTCTGGTAATGAGTCTCACCAGCATGATGCCATGTGCTTGGAATTCTTTCTGATGATAATTTCCACCAAGTTTTCTTTCTTGGCAGAAATCTGCTCATAGAGCTTTAACATCCAGCTGTCTGAATGCGATTCATTAAGTGTGCTGTTCTCACTAATTGCTTGGTTATATTACAACAACTCAGTACTTAAATGAAAAGAAAATTTGGCAGGGTTTTGCCTGTTTGCTGGCTTGTGTAAATATCATTAGTGATCGCCTGATAGGGTGTGGCACATGTTTCCAAAGTAGTTGAGGAAAACTACTGACGCTTCAGAGAAAGTTTCTGACTTGCAGTAGAAATGTGAGGCAGTGCGCGAATCCCATACTGCCACAATTTATATGTAGGACAATGCAATGAATCCTGGAGGAAAGTATTTTTCAAAATGGAAAAGACAGTGATCTGATTTTGCCATTGACAAGTGCAAATAAAAGCCTGGTTTCTAGCTCTCAAACTTAAGCAGAAGGAAAAAAAACTGAACCCAGAGTGCAGCCTTTTACAGCCTATATGACAAATGAAAAATCTGACCAAGACAGCTTGTGGACAATGTATCGTCCTGGCTAATGATACTACTGATCTTTTCAGACCTTTCTCTTCATCATCTCTTTTTTCAACTTCCTTGTCTTTTCCCACCTATCTCTTAACCCCTTCCTCAACCCCAACACCACCAACCATAGTTTGTAATGTCCTCTTTGATACACACCTTACTGCTGAGGTGTTTCTTTTCTCCCATGAAGGCTCAGCTCCTTGCTGTTGAACATACGGTAACATGCACAACACCTGACGTCTGTATGTCACTGTTTGATTCCCCCTCTGTCAGTGTGGGAATGTTTCTGTGTATGTTTGACTCTATGAATTTAAGAGCATGCGAATTCCCCCTTGAGAGTCTGTGACTTTTTACCCTTAGTGTGCGTGTGGATGTGAGTGTGTGTACTGCTGCAGGTGCTATATTTTCATGTGTGCGCATGTCTTTGTGCTTCCATACTATATGTTTGTGTGTATTTGTGCGTGCATGTTTGTTCCTGTATCTCTGGTGGTCCTACAAATAGCTGTTACAAATTACACCCCAGCATCAGCTATCTATCTACGTGTATGTGTTTCCTGCAGATGTGTGTGAGAGTGTGTGTTTATGTGCGTGCCATCCCCACATGACCATTCTTGGTGAAAATTACTTTTCTTTGCTACGCTTGACGTTCCTCTACACTCATTTTTTTCTCTCTCATCCTCCCTTCAGGTTGCTCTGTGCCTTGATACTGTAAGACTTATTTACATTCACAGCCAGGCTCAATCCCGCGGGAGTCCCACAGTCGTCCAGCGTGTTGTCTTGACAGAGACAAGCGATGCTTTGTGCTGCGGGCCTATCCTGCCTCTCTTAAGTTTTGGCTCAGTTTGTCTCCTTCTCTTTCTGGGTTGCAATTCCTCTCCCTCTATTTCTCTCTTTTCCTTTTGCTCTCTCTCTCTCTCTCTTTCCCTCTTCTTTTTGTCTGCTGAACTCAGACATTACATCAGCTGTACTATAGTTATTTTTTGTATCAACAATTTCCCTAAAGGGACAAAAAATAACAACCAAATTTTCAAAGTATTTCCTGTTCTGCTGCAGCCTGATTTAGCTCATGCTTCTCTCTTATTTAGCTCTACTGTAGTGCAAATATATACACATACATAAATACATATTAGGGCTGTCAGGTAAACCGAAAATATACCGATACTGAAATTTATGACAATAACTGACTTCATTTTTCCAATGTCAGTATATTTGGTGTCATAGAAATAAATAAATAAAACTTTGTTTTGGATGTGTGCAGGTAGGCTATGGTCTCATGTTCTTTAAGACGCTGTCCTTGTTGTAGACGTGACTCCACCCCATCCAGTCTGTGACAAAGAGGGAAAGATAGGTGAGGAGATGGAGGACGGTTCAAAAGTTGTAGCAGCTGGAGCGGTGTCTGAAGTGGACGAGTATAATGTGGGAGGGGGTGAGCAGCTTGTGGAGAAGTTATTGTCCATTTATTGTTATTGAGGTGAACTGCTCAGTATATCATATTGATTTGAGGCCATATTACCCAGCCCTAATATATATATTTTTTGCATGTTTTGTACGAGAGAGTGGATGTGTGTGTTGGTGTGTGTGTGTGTGTGTTTATGTGCACGGTTTTTCTGCATGTAAGAGGGCCTAGTTCCTCCTTAAAAATCAAACTAACAGGCATACACCTTGGTACACACTTGCAGGAAGTAGCCAGATTCTGTTTAGCTTGACCCACATATGAAGCTCCTAAATCTTCACCAAATTGGAAATCTGTTACCATTCACAGGTTCCCAAACATGGAAAACATTTTATAATCTGCTTAATATGGAGCTTAATTTAGTAGCTGTATTCATGTTTGGTGCAGACAGGTGAAGAACAGAGGAGAGATATATGGTGATGTCCAATGACCTGTTGACTGTTAACAGACTCACAGACTGCGCTAGACACTTGAACTGTAATTAAGATGACTAAGACTACTTCATTTTGACTTTCTTTGTAGCCTTTTATAACAATCAATAGTATTTCAAGTGTTTATTATTTAGACTTGTTTGCACAGTTGAAATTAAAAGCTATATTTACTTTACTTCTTGTTCCACTACTAAAGTTTCTGTTTCCATAATCTTGAAACTGATGTAATGTTTCATTTTTGCAGCCTAAAAATTTAAAATCATAAAAATCCAAACTACCTACATTGTTCCTATGTCTATCCATCAGCCTACTCTCTGCTCTCCCAAAACTGCAAAACCCCGAAACACCAATGACAGTAAAATTATGGCCTAGTAATTGCAGCGGTGTTAGGTTTGGTCCTGGGATACCATCCGTCTCCAGGCAGCCGAAGTACATTTCAGGAAGCAACCACTGGAACTGATTTACCACCAAATTTATTTGAGGTTCCACTCTCTACTTCCGTTTGATTTTCGAGTTTTCCAGTTATTCTTTCCTTCCTTTTCACAACCCTCTGTTATGTTTTATCCCTTTAATCTAGTGTTTTTTTTTCCTTCTTCTGTTGATCCTCATCACTTTATTGTTCCTGTCAGTTTGGTTTTCAGACTATTGAGTAAGTAGTAAAGTTGGTTTACAGCTCTGTTAAAGCTCCTGAGAATGACCTCTTTACTTGGACTAATTAAGTTGTAGTTAGGCCACATAAATTCAAGGCATAGTATAATTTGGATATAAAAAGTGTTTTTGTGTTCAAGGTGAGGTTAATCAGATCAACAGAGTGAGGAAGAATAACAGATGGATGGAGATTACACAGTGTGAAAATGTGTCCATATGTGTTTGTGTGCATGTGTGAGATATTTGCTTTGGGATGTGTGTATGCATTAAGTAAAAAAGGTGCTTGTGAGCTGGCTGTGATATAAAGAGGATGGGTGGTGTTTGGGATTTCATTTGTGTGTGTGTTTGTGTGATATCAGTGAAGTTTGAGCCCTCTCCTTTTTGAGAGGTTGATGGGATGTTATGTTCCATTTTAGGAGGCAGCCATGCTTGTAAATGGCTTGATGTTGTTTTGCTGCAGCAGAGGGAGAAACATGCACAAGAGATGAAAAGTGTTTGAAAATGAAGAAAAATGAACGACAAAAGGTGAAAGTGGGCTGATTCAGAAAGGAGTATCTCCTTTCTTGCTCTTTCTCTTTCTCTTTCTCCACCCCCTCTCCTTCAGCTGGGTGATTGTGGCTTGCCACTGTTTTTGATTGTGCAGAAAAGCACATCTTTTTCTTTTCTTGTCAGTTTCCCCTCTCTGAACGCTTTCTTAAATCGCCAGATCAAAGCGGGAACCTCAAAATTTTTTGGCGCACAGACGAGTGAGCAGAGAAATAGTTTCTGGACCGAATCATTTCCCCTCAAGTGACACGTCTGTCTCTGTTTTGGTTTGCTATCAAAGAAAAGGAAATTCTTTTATTTCACAGGCTAAGAGTACTGACACTATCAAACAGGCGTGAGCAGGAGAAGACGTCGTTCCTGCTTTAGAAGTTTCCTTTGCTGGCACCAAGTTGTGTTTCTTTATTTATGACATGTCAAATGTATGTCAGAGGACCAGGTTATGAAACAAGAAATATTTGTTGTAGAGTTTTTGACACAATGTATTTGGGCTGAAACGATTCCTGGAGTACCTCGAGTACCTTTAGGGGCATGATAAAAGTTAATATCATAATTAGCTTTCTTACGAGCATTTCAATCAGCTATCGCACACGCTTGTTCCACGTTCCTTGTTTCTAAAAAAGGAAATCAATTGATTGTTTATCATTAAGTTATTTTCTCTTGTACATTAATAATTGCACTTTAACTAAAAAAAAAAAGTTTTTTTCCAAATACTCGATGGAATATTCCGTAGAATACGTGGTTAGTAAAATAATTGATTGCTGCATCCCTACAATGTATGATCCTAACGGTTATATTGACCCCTCATTGTCTTTAATTCAGTCATATCTCCGGAATAACAAACACAAGACACCAGGGTTGAGATATACAATGTGTATGAATGTGAAGTCGTCACATTGCAAAGTATGCAGTGTTAACGATATGACCTAAAAGATATCATGCTGTCACCACTGTCGTGTTTTCCATAATAGATGTGCAATCAAAAGCTGCCTGATACCACTCTATTTAGAGCACACAGAGAACTGACCACTCTGAATGTAGAGTCTGGATTTGTTTATCACATGACCAGAGAAAGTAAACCGGCACACAGCGCTGCTGTCATCACAAATAGTCATGCAAGGACTCGACTAAGGGAGAGGACATCTAAGACGGTGGTTTCCAGAGTGGATTTGTGAAGGGTTAAAAAGTACTGCAGTGGTCAATAGAGTTGCCTCATATTAAAAAAGGTTTTGGGTTCAAGTCCCATGCAGGCTGAACAGGGGCTTCTCTGGGCAGTCCAAAGACATGTCTGTGAGGTTAATTGGCTGATTAAGATTGTCTGTAGGTGTGAGTGTGTGTACATAGTTGTCTGTACTGTATGTCAGCCCTGTGATGGACTGGCAGCCTGTTCATGTTGCACCCCACGTCTAACCCACTGACAGCTGGGATCGGCTCTAGCCCCCTCAAAAATCTGGTAGTTTGGATCACAGATCAGAGACTTCAAATCCAGGATTTGTGTTACAAATCTTTCAGATCAGCCAAAAACAAAACAAACCATAAATGAGACACTTTAAAAAGAAAAATGTTCCACTCTTTGCAAAGACTTTAACTGTGCGGTTTGAAGGCAGAACGTAATGATGCATTTCATCAATGTATTACATGTCTCACTTCTTTTTTTCATTATAAACATATACACAGCATGCATCAAGCAAAGTGTGTATATCTTATAAGATGGATGAGTTTATATGTTTTGGTATTTTCAAATAACTGCACACACACTAAGAGTGAGACGAGAAACGTCAACGAACTGTTTGATAGAGTTGTCATAAAGAAAGAAATATGCACTCTTTATCACTCTGTCATTTTAGTTTGTGTGAAAGTTTGCATAACATTTAAATAACACACTGAGCTATCTTCAGAGTCAGGCTGCAGAACTCTATGGTACCCTCCCCTTTTGGATCTTTCCCGGAGATCACTTATGAAAATCTTTGAAATGAAGTTGTTGAGCAGTGGTATTTGACTTTATTTTCCAACATTGGACTGATTGAGTAGAAAGGAGAGTGGTGAAATATTGCAGCACCAAACCCCACTACAATGTAATCATGTTAGTGTACAGATTCTATAGGAGACTGAATTTATTTGAGGTTAAAGAAACCTTAAGAGCAAGCTAGCAAAACTAAAGTTTGTGTTCTGCCCCGATGTCGCTGTGCCAGGTGGCCACTTTCATCCCGCCAACCCCCTTCTCTTTTCCCCTCTGTGCTGACTTTGTCTTCTCCCTCCATCTTTCTCTCTGATCTTCTGTCTTCCCTCTTTCTTCTACCCCCAAACTCCCTCTTCTCTCTATTCTCTGTCCAGGTGAATAATGTCACGTCAGAACAATGGCCTATTGTGTTTTATTGAGCCGCCCATGTCCTGCTCTCCATTTCTCTCTCCCCATATTCAGTGTGCCTTTGTCTCCCTCCCCATTTCTATTGGTCTTTATTTGTGCTGGATGGACATTTGGATAGATGGAGAAATAATAAAAAAATGCAACAGAAATGAAATAGATAAAGAGGAATCTAGGCAGGGAGATTAGCAAAGGCTATATCCATATCAGTTCAACCTGGGACGGACGACATTAGAAAGAGATAAAGATACAGAGAGTATAGAAAGCAGGAGGGGAGGTGCAGGAGGACAGGGTGTCTGAGAGTGTAAAGGTGCTTGGAAAGTGAACAGGATTTAGGAATAGACAGGAAAGGATGCATTGAGGAAAGGGCGGCGTTGTGAATAATGGACGGTCAGTGTTAAGGCCTTAATCAATGCTCGATTAATATTAATTCGTTTAGCTGTGGCAGAGGGGCGGGGCTAACCCAACACCACCTCTTTAGATTGATTGGGGTGAGGGCACCAAGGGCGTGCTAACATTGCAGCACACACACACACACACCCACACACACACTCTTGCAGAATCACTCATGCATCCTTTGTGCTGACATTGTGTATGAACTTTGAAGACCTCAGCCTGTGAAGCATCCTGCATTTTAACCTTAGAAACACACACACTCACACACTCACAGCCGCAAACACACTCAAACTCACACAAGCACGCAAAATCAAACTTGACACCGCTTTCAGTGTTGGAGCAGAACTCTGATTCTGATAAGGCAGCTGGAGAAGATTAAACTCTCAATTCATTAGGGCAAAAAGCATCCCTGTGACTGCAACTTTTAAACTTTTAACCAGCGCTGGGATGAGGAGGAGCCTCTGATAACAGAAATAGATGCACTCAAAAGCTCCCTTGTCTAGCTTAATGCCTGTCCCCGTCATCCAGGGTACATCATCTGAAATCGTTGTGTGTCAGAACCCTATTTTTACTGCGAACAGGTCATTTGGCAAAGATACCCAAGCAGAAAAGTAATGTTTGCTCTTTATAATCACTAAAGTGCTGTTTTACTCATTAACAGCTCCGTAACCAAAGAAAATGTTGCCCCACATTTAAACGCTTTCACGCTAACAAAAGCATTGATAAGTAGAGCGACTCTTTGATTCTGCTAATAGCTGCAGTTTTATAGAAAGATCAGCGTTTGTGTGTTTGAAAGGCATACAGATATTTTTAGACGACAGTTTCTTTTTTTACCCTACTCAATGTTGAAACCTCCTGCTGGACAGAGAACCACTGAATATGTGAGAAACGATGGTTGTCAGGCATTTTCTGTCCGCCTGCAGCATGTTTTACTTCCCCTCTTATTTCAGCCCTTCTTTCCATCTTTCTCTCCTTGCTTTTACCACCTTTCTCTCACAGCCTGACTTTATAAAGACAAGCTGTGACCTTGAATAAAAGTAGATAGACCAGCATGCACGCACGCACGCACGCACACACACACACACACACACACACACACACACACACACACACACACACACACACACACACACACACACACACACACACACACACACACTCTCAGGTGACATTGGTTGGCAGTGACTCGCAGCATTTGTAGATTTAGGGATGGTTTTGGCTTTTTACTTGCTTGAGGCTATATTTAATAGAGCCCCTTTTTATTGGGCGGACTGCACCTTTTTATAGCTTATAGCCCTGACGCCGGTAAAGAGAGACAGATTGACTGACAGAACAAACGGATACTGTAATAGAGTGGGCAGAGTTACAAAGATAGCCAGAGAGACAGGCTGACAAACACACCAACACAGTCATTTGTGAGAATACAGGAGAAGTGTTCAGAGGGCTCAAGTCACAGACGGATGGAGTGAAAAACCAGGCACACACAAGGTCAGACCATAAGGCCCAATACTAAGTCCTGGGTGCCTTAAAGGGAGCTGGATTGAAGGGGTAAAAGTCTCTTTTTAAGAGAGGCTTGGATGAATGAAAATCTGCTGACTGCTGACTGCAAAATCTTTCTGATCTTCTTCCTTTAAAATAACATGCAGGCTGACCACAGAGTACGTCGACTCTTTACCTCATTATTTTACGAATCTACTGTCATACTTTAATGACTGTTATCTTGAAATCCCCCTTTTTGTCCTATTACAGGATTCTTATACTCCATCACAAGATCACAAGAAAATCATGAATATAAGAGCTTTGTGATCAGAGCAGTGTTGAGTGGAACTCTTAATGTATGGTGGCCCTGAAGGCCAAACTAGCAAACATTTCATGACTGCAGAAAACATTGCAATGAACACAAAACATAGAAGCATTTCACAATGTAAAATGAACATTTCAAATATGGTTATAAATGTTTTGTTTCGTTTTGTTTCCTTCCTCTTATCTTGGTCTGGGTCGCGGGGGCAGCAGCTTCAGAGGGGAAGCCCAGATGGCCCTCACCCCATCCACTTCCACCAGATCCTCTGGGGGGATTCCCAGGTGCTACCAGGCCAGGCAAGAGATATAATTCCTCCACCTGGTCCTGGGCCGGCCATGAGGTCTCCTCCCGGTGGGACTTGTCCGGAACACCTCTAACGGGAGGCGTCTAGAGGGTATCCTAACCAGATGCCCGAGCCACCTCAGCTGACTCCTCTCAACGCGGAGGAGCAGCAGCTCAACTCTGAGCGCCTCCCGGGTGTCCGAGCTCCCTACCCTATCTCCAAAGCTCCTTTCACACCGGGGGCATTTTTTTCATGCGATTACTTCGGACGTCAGTATTTTTTTCAATCCTGTATCCTGTCAATACAAGCGTTCACATCAGTGACGTTTTCCCGTCCTGCAATACTGTGGCATTTATTTTTTCATTTTTCTAAAGTTTTGCATACTGTGTGTCCACTTCTGACCAATCAGATTGCGTGTTGTTGTGATATCAGATTCACCGGTATCCAACATGGCCGACCGGCTGATTGTTTACGTGTCGGAGAACAGAGTGCTTTTTGATAAAAGACACAAACATTACAAAAATAACTACCTGACGGACAACAATGGTTTGTATGCTTTAACAGTTTGCTAAACGTCTTTGTTTTTAACTTTCATCTGTGTTAAGTAACTTTAGCTCGTAAGCTAATCTGTTCAGATACAACATACCATATGTATTTTCACTGTCTCAAACTCAATCGCGTTGCTGTCACAGCGCCATTAGGTCTCGGTTGTTACCTTATGTTTATGGATTATAGTTTAATGTGCTTATCTGGTACTGGCTAGGTACATGCTGTCATGACAGTTGCTTCCCGGGTCGAAAAAAGAGATTCCCCTGTATTCTCACCCCACAGGGCCCCGCCCGGCGACCACCCGCCAACCGAACAGACCACCCACTCCACCTCTAAATACCCTTGGCCACACATGACTCCCCTCTTGTTTGTTGTTCATGTAGTGCATTCAAAACTTAACTGTGATGTATACATTATAAAGTGGGCTGTGAAGAGTTGGTGTGTGATGCTTTAAAAGTCGGAGAGGCGTGTGAAATAGAACTGGCCCAGGGCAAAAAAAGACTTGAGTGGGGGGCAGAGTGGGGCCAAGAAGTGGCGGGGGACGTGGCCCGTGGCGCACACAGGATCCCCACATTCTGCGCCCACCAGGTCTAGGCAGCAGCAGGCAGAGCCAGCCAATCCCAAGACACCAGGGATCCATGGGCACAGGGACCCGAGCCAACCCCCAATCCAGACCACACCATCACACACCACAATGACCTCCGCCATTCCACACCCCCACCGCAATCGCCACCCCCACCGCCACTACCATCATCATCATCATCACCAATCCACCATCACCACCACCACCGGCACACCACTATTATCATCCCCAACACCATCATCATCATTACACCATCACAACTACATCAATGACCCTGGGAGACCATACATACACATACATATGCACACGTGCACACACTCTCTATGTTTAATATAATACCTATAAGAAACCCTCGGTGGTGTTGAGTGGTCATGAAATGTTTGTATTGACCTTGAAGGCCACATTATATTCCCCAGGAGTCTGAGGCCCTTTCAGCAGTAGCTTTTCTTCCTTCAGATCATCTATTGTCAAGAAAAACTGAACTCACTGTCATGCAGCTTGTTTATGTCTCTTTAAATTCATCTTTCCTGATTTTTACAACTTAAATCTTGGAAAATCAAACTGCACCGCTCTTTCTTCCATTCATAAAATAGGACCGTTTTGGGGACATTCTGCCTCCGAGTCTTTTTGTGGTTTGATGTCTTCCCCTGCCTGTTTGAGGTGTAAATGTGTGACTCTGCCTGTATCTGTCTCACAGCATATGTCAGCTTAAAATGAACGGTTTAGCACCCTTTGTGATCTCATGTGTGCGTATTTTTCTGCCTGTCTCTATGTTTCATTGTCACTCTAAGTCCCCCTCTACGTTTTCTGTGTTTGTCACCTGTCCTGTCTTCCTTTTGCTCTCTCTCACTCTTCTGGCATCTTCTTTCAGTGTTATCTCCTTCCATTTTATCCTCTCTATTCAGTCTGTCTTCCCTTTGCTCTCGCTTCATCTCTTCCTTTTAGTATCTCTTCACACAACGCATCCTTTCTGTCCCCTATCGCCTGCTCCCCTCCTGTATTTGCTTATTTTTCATTTTCATGGAACAGGTCGAATAGGAGTAATCGTCAAATACACCTGAGTGACTGTCAGATAGCATTTCGACTTGAAATGCCCTTTCTTGCACAGTATGACATTTATTATTTCCACCAAAACAGTAGGTTTTTTTGTGAAGCAGGTCTAGGATGAAGGGTTTAAATGTGTGTATATGTTATCTATTTTAGGCTGCAAAAGTTCAACCCAAGCTGTTGATGGTCTATTTTTGGTTGTTTGTGTAAAAACCACACTGGAGGGAGATAAATAATGGAACAAAACAGCAACAGTTTGTATACAGAGCCACCATTAAGCACTGCATTCAGGGGGCATCCCATCTACAACTGTTTGCTAACTGCTAACAACGACATGGATAGAAACCGATGTTGTTATCCACCGTTTGAAATGAATTATTGCAGTCCCTCTGCTTCCTTATCTGATTCTGACTCTAATTAGTCAAGGCTTTGAACTGGGTTTTCTAATAATAATAATAATGATAATGAACGCTGATTTTCACTCAGATGTTAGTAAATGCTTAATGAGACTCAGCTTTGATATCCTGAAAGAATTTTCAAGCCAAATTTGAAGAGGCTTTTAATTCATATGTAATCATTTAATTTTCCCCGTGGAGCTGAAGGAAAGGGGAAGGACAAGTGAGGAAGAAAAAATAGTCCTGAGTGTCTCTGTGTGTGTGTGTGTGTGTGTGTGTGTGTGTGTGTGTGTGTGTGTGTGTGTGTGTGTGTGTGTGTGCTTTATTTGAGTGTGTGGTACTGAAAATGTTCTGGTTTTCTGGGCTGCAGGAAGTAAAAAGCTAGAGGACCGTGTCTGCTCCAATCAAAGCTGGTATTTCTCAGTGTAGAGCCATTTTTTAAGCTAACTAATAGCAGCCTGTTGGGCCTATAAATCACCTGAACAGAGATAAAAATGAAACATCACGAAGATGGAGAGTTGAACACCATGCCAGAGCATCATTTTACTGCTTCTATGTGTGTGTGTGTGTGTTTGTATGTTAGTGCATGTAGATGTGGATCTGCAGGGTTAATATATGTGGCGCATTTCTCCCTCTGTGAAAAATGTCTCTACCAAACCCTGCTGTAAGAGGCTGCTTCTTTTCAGACTTACCTGTCATGCTGTCAAAGACATAATGAGACCCGATGCTTCTTTTATTTGGACAGCACATGTTGGCTGTTTAGTTTTATTCTCCCACAGAGTTATGTTCACACCAGAGGTCCCTAAATCCATTTTTCTCAGCGGGGCGGATTATTTTCAGAAATAGCAAGTAGACAATGTGACAAAAAACACACACACACACACACACACACACACACACACACACACACACACACACACAAATTGAGCTTCATAGATGGTTGTAAATTTCACCAGATTTATTTGCCGCTCAAACCTTGAGGACTATGACACCAGATGGGCCCTTTTTATTGCACCGCCTGGAAAATAAATTCTCAAGTTATTAGTGGTAATCTGTTAACAGATGGTTATTTTGGAAATCTTTGTTTTAAATTAGCCCCAAAATTGGAAAGTCTGCAAGTAGCATCATGATGGATGCAGAATGGAACCACAAGGGCTAAATTTAGAGGTATATTGTGTCTATAAAGCTGTGTAGATGATTGGTAGTAGAATCTGCATTTTTACAAGGCAGTTTGATTTACAGTTTAAAAACATGAGCTGATCACATCCATTTAAAAGCAATTTGTGTTTTAAGTAATAGTTGTTATTAATCTCCAAGTTGGTGCTGTCCAATACCCATAAAATAAAATGACCTAATACTTAGGATTCACATCTTAAAGCTTCATGTAGCTTGAATCGAACACCTCCTGTGTTATATAGACATTTAGAGATATGAAATTCATAACAAAGGGAAACTAAGTCCGAGAATGATCACTTTGCACTTACCTAGTCAATATTGATCTGGATGCTGCCATTTATGGCTGGCCAAACACAAACCAGTGAAACAAATCTGACTTCACCAACACTATCAGTCTAACAGCTGTAGGAGAAAAAATTCTCCCATCCTGGAGGGTTTTCTCTTAGTCTTTGAATGTACACCAAACGGGTCGAGTTTTTCCAAAGCGACCTCTTTTCCTATAAACAAAAATGTACACATCTGTGTTTCCCCCAGGACCGGAATCTATCTGTGGTGGTGTGTGATATAGGTGGGTGCTAGGGGCTGGGGGGGTTGGGGGGGTACTGTGCGCGTTGAGCGACTTAGAGCACAGGGGGGGACTACAGCTGCACGATATATCCTTTGAGCATCGTCATCGCAATGTACATGTGTGCAATAGTCACATTGCAGAGCCTGCGATGCAGAGGGAGGAATGAACTCATCTAATTTCAAGGGTAGCTGACTGAGATACACTCAATGTGACTCTGCATGTGCTGTGCAGTGATCCACCAATCACATTCGTTCTTTACTCAGTTGCTAAACAGACTACCTTGCCAGCCGTCAATCAAAATCAGAGAAGAGGAAACCACGCCCCTGCACATGTTCTGCACATGGAGTGAGTCGCTGTAGCTGTAGGTGTTGTGCCAGGAAACGTGTGTCTGTTGAGAACTACTTTCGGAACATTACTCATCACTGTTTAGCCCAACAAATAAGAACTGTATGGGTTTTAAATTGTCCTTTTCCCTGGACCACTCTACTATAAGCGGTGCACGTTTTTCAAGGTGTATGCTATTCTCGGCGGACATGCGTGTCTCTGCACAACACTGGTAACAACAACAACGATTGTAAAATGAGCAACGAACAAGAGGATACCACTGAAAATGAAGACTTGTTGCCAAAAAGAAAGGGAAAGTCAGTTATCTGGAATTATTTCCTTTACAAGAAGGATGATGTTGACCAGACAAGTGTCGGCAGCCCCTTTCACCTGTTGCCACAATAACTTAGCTGAAAACATGTCTTTACATCCATGTTCCTCTGCTTGTTACTCTTGACTCCATTTGAATTGTTTTACTTTCTTTAACCAGGTTGACCTGATATAGTCTACGCAGAGCTTTATCCTTCTGCCCTCGGTCATAATACAAACTGTGCTACGCAGTGAGATGCTATCTGTCTTCTGTGCTTGTTTAAACCTGGTTAGTAGAGCATTCAAAGATTATGGTCACAAACACAAACTGAAACTACAACCTTTGCTTCCTGGTGGAACGGCAGCTTTTTGGGCCTACAATGAAAATATTTATCATTTGTTTAACCTACTTCTACAAACTCTAGTGCTGACTATCATATTTGTATCTGTGACCTGATGTAACCCCTCACAGTTTCCTCTCAGCCTTGTCTTTCAGATAGTATTTCTGCCTCCACATTGTTGCCTTTTTTCTGGCTTCCTATCTATCAAGGTTTACTGTCAATCAAGTAAACATCTGTGGTGATATTTTAAATGTTTTTTAACTGCAGCTCTGCTGCTCTGCCAAGTGCCGGTTGCTTTCCTGAGTGCAAGATTTAATTCAGGTCAAGTTTTGCAGACAGTTTAATGCTGTGAGGCAGATAAGAAACTTTGATATGTGAGAGGAGATGGTTTGTCCCTCAAGCCTTCCATCCTCAACATAAATAATCTTCTATGATTTTGAGATTGAATTCAAGTCCCCAGGTATTCAGCCAGGAAGTTTTTACTGATACTTTGGTGTAGTAAAACTGTTGAGGCACCCACAATTTGGGAGAGTTAATGAGAAAAATCCACTTGTTTGGCAGATTAAATACTGATATGAGATGCAGCATTTTCTCATTCACAACAAATTTCCTTTCACTGGAGTTTTTTGATTAAATTGAACAACAGCTATTATTGGACATGCTTTTTTGGTAATGGAACAAAAACAACTTGTTTTGTTTTGAGATATAGATCAACTCTTTGGTTGGTCTTTGTGCTGAAACACATTGACAAGATAATGACTGAATATGATTTTGATGAAGTGGGTGTGTTTTGAACTTGTGTGTTCTGCTCTTATGTTGCTTTTTCTACAAATGTCTTTTTGTCAACAAGACTGGAGCATTTGACCTTACTGAGTACCCCTTTAAAACCAATGTGATTAAAAATTGTCCATATTGTTGAGGAGAAAACAGTATTTTGCTGTGACCTAAATGATACTCACAGCTGGTACTCACTCTAGATCTGTCCAGATCTGGTCAATTAAAAAGGGAGTCGTCTGTCATGATTTGAGGATTGGTTTTAGTGAAACAATTGGATATGTGTTGTTAGCTAACTATGCCAGAAGTATGTTGCCATCTTTGTTTTGGTCTGGTAACCAATCAAAGGGCAGTATCTGGAATCAGCTAACCTGTACAGGTTTAGCTGAAACCCAAATAACAAAATCTTTCACGCACACACGCAAAGATCCACAGATTTCTTTAAATCTTTGATCTTGCTCAAGTTGTTTGTGATCCACCTTACTGGGTAAGGTCAGTTACCACCTGTTGTTATTATTTCAAGAGCTAGGTTTGGATCCGTCTTCTCTCTCTGGTTGGCAACTTCAGTATATGTGCAAGTAGTGATGGGAATTCAGGCTCCCTTTATTGATTCAGAACATCTTTCTCTGCTCCCAAAGTGCTCTCAGTGATGTCTTTTTAGAGCTCAGTCTTGGCAACCACCTTATTGAAAGTCCTGACTGCTGCCACAGGGCTGGGTTCCTACAATGAATTAAGGTAACTCGAAAATGACATTGTGAAGGAAACTTTCTATTTACTTTTGACAGATTAACTGACCTGTGGCATAATACCGCAAACCACAGTATTAAACCACCACATGATGCATTTCCTCGCCATAACAGAGATGGTTCCTCCTTTGGATAAATTCTAAAGTGGTTTAGACTGAGGGCCTGGGCCTGCTCTCATAGAATCTAGTGTTGAAGTACAAAATTAGATTTAATCTTCTTCAACTTCTGCACTACAGTAACCACCAGTGTAACTTTGTCACCCAGTCGCTCAATGAGTGACTGACTTGTGTATCCTACGGTCAGGAGAGCTGTATTTCTGCACATTTTCAGAATCTCAACCCCAGTAATGCGTTGTGCAGATTTCACAAACATGTTGAACCTGCCCGAGTGTCTTTTGTTTTAAGCTTTTATTACTTGTAATGACTGATGAGTACTGAATGCTTGAAAGGCTCCAGCACTTGAAAAGCACCACAGAGCAGCATTAGTACTGTCTTTTATCAAGCCTGCATGAAAAGACAGTACAAGCACATCATGTTAGCGCAGTAATCGCAGATGTGCTCTGGCGCGCAGCGGGGTTGTTTGTGAGGAGAAAGCAGTAAAAGGTTAAAAAGACATTACAGTAGGGTTTGTAATGTGATTAAAATGTGCTTTTATGGAAACAACGGGGCTTGTGTGTGTTTAAAGGGGTGTTCATTGCTCATAAGGGACAGTCGAGGGATTAGCAATAAATATGTTTATTAACTGGATGCCTCTAAAGCTGGTACAGCCACAGCATAGCATCGCCTAAGGAGTCATCAACACAAATACACACATGCAAAGTGGTGACATAACACCTCAGAGCAACAGGATCCAGAGCATTAAAGAAATTCATACACCTAATATACATAAAGCAGCTGCACCCATCCTGACACCCCAGTCTGCCCATAACTAGAAAATCACTCCCTTGAGATGGAAAAAAAGGGAGTAAAGTCTTTCTTTCGAGGATCTTCTTCATCTCTTTGTCCCTGTGGATCTTTCCAAAAGCTGTTACACAAGGCAGGTGGTCTCAGATTTCATATCCGTGACGCCTGTTGTTATTATTTCATGAAAGGCTGTCAAAGGAATTCACTTTATGACTGCCAACAGTACCAGACTCCAAATAACAGTAACATGTAGTGACAATTATTACAATCTCAAATTATAAAAGAATGTGTCATATGGCGGGTAATCATGAACCACAAAGGCATTGGACTGTTATGCAAAAGGAGACAGAGAGAGATGAAGACTGAAGCTCAGCTAAATGAATCCAGGAGAGGATGAAGAATGCCATACACGAAGAAGACGATGGTGATTGAATCAAGAACAAGGACGTAGTGTAACCCAAACGCTATTATCTGCAGCGTTTTATCCATAATAAATGTCTGACACCTCCTGCCAGACAACACAGCCGCCTTTCTCTACAGTTCAAGAAAATTTGAGGAGTTAAATCCATTAAAATCATTGAAGGGATCTTTATGTGGAAATTACAGATGAGATAGATAAAAAAAAAAAAAAAGAATTTTCATTATGTCTGCTGAGGGACTTCATACATGTGCTGAACAGTAGAAAGACACACAGTGCGTATCATTACAGCATCTAACACTGTGTGATATGCCACAGACGGCGGGATGCAGATAGTCTCCTTTTGCTTTTGATCGCTCAGGCTGTTTCAGATTTCATTCAGTCTTATTATATGTTTTTTATTCTTCCTCTATGTCTTCTTGCCTCTCAGTCTGCCTGTACCATACCAAAAAACATCTTAATATAACTCTATCTCTGACACACACACACGGAAAAGTTTTTCAAATATTCCCTCAGGTGCAAGAGTCAGTTATCTAAAGTTTTTCCAGACAGATTTAGTGTCTATCAGACTTTCCCCTCTAACTGAAGCCCCATTCAGAGGGCCAGCACTGGTATTCCTGGCAATGACTTTTTCAAGTGGCCCACAGCCCCACATGACTGAAAATAGACTCTTTCTTGATGTGGGTGTAGAATAATACACGTAAGTCAAATCTTAGCTTTGCCATCGATTATTGTGAGACGGGAGTGGACTTGGATGGCCTGCTGTTAGCTAAGCAAGGCCTTTTCATAAATGTATGGTAACTGATTCAAAGGTTGTTAGATCACATATTCAAATCTTTGGTCAGAGAGTCTCTAAGTCACCCCAATGTCAACTTAGTGTCTACGCTTTTGATACCTTTTAGATGAAGAAGATGAAGAAGAATCTTATTGATCCCCTAATGACGCAATAAAAAAGTCCAACAAAGGGGGAGCAGATAGCCTAGCGTTTGAGGTGCGCTATATATGGCCCAGGTTCGTGTGGCATCCCCTGTGGCATCTTTCGTGCGTGTCTGTTCTCTGTTTCCAACTCTATCCTCTGTCCTCCATCTGTCATTAAATGCCCAAAAATTAGGGATGCACGATATTTATAGGACCAATAAAATATCAGCCGATTAGGGGGAAATTACATAATTTTTTATCGATCCGATAGGTGCATTTTTCCGATATAAAGATCCGATATATTAATGAAATTACGAGTAACGTTTGCAGGCGGAGTAGCCCCCCTCCGGGACGTGCTGGTCACTTCATCTATCGCGCCATCCCAAGCCTGACCCCGTCACTGCCCGACTGATAATAAAATGTCTTCACCAGCGTGGCTGTTTCTCTCAGTGGCAGAAGATGACAACAGCATTGCTATTTGCAAAACCTGTTCAGCGAGGATTCCGAGAGGAGAAAAGAAGATGTCAAGCTTTAACACAACAAATCTGATAGCTCATCTGAAAAGTCGTCATCGCAGCGAAGCGGTATTAAAAGAATATGAGACAGCCGCTGAAGCCGCTAGCAGTGCTAAAGCTAAGACAACAACACTACGGTGGATCAATGTCCCCATTCAGCAGGCGTTTGAAAACTGCAAAAGCTTTTCAAGAGACAGCGAAAAGGCTAAAGCCATTAACGACAAAGTGATTGAATTCATAGCGGTCGACGACCAGCCTTTTTCTGTCATTGAGAACCCGGGTTTTCCTAAGTTATTAGCACACTTGGAGCCACGGTACACTCTCCCAAGCTGCCGCTTCTTCTCGGATGTGTCCCTTCCTGCACTCTATGATATTGTCATTACATAAAGAATTTTTCTACCATGCCTGATGCAGTCAAAGCATTAATATTTCTGTAAATCTTCGGTTGATAATTGTAATTTTTTTGCTGCACTTCGCACTTTGATTTATTTATTTGATTACATTTTTGTATTAGAGGTTGACATATTAGTCAATACATATAAATTTGTATTCAAAAAATACTTGACTTACCTCCAAACTTCCTTTACAGTTTACAGTTCTGTTGAACAGTTCAGGGGACGCACTTTTTTGGTAAAATGAAGTTCTGCCTTTTGCTCCGTTGACAAGATATTTTTGTGATGACATGGAAAAAATAAACATTTGAAGAGCCAAAAACTTTTGTTTGTTGTTCTAGATAGGCCAGAGCAATAGATAACTGTTTTCAATTGCTGCATCCTGCACAAACTGCAGATTATATGAAGATTATAGTAAATATAAAAATATGAATTAATCGGTATCGGCCATGAGAAGAAGGAAATTATCGGTATCGGTTGAAATTTTTCATATCGTGCATCACTACCAAAAATAAAAATAAAAAATCTAACAAAGGCTGTCCTCTCTTCAACCACCTGTTGACAAAGATGACTAAAACCAAATGAGCCTTTCTCTGGTGTTTCTTTTCAATAAAATTGAGAAACTCTGTTTTTAGCTGTGGGTACCTTTGGGGTTTGTCTAGAACAATTTTTTTTCCCCCCAGAAGCTGAACTATATATGGTTGTTTCTTCTCCAAAGCTACAGGCCTGATGTTTAAAACCACATAAAAAGTGAATAAAGCAGTTTGACATTCAGTCTCTAAAACAGGGCTGCTGCTGTGCACTGGTATTGACTAAAGCCAGCTCTATATGAGATGAAATATTGATATACGTGATAACTGGATGAGTTCATGGTAGTGGTCATTTACAACAGGCCAAACATCAAAGAATGGAGAGGAGAGACAAAGATGAAGCAGCAGCTGCTAGCTAGCTTCAGAAGCTCTTTGAGAGATGATCAGGCACCTGAGCGAGACTTATTGATAATCCAAAATCACAAGAGTGCATTATCCTGGCTAAACTGTCAGTATATATCGAGAGTAATTTAGGGATGTTGCAAAAATGACACACTATGTGCCTGTAGGGCGAATGTATATATTTTTATGAACTGTTTTCTGTAATAACACAAACTAATGCTCAGCTGAAAGAGGTTGAATTTGCTTCACCAGAAAACAGACAGATTATTTCAAATTCAACTCCATTATTTCCCAGCTGCAAATTACTTCTCTAATTCTCAGAATGAGTTTGATTTTACCTTTTCAGAAAATGCTACCTGCAGAGGCAGAAATTACAGCTGCAGTGAAAGTAAAGCACATTAAAAGTTTGAATCATTAAGGCTTTTCATACAGAATGAGTCCGTAAAACATTGTGTGCTCCTGACAGTGAAGCGCATTACCCAGGGAACATGATTTGCTCCAGAATGATGGTCAAGGTTTCATCTAGAAACTAAGACGATGTAAGTTTACTCTCTCTCACTTCTTGTGACAGGATGCAAAAGGAAATCAGGAGCGTATAACCTGTCCCGCCTCTTCATCACAGATAGTTAAAGTTTCTGATCAGCTCTTGTTTTCCTTTAAATCTTTGGATCTTTCTTTTCTCTTTGGACCACATGTGCCCCTTCCTCAACATTTGCTGTCTCAGTAGAGAAAATGGGTTAATGAGAGTCCTGATTATTTCCTTGTACTCTCAGTGTCACTAATAAAAGGTCTGTTTATTACTGAGTGCTCAGTCACCCTTATGCATGTGTGCACACAGGCACATGGACGTATCACATTACAAGTACAGAATGAGGCCTTTTGCTGGACATGCCTGTAAAATTCATAACATGGCAGTGACATTACATTAGTTGTTAAAAATGTATCACTACACTTTTCTTGTGTAGCCTCATAAATGCATGTGAAAGGAACTACTTAGTACCTTGGGTTTCTGTCAGAAATTATGAAGATTTTTTATTGGTGAGGAATCAGAAAACAGCTGAGTACATCATCTGAATTTAAACAGGAAAGCAGGCACTGATAAATCAGCTGTAGGCGCTGGCCTCTTGAACTTGAAAGTCAGTGTCACTTAGATAACCAAAGATGGCAAATCTGACAAGAAAGTGTTGTGACAATGTACTTGTATAAGTGCTGAGTATGAAAACATTAAAAAAGCTACTGCTATCTCGCCTCAAATGAACAACTTGTGTGGCTTAAATATTTAAATGTGTCCTTTACTCGGCCTTATGGAGGACATTTAGGTCACAATAAGCACAAACAAGTCTCAAACCATGTCTCAAAGTGTTAATTTCTGATGGTGTTGATGGTGATGTCTTGTACAGCAGCAACAGCTGAACAACAGCAAAGAAATTAGTGTTAAATTTCAATGATTGCATGTTGACAAAAAGTAATTGTGACCTATAGATGTATTAACAGATATTACTGTTCAGACAACCCAAAAGATCAGTGTTAATTTTCTGGGGCAGGGGGAATTTTAAATAAAGGCCTGCCTCTAATACAAGCCTGTTTCAAATGAATTAAGAGTCTGCTTATATTTGAGGATTTACGGTAATTCAAGTTGTTTCAGAAGGGCTGTAGTCAAATACCATCCTCTAGATGGCACATAAGAAACTAACTCATCGGTAGACACCAAAGACATCAGCTCCTTCTCGTTCAGGAAGCTTGTGTGGTCGTCTGTGGTGAGTGAGCAACAGTCTTTAGGTGCAAATTTCACAGCGCAGGCTGGCAGAGAGTTTGTTTTTCCTCATCCATGAACCACAAGTCACTCGTAAATGTACTTGTAGGTTGTTTTTGGTTTTGAGTAAGACATTTTTTCATGAAGGAACAATAAAGTTTGGGCTTTAGTTTAAAACGCTAAGGATCTGGGATCTCTGAGTTTGTAGTTGCCCCATTATTGAAAAAGTGACATAATATCTGTGGAGTGTGAATCATCTATATTTCTAAAAATGGTACATTGATGAAAGAGTTCAGAAAATTTGACAAAAAGTACTTGGTCCTTGTAGAGCTCTGTTGTCTAATAGCTTAAATCTTGCTGACAGAGAGGTGGATGTGGACATTACTCCAGAATTTACCTAGACTCCAGCATGTAATTATAAATTATCATTGCCTTTTACTGTTTTTTTTTTTTTCAACATTAGGTGCCTTTGAACAGAGCAGGCTCTTATTAACATTTGTCTGTTGTGCAGATCCAGTCACCAGGTGCCATTGCTGCTGAATGAGGATGCACACACACACACTTAAACACACATGCACACGTAAGACTGTCACCTGCAAAGGCTTCACTTCAGAGAGAATCCTCACATCATTAGAACAAGGCAATGCACACACATGTACATATACACACACACCGTAGACACAGAATTGTAGCTATAGAGCAAGTAAACATATGAAGATCGTCAAGCATGTATACGGGCAAACAATCTCTCTAAGCACACAGGCGATCACAGGTTTAAAGACATATGTGTGCGTGTTCTCATACAGGATGTCAAATTAGACGCACCTTTTGAAAAGCCGCAGGAGTACATTAAACAGGAGTGTTGGTATGCACATATGTCACAGTGTAAATTAGATTTCAAGCAGGCCTTTGAAATGGCATGCAAAAGGGAAGCTATTGATTTGCCAATCTGCATGCATGCCTTCTCTGTAGGAGATGGGTCTCTAATGCAGACGCACTGAATAGAATTACACATAATTGTCCAAGAAAATAGCTGCCTAACACTTCATTACCATCAGGATTCCATCTGATAGCTATTTGTTTTATTCCTGCTCATTATTTTGACTGTTCTGATTTCACTGCTTTTATAGACAGAGAGAACCTCGGGGCTTCTGCTGCATCTTTATAACCGTTGTTAAATATTTTGAATCTGTCAAACTTTTTATTTTACTAAACAAGCAAAACTGTGACTTCCTATAGAAGAGGCAGACATATAATCTAAATCCGGGAAGGAAACCAGCTTTTGATTTGGAAACATTACAAGCTTGCTCACAACATTCAAAATGATGTTTTTCAGTCTGACCCCTGGCTTTCAGCTTGCAAAAGGAGTTTCCAACCACTCGTTAATTTGCATTTGGAAATGTCATTGATAATGTCAGTGTGTCCATGATGTTGTGAGGGTTTGACTTGGAAATGCTGGCTCTCACTTATTAAGGAGGATGGAGATAGTGAGCCAACAGATCTGATCAAGTTTATTTTTTTGACTTATCTGATTCAATTTTGGCACTAGCTGTATTTTTGAAGCAAGGCACTAGTTTGAAAAAAACTCTGGCATAGTTGACATTTTTCTGTTCCCTATTTACTCTAAAACTACATAATTAGTGCTATGGAGTTTGGGTGAGTTTGAGACTTTGTCCAGCTCTTATTTTTTTGTGGAATCGATGCATTACACATGGTTTTTTGCAAGTGCTTTAACAGAAATACTAGAAATTTAGATGTTTGCACTTTTTTCATTCACAAGGTAAAAAGTGTTAAATTTCAACCTCTGAGTTAACACTGCCCATCTTAACTACTGTTCAACTTTGGTCTCTCTGAGATTTTGTGTTGGAATGGTCTGTTTACCGCCGCGAACTGGAGGTCATTTGGAGTCATTCAGATGGATCCAAGTTATAGACAAAACTAGAAAAGCACTCGGAGAGCGCAGACCTCCGCCAAGCAGTTCATGTCCCCCCTTATATTGTGATTCACACCAAAACTTTTACTGTTACGTGTCTTTTATTAACGTTTATTTGTGTTTAAACTGGTATGTCCACTGTTCATAATGTTCCTAAAACAAGAAATGCCCTGACCAGGATTCAAACCCAGGGCCTTCTGGTTGTGAGGCGACAGTGCTAACCACTACACCACTGTGCCGCTCATCTACACCACTGTGCCGCCCATTGGTTATCTTTCAGCATTGAAAATTCCAACGACACCCTTATTTTTGTGTGTTCTGGATCACAGTAGTGCTGGACGATAATTCGATAACAATATATATCGATCGATAGACGTGTGGTGCGATAGAAAAAAAACGGGTCGATAAAAAGTTCGATAGAAAAACACAGTTTCCCTTTCTTTTTCATCATAGCCTATCATGTAGCTTTTACTACAGTCATTACTTCCTCCCAACCAATCACAAACGCAGACCCAGGTACGCTACGGCACCAAGCCCAGCCCCTCTCAAACCACAACAGACAGCACGTGTATTAGAAAAAATGATACAGCAAGGAGAAGCGGAGGACATTGTCCCGAAAAAAGGTTTCAGTAGTTCACCAGCATGGCAATGTTTTGGTTTTTAGAAGTCTGACAAAAAGCGAACAGCGCTCGTTTGCAAAATTTGCAGAGAATTAGTAAAAACCAAGTCTTGTTTTACCATCTAAACCGATCGCACCCACAGGAGTAGGAGCTGTGTCGGCCGCGCCGCAGCTCCACGTCATCGTCGGAGGAACCGCTGCCAGCACCAGCACAAAGCATGTGAAGCAGACCAAACTGGACTTCGTTTCTTGCCAAAATACGACAAAGCGTCCGAGCGGCATAAGGACATCACCCATGCAGTAACATGCTTCATAGCGAGGGACATACTGCCAATAACTACCGTTGAAAAGCCTGGCTTCGACCAGCTTTTAGCCACTCTCGACCCGCGATATGAAGTGCCCGGCCGCAAGTATTTCTCAAACACAGCGCTTCAGGCATGAAAATGGGTCAGGGGTTGAAAAGGTGAGAAGGGAGGAAATACGTTCCGGTGTTTGCCGTAGAGTGCACACCTGCATCCCGTCCACTCATTAGCTTCTTAAAGTGGAAGAAAATGAGCTCATATTTTACAAAGACGCGAGTATTTGGATCATGGCTACTAGCAGGGGGTGCATTCGGCAGGGGTGCATTCTACGGCACAACACCGGCGTGGATAAGTCCTGCTTCTCGTGCTTAGTTTGTGTATTAAGTCAATCACATGATATTTTAAAAAAATAAACCTCCCGACCCCGGGAGAAATATTTCAGTGTTCAGACACCAGGCTGTGGGCAGTTTCCCACACAGTTAAAACTGGTAGTATGCTATTCCCACCTAAAGCTATTCTGTTTATTTATATATTTGTTTGTTTTGTTTATTTTCATCAAAAGACTATTTAAATATTTATTTATCAGATTTTCTGGTCACTTTAGTCTTTATGTTTGTCAGTATTTACTGACGTCACTCAGGCCACTTAAGTTGATTTCTTTTTTTTTTTAGTTCTTTTTTAAAAAACTTTCAGTTGTGGTAAAATAAAAAAGGTGGTTGAATAAAGGTTTGAATTTGAATTCAGTGCTTGTGTGTTCTTTATTAAAAGTAGGTCATTAAGCAATAGCATAAAACATCCAGGGCTGCAATTAAAATATATGTCAAATAATCATAATAATTATATAGATAATTATCGATATCGATCAATATGATTTATTTTTTATCGATATGCTTTTTTTCTATATCGTCCAGGCCTAGATCACAGTATCCAGAATTTTGTCCTGATCACCACCAAAATTTAAGGGGATCCTCCTGGGCTGAGACGCACCTCTGGTGAAAATTTCAGGTCAATCCGTCTGTTACTTTCTCTGTAAAGTTGCTAACAGACAAACAAACTCACAAACAAACCAGCGCTACCGAAAACATAACCTCCTTGGCTGAGGTAAAAATGCTCTCAAGAGTTTTTCAGATGATAGCATAAAGCTTGTTCTTTCAGCAGACTCTCCTTTTATAAGAAGGTGAGGGAAATGTGATATGGTTATTTATGCTTTGGCCTTGAGCCACTTTTAGCAGGTCTTAAGTTGAGTTTTAAACTAAGAGATATATTTAACAGAGGAATAAGTCTGTAGTATGTAGTCCACAGTAAGTCTGACTTTGAGACATGACTGGAATGAAGAGAAATAAAGCTGAGGTTATTAACACAAAGAGAAACATTGGAAGAATGTGCTCACCTCGTGTGTTTGTTTTATAACCTTTTTACTTTGAGAGAAACATATAACTTTCATATGCTGAGCTGCATAGTGAACAAAGATTTTAGTGTGTTGTCCTAATAATTCAGCTGAACAAATAAAATACTTGGCATTGGTTTATCATCTCAAGTGAGCTTGAGCAGGTTTTAACATTCAATCAATCAATCAATCAATCAACTTTATTTCTAAAGCACATTTAAAAAAACCACAAGGGTAGCCAAAGTGCTGTACAATGACACATAAAAACAAATAAAACAATCAAAGAACGAGATAAAGCAAGCAGAAATACATTAATGCAACAGAATAAATAAGCGTATAAATAAGGAGGCTCATAGCAAGTGCAAAGATGATAAAAAAACTAATTAACACTACAATGTACTAAAAGCCAATGAGTAAAAGTGCGTTTTTAAAAGGGATTTAAAAACAGGAAATGAGGAGGCCTGTCTAATTTTCAAGGGCAACTCATTCCAGAGCTTAGGGGCAGCAGCAGCAAACGCTCTGTCCCCTCTGACAGAGGCCATATTCCTTTGAGAGCAATTTTATACAACATACCGAGCTCATAACTGTTATTGTAGGAGTATATTATGCTGTGAAGTACAAATTCAGAAATGTTAAAAAGACCAGCTGAAATATGCTAGAATTGCTGGTTATTCTATGACAGGCTGACCACATGAAGGCTCACTATTATTAACCACCATGGTCAAGTATCAACCAAGCCACAACCTTGAGCTGAAAATGACGACCATGTGCGATCCCAGAGAACAACAATTCTTCAAGTGCCTACTTGATGCTGGGTCCTAAAAGCCACAGAGATCCTTTAAAAGGTTCTATTCAAATGTCCATTTTGCAAAAGAATCAAGCCTGTATATAGCAGTGACAACTGCATATCCACAATTGTGACATCACCTCATGCCAACTTGGGTTTACGGCCGCTCCTTAAGGGGATATTTTGGCGTAAAATTAAGCGAGGGTCAAACACACCGTAACATTGAGTTAGACACCCTGTCGAGAGATAAATGTTGCTGACTGCTTGCTTCTCTAGTTATACCAACTTTAGTATCGACCGTACGATAGCAATGCAGAGAGCCATGCGCTCAACCAAAACGCCACTCTATAGCCACAAATAAAGCTCAGAACAGCACCTAACTTCATCAACAGAACATATAGGGTCCTAGCCACAGTACTAGCCACCAAACATCTTTTTACCTTTGCCTAATTCCTTTAACAAAGAGACGTAACACAACTCACCCTCTCTCTTCCAGCAGCCGCTTGTTTGTGTGGAGACCTCCGGGTGAGTCCATCGACTGCAGTGGGGGGACGCAGCTCAAGGAAGAACATTTATGATCATTTCCTCATGGAAATGCAATCAGACTGAGACGCTAAGGCAGAAGAACTAGAGTGTCTGCAGTGCAAATTGATTAATATGGTGATTATTACTCCAAAGAAATGATAAAGTAACGATCATTCATCTCTCGATAGGGTGTCTAACTCAGTGTTACTATGTGTTTTACCTTAACTTAATTTTATGCCAGAATATCCCTTTAAGACCACTCCAGCTTACAGCCAAATGAAAAATGGGAATCATCACCAGAGTGATGTAGTCCAGAATAAGATTTGGTTCAGAGTCAGACACATTATTTTCAGAGATCCATGCATTAAATCTACAAACTCAGTCAAACAGTTGCAAACTGTTAAAGCAGGGTTTGGATCCCTCTTCTTTCTCAGGTAAACATCCTCAGCATAAATGCTGCTAGTGATGGGAGTTCAGCCTCTTTAGATTTAGAGCATTTAGCTGTGCAAGAACCCACTATTATTGACCCCGAGCAGCTCTCAGAAACAGATTTTTAGAGCCAAGTCCTTCATGACTAACACATACTAGTCCTCACCTCAGTATAGATTTGTCTGCAGACACAATACTGTGGTATGTAGGCTACAGAAAATGATGTGGTTGAGGGAACCTGAAACAAGAAAAGATTTTGATCATAATTTTTAAATAAGTTTCCACACAATAGCTAATAATAAGTTACACCAATTATTCATAATAAACAGACCTATGCAATACTACCACATACCATGATATTGAGCCACCCTGAATCAGCCTCTCTCTGGCAGCAAGAGAAACCAACTCAACACACAAAAGTCTGGTCCATTTTAAGGAGCCAACAGCACTTTTCCAAATCATCTAAAGCAAGCATGGACAGTTCAGGCTTACGGACCGCTAGGGTTTCTTTTTCTGCCCTTCACCAGCCTAAAAATCATAGCCTTTGCCTGACCTGTTTCTTTCCTTATAGTTTCATAAAATCTAAAAAGTGTCTCATCTGTCATCTTCCCAGAGATAATTTTGCTCAGCAGTAGACACCACACATGGCAATGAAGGCCAGTCACAGAATCTTCTGCTGCTACTGCTTCATATTATCTCCATCGCTGCCCCCTGCTATGAAACTGATAGCAACAGGATATTTCTAGCACTTTATTATTAAGAGAGACCAGACTTTGCAGCAACCTCTCAGTTCAAGCTTAATCATTTGAATGTTTAAATGTTTGTTTGAATGTTTGAATGCATCATTATATCTTTATATAAATAAAAAAAAAGAAAGTTTTCATCTGTTCTGGTCATCTGAGACGGGTTAACTTCAAATGATGTTGAATAACTGAAGCAATAAAGAAGTAGTCAGCCTGCCAATATACAAGTTAACAGTGATGCCACATGTTTGGGAAGTGCTTGAGAGTCAGTCGTACATGATCTGAATACACCTCCAACCTACAGACGTCATTGTCTCTGATACATTGAGTGTGTGAACATCATGTGTGGCTGAGACAAGTTGAGAGAGGAATCCAGAGTGACAGGAGATGACGGATGTACTTCAGAGGAAAGGTCAGAGAAGCTCTCATGCAGTCATACACTGGTGAGGTATCATTTAAACCTACATTCACATTCAAACTGTGTCTCAGTAATCATAATGATGATGGCAGCCACAATAACATAAGTGACAAAAGCAATGTATGGATGATAGTGTGCGAGCAGGTGGTTTAATTTGAAAGATTTTGATTTCATGCTGTTTCTCAGAGTCATTTCAATACACGTGGATGCCTGCGTAATCAACACTGTACCTGAGCCAGGAATTACAGCCGGTTACTGCAGTTTGCATGTTCTACACTGTACTCCCACCTCTTAAAACTTCACTTTTTCTATCAGAAACCCTTTTGCACAGAGCTTTGTCAGAGACTTGATAAGTCAAGTGTCACAACATAAGCTGTATAAAATTCTTTCATACTGTTTTGCTTAGTCTTTGTTGCTGAACTGATCGATTTTGAATACCATCATCATTTCTGGACCTGAGCTGGTCCTTTTTTTTTATTTATTTTTTTTGCCTGGCTCTCCCCCTCATGTCATTGTTAGCCATGGTTCAAAGGTAAGGTCACAGCTCCTCAGGTGCATTGCCATGAGGGTGGCGTGACCCACCCTCAGAGCTGACCCAGCTGATTTACAGTATGATATAAAGAGGTGGAGCTGAAATTTATGGCTTACGACCATAGACTGTATATTGAATGGATACCGTCAGCCTCCTCGCTGGGTCAAGCCACTCCGAGAACAGCATCCTCTGGTGACAGGCTGCAGTATAGCTTATAGATTCCACCTCCACCAGCAAAGCTGTGGACAAACTTTAGAATGTTGACATGAAGTTATTGTCCTCTTTTTTTTCTGTACAGCTCAATTTTTAAAAGTGTTGGGTCTAAAACCTGCAACAAATGACTCAAACACAAAGAAGAGAAAGACGATGGTATTAGATTTCTTACTCGCGAGGAGAACGGACAGAGATACGTTCAGTTACAATCTCCAACCGCTCTGAAGCGTATCTTGTCGTCTCCTCTCTTTTTTATTATCCTTAGGGTGGTCCCTAGTTACAAAACGCTGCATGCACTAAAGGGTGGGGAAACAGTCTTGCAGCAGCGTGGTCACTTACATCACTCATAATCATTAACAAGCAGACAATCTGTGAGGGTAAGGTGACCTTGTTGACATTTCACAATCTCCTTCTTATGGTGGGAATGGTTCCTCCTCTGCTACTGCTCCCACGTCTCACAGCGGAGGTTACAAAACACATACCTGCTAATTGGAGAAACAAGGTCAGAGAAGTTAGAAAACACTCATGAGTACTTTCTCATGTGCTGTGTAACAAGAGGTTAAAGCAGTTCATAGTTGTAGGAAACTTTTCCATTTGAAATTTGAGTAAGACTATTGATAATTTCTATATTTATACACATTATTCTGACCAAAAGTTATTAGTGGGTTCATGTTTTCTATGATTGACACTTGATACAGCCTATGGGCGTAGGAAGATTGCGTAGCTCACCTGGGGGATACGCTCTTTGACTCGCTGCTATTCCCCCGCTGAATGTGTACAGTGCTACAGCGCAAGTGGTGGAGTGCGTACAATGCTACTGGGCAATGTTGGTTTCAGAAAATGGAGAGAAAACGCGGAATTACAGAGAGCTGTTTGGCTTCAAATTCACATTCTGGCGGGAGGCGGAACCAAGTTGTCCATACAGTCTATGCGTACAACCTTCAGTAGATAGATAGATAGATAGATAGATAGATATACTTTATTAATCCCAAACTGGGAAATTCACAAGTAGGGTTTGGGTATTGTAGTTTATTGTTTGTGAATCTGTTGTGGAAAATATGCATTCATTTTTCTCTTTGTATGGTAACTGGTAACTAGTTAATAGTGGGAGGTGGTAGTAGTAGTGGGTGCCCTAATAGAAAGAAGACAAAGACATAGAAGAAGAATTAGCTGCTAGTTAGCTAGCTAATCCTAGCAGCTCTCTAAAAGATGGTACGACTCTCTCCAAAATTGATTCAAATCAAAAATGAAAACAAGAGCTACTTTGTGGGTGTTTGTGGGCGAATCTAACACTCAAACTTTCTAACCATTCCTTTGAACACTCAAAGTAACATCTCCAAATAAAAGCATGTTTTTACAATTGGAAATGAAGCTGTCTACATCTATGACTGTGAAATTGTCAGAATTGAAGTAAACATTTGTTTAACAAAGCAATTTGTTCTCCAAATAGGTTTCAATCAGGGAGCTGATGAGGCAGATAAAATATAACTGCAGATATTAGAAATAAACATGTAAGTAAGTCAGCTATGTTTGTTAGTGACATGCCTCGTTTTTTTGTTAAAGTTGCTGATTGTGTCATTATGTAACTTTTTTAGTAGTAAATGCTGCAGTAATATCAAAATGCTGATTTCTTTATGTTTAGGATATTTGTGAGGTGAACACGTGATACCATGATGCCTGAGTGCTTGTGACATACATCACCTAGTGATGCAACCTGGACACATCATCAGTGATGTTACCTGGGATCATCGAGTGTTTCGGGTCTTTCAAGCATCATACACTCTCCTCCAGGCGACCCAGCCGGGGGTGATCAATCCCCAGCTTGTGTCCAGTTAGTGCTACCCTACCCACGGGTCTCCTCTCCTGATCCACAGCCACCGTGAGGCAACCTCTGCTGCCTCCGTGGCCTCCTTGATGGCCCTTCGCTTGCTTGGTCCTGTGATGCCCAGCATGCTATATACTCTGCAGAGGGACTGGCCTGCGAACCCTCTGCATCCCACCTCGATGGGCTCACATCTTGCCCGCCACCCATTGAGCCTACATTCCTCCACCAGACCCTGGTGTTTAGCCCTCTTCCTCTCATTGGCTCGTTCCCATGGTACCGTGAGCTCCAGCAGCACGACCTGCTTGGAGGTTGCTGAGATCAGTACCACGTCTGGCCTCAGCGATGTTGTGGCCACATACTTTGGGAATACCAATTGTTTCCCCAGGCCAACTCTCAGCTCCCAGTATTGAGCCATTGCTAGCAGGCCAGAGGAGGTGGTCCTGGCAGCAGCTGATGGTTTCTCCCCGGCTCTGATGAAGGAGATGGATTTCCTTGTTGGGCGCAGGTGCTTGCAGTGGGCAATTCCATTGCAGATGGCATTTGCTATGGCCTTCAATACCTGGTCGTGGCGCCAGCAGTAGCGCCCCTCACTCAGGCCTTTCGGACAGAAGCTCAAGATGTGCTCCAGGGTCCCTCTCTTCTGACACAGTGCACAGGCAGGCGACTCAACCTTCCCCCAACAGAATAAATTAGACGGGCTCGGCAGTATGTCGTAGACGGCCTGGATGAGGAATTTAATGCGCTGGGGCTCAGCTTTCCATAGCTCAGTCCAAGTGACTTTGCGCTCTGCCGCCTGCTCCCAACGCATCCAGGCTCCCTGCTGCCGCATTCCAACCATCCTGCTGGTTCTCTCTTCCGCCACTGCTGCTCGCACCTCTCCCTGGAGCAGTGCCCTCCTGTACTTCCCCTTAGCCTTGTCGTAGCGAGGTGTTGCACCGCTACCTAGGCCTGCTCTTCCCCGGGCAGCCGTCCCCACCAGCACCCTGTGCCGCAGCCGTGACTCCGCGGCATCCACGGCCTCTGCTGCCCTCCACTTCCGCCCCGTCCTGACTTCGATCCCGGCTTGAGAGACTTTTGGGTCGCTTGACTCTCTGTACTGCAGCACCTCTGTGTGCATATGTATGTACCACTGTGATTCATGCCATTCCTGTTGAAGCCATTCATAAGGCACCTTAAGTGAAAACGTCTAGATTTACCTCGTCATCCTCCAGACAGACCTTTAACAGCCCAGCTGTGTAATTAAGCACCTAATGTTTTAATATATTTACTTTTGCATCTGACCTTTGGCTCTCCATGAAACAAATGTGACTGTTCACTTCACCACAGACACAATGCAGAGACCTCCCTGTGGCCTGTCTTTTCAAAAACAGAGACAAAGCCCTGACCTGCTCTGTGACGGTGAATTAGACCCACACTTTGGGGACACATATATCTGCTCAGAAAAGGGCATCCTTGGAGCTCTGCTGATTTGTGGCTGACACCTTATTTGTCAGAGTCTTTAGCGGGCTAACCTTTCAGAAAGCACTGTTATTGATATTGGCACTCAATAGCACCCCAGGTACATCTGTTTCTATTCAGACGCATGCTAGTTAACATTCTTGGAAATCAATATGTCACTCTTAGACAGGAATTATGAGTGTTGTCATGATCAAATGTGCACTTCTGTTAGAGAGTACAGCTTAAAACTGTGGTTTACAGTCACTATTTGAAGATGTTTGTTAATCATCAGTATCTATCTTGACGTCAGAGCTTTGGCATAAATCACACATGAGAGCTGCAGCACAGCACGTTCCCATTTCTCCCCCCGAATCAACCTGGCTTTTATGTTGCAAAAGAGAATAACACAGCACTCATAAGTAATACACAGCCTGACATAACAGCAATTACTGAAGATCTTGAGTGAACTTGTACCTGCAAAGTGGATAAATTTCCCCGCTGGTTACATTTTAGCGGCTGGGTGATAATTTGTTTTTCTTCCTCTTCCTACCTATTGAAACAGCTTGTTGTTTTGAAACAACTGACCTTTCTCTTAATAAGCTGTGTGTTTGTGTGTGTGAGGAAGAGCAGTAGGAGTAGTGTGTCACCAATGCATCCTCTTTAAAAGTTGTGTTTACATCACACAGACTTGTCCTGCTGATTTTGTTGAGCATCAGAAATGTCAGGTGAAACCTTTTCTTTTTGGGGGAAATTAGTCTTAATTAATTCCTCACTTAGAGTCTGAGTGATAGTGTTTATTTTGAATGTACTCCCTATCCACCATAATTACCTACAATGAGAATAAGCTGTTTACACATTATGCTCCTACGCTTCTTTGGTGCTTCTACTTGTTCTTAAATGCAAAAAGCAAATATCTCCTCACGTGTTCGAGAAGATAACTATGCTGACACATAAAAAGAGTGTCAAGAGTGGACCTAAACAAATAAGAGAGAGAGAATGAGGCATTTGGAAAAGGAAATGATGTTGGGATGGAACAGACCCAAAGACAGAAATGAGTATGCTTCTTCAAAAAAAAAAAAAAAAGAGGTAAAAGCACAGAAGGAAAGTCAGTCTGAGTTCCCAGACAAAGTGGAGAGGAATCACGAGCAGCAGTGTGCGCTGAGAACAAATGAGGAATGGGCAGGGAGGGAAAATCAGCAGTAAAGGAAAAGTGGTGCTGACAAGCTGAAGAAGGTCTCATCGATAATAATAACAATAAAAAAAAAAAACGCAATATCAAATTTAAATTCAGCAAGAAACGGAGGTTTAACTGCAGCAGTGTGGCTCAGAGAAGTAAAAAGAGAAGCTATGTTTTAGTTTTAGATCCTCATTTCCTTAAAAAACAGTAAAGCTGCACCCTGCAGTCTGGTGGCATTAGGTTATAGTAAAAAAAAAACAACACGTTCAGGAGCCTCCATTGATTTGCTTAGTAAGTGATTATGACACTTTAAAAAAAAATTCATCTCTTTAAATTACAGCATTGTACTTTTGAACCATCCAACAGTCTCTTTAGATTCTCCCCCGTACCCATAACTGAAGTTCTGTTATTTTTATGACGTTTTTTTTTTTTTACTTTTATTTTGCTTTTCTGTTTGTGCATATGTGAGTTTGATTTTTGGCGCTGCTTGACGCCTTGAATAATGCATGAAAATAGAATGCATGAATATGCAGTGTATGCTGTCTGTCAGTGTGAGATTCAGGTGAGTGCCTCTGTCGGTTTATTTACCTTTATTTACTTTCTGAGCACCAACAAATTTCAGCTTTGGTGGATATTTTCCATTTATGTCTTGATTTTTAGTCCTTTGCCTTTTCATAAGTGTCCAACTTCCATAGATATAAGTCTCTCTCTCTCTCTATCTCTCTGTATGTGTGGGCCATACATGGGTTAATGGGGGTAACAGCTCTCCACACTGATGGAATATTGATGGGACATAAACATGAAGTCCTCAGACTACAGTGCCCAGAAGGGCCATAAAACATGAGAAGGCTCTCACATAACACAACAAAGGCAGCAGAAGTTGTTTACCCCAAGCTACAGTGCTGCTGCTGACACACACCACCCCAGAAATACATACATGACTGTACAAATATACACTTACAAAAACCTCCATCAGTGTAGAGTCTGTCTTCATCGAAAGAGAGATGAAGTTGTAGCATTAAAAGGATTTTTAATGAAGTTTTGGTCAAAGACAGGTTTTTAAGTGAGGGGCTGATGGGTGTATTTGGAGTAGAGGATGGCATACTCAGGTGGATCCTGGAGCACAGGTGAAATAAAACAGCAGATTGTCAATGCTCAGGGGACCAGTTAAGAAACAAACTGGCTGGCTTTAATGTTAAACTGTGGGATGATGAGAGACTGTAGAGCTGGAGTTCTCCTGTACTGCAGGCTGATGACGGTGGCATAAAGGTGTGCAGGCTGCGGCTTGCGGTCAGGTCAGGTTTCTCAAATGTCATCTACCATTTGTAACAATGTTCAGAGTTCAATGAGTTGAATCTGTGTGACCAGTTAAGTGGGAGTGACTTTAATTAAGTGGATGCTCACTGTGATTCACTACACACTACATTGTACGTGCACTGCAGGTGTAGCCATTAAACGGCACACCTGTTGCAGCTGCGAGACAAATTTCCTGGTAATCACAGAAATACGTCCGGAGAGAACGTCTGTCTCGAGGGTCATACCAGGGTTTTGTGAAAGCAGCAGCCATATATAGTGGTTTTTTTTAGATCACAATGTTAGACCCCTGGGGCCCCTTTGAAAATCACTGTTACTGCTCAGCAACGTGAGGCCGTCAAGCCCAGTTCTGTGGTGAGTTTTCAGAAAGATTTTAGGCAATTCATCTCAAGAAGAAGGTGACTTTCTTAGTTCGCTCCGGAATTTACAACAATTAGTCTTTATAATACGAACTCAACCACCTTTTCCTCTGCAAACTTTGAGAAACAGCTTCACATCAGCTGCTTTATAATAAAAACTGGACTATTGTGAGTTGTAGAAAGCTCTTATAATCTGTTTGGGACCGTGACCGTTTCCTGAGTCTGCCTTTCATTAACTACAATAGAAATTCTGGTTTTGATTCAAAAAAGGGGTGTTGTGTGAAAGACAGAGGTCATGTGACCTTGTTGAGTTGTTGATTTTAGTTGAGAGGGACATTGTACTAGGTTTTAGGAATCTCCCAGGCTAGTGCTGTCCTTTTTTTGTTTTTTAAGCTCTCTTTTTTCTGTGAGTTCCAGTATATGTGTAGTATAAAAGTATTTAAGTAAAAACAAAAGTCTTCAATAGTAAAAGTCTTTTAAAATCCAAACCTCTGAAACTGCAAAGGGCTTCAACATACATGCACCGTCACAGCGTGGAAACTTTGTAGACATGCTTTGCACAGGGACTGATGCTGTCACATTAAAAAATAAAACATGTTGAATATCACATCAGGTCCGTCTTCTGGAAGTTTATTCACTGGAAAACTTGGGGGACTTAAATGTTCTCATCCAAGCCTGTTGGGTATCTTGTCTTAGTTTTCACCAGCCGTGTAATTTAGTTTAGAAGTCTGTGTTTGAAGTCGGGGTCAGGAAAAAGTTGTTCATTTGCAGAATTGTGTGAAAATGTACATGAAAGTCAAATGGAGTGAAACTCTGCCATAAAACTCCTTGTATCTGAAATGCAAGCTGCATCCAACGCACAATGCACCAACCTAGCTGTGCCACTTATAATGATTTCCCTTTTATTTGGTCATTCTCATACAAACACAAGTGCAAAACACACCAGCAAGTCACAAAACACGATGGCATTACCTCTTATAAAAACAGTGTGAATTGTCCAAACATGAGGGGAGCAACAATATTGTCAATAAAATGCGCTCCAGCTCTTCCACTCCAGCTTCAGTGATTACTCTTAAGAACCATGATCCCCTGTCTGAGCATGTCAGTAAACTGGGAGTGTAGAAGTTTTGTCAAATTAGCATTTTTGGTAGAGCCCAGGTGTTTGTGAAGTGAAGGCTGCATTTTACTGTGACGGTAATCGATAAATACTTTGACATCAAACATGGATTAGATAAATGTGTCTCTTTATTTACTGTCAAAAGCCCCACATTAACCAAGATTTCATCAACTTAGCTGCCGGTTTCAGAGGCTTTAGTTTCTTTTATTTGCTCAGTTTTACTCTTTTTTTGTACCCTCCACATTTGTTCCCTTGCCGTTTGGAAACAATATTAATCTACCACTTGCGAAATCCTCCAGGATGTTTTTCCTGCTCATTTGTTGCACTTTGTGTTCTCGCCAACAACCCGTCTCTTCCTAATCTTTTTTTTTTTTTTTCAATCTTCATCAACTTGTTGCTCTGTTTTTTCCCTATTTTATTTTGTTTTGTCTTTTTAGATGCTCTCACAGGGTTCAGTCTCTGCTGACTTCTCACCCATGCACCACATGACAGTTTTTTATTCCCTGACTGGAGAAATAATAATTGTCTTTTGAGAATGTATTGGTTGTTCCCCTTTACCACAATTTTTTAAAAGACTTGATTAAGAACCTCAGGTAATGTAAATTGATAGATTTATTTAGTAAATAAAAAAGAAAAGAAAATGTAATTAGGAGGATTCAATAGACAAAATAATATAGCAACCAGTGTGTCACTCTGATTAATTTGTGTATTAATTTATTGAGAGTTTCTGTAAATATGTATAAAAACACAAACTCACTTGGCCTTTGACTTATGTGCATTTGCTTCTCTTTCACTCACTCTCACGTACACATGATTTACTCTCTATAAACCATGGATGAGCACGTATATGAAACCTGATTATATCATCACTGTGCTGCTGGATGCTGAGGATCCTTTCGCTCTTCGCTCTAAGTACTCTTAACGAAACATGCCAATTCTAATTAAGCGTGTGTGTGTGTGTATGTGTGTGTGTGTGCGTGTAAACCTGTGTGCTTTTAAGCGTGTGTGTGTTGACATGTAAACTGGGATAATGAACGACAAGTGCTTTTAATTTTGTGCTTAATCAGGTGTCACATATGGTTTACAAGGCCTGTACTCTGAGTGTCTGATGTGTGCATACGCCATGATTAAGTCTCAGATGTACTTACAGGTCTGTTCAGATACATCATGTACCTTTTAAGATGGTGGAGCATGCATGTGTGGTAATTATGCTGGATGCCAAAGCAATTGAGCAGTTTTTCAAACTAAAGCCCTGGAAATTTCAAAAGTGTATAATTTTGTTAGTTTGTAGGTCAGACCTTCTCTAAATTGGCAAAATTACTCTGTGAATCAACCTTGTCTGCAGTTGTTGAAACTGGTTCTCTAACTGGTTTCTCAATAAAGGAGCCAAGCTGACCAGGACCCGTAATGGGTATTATACCTACTATTGACAAGTACTTTATAAAACCCCAATTAAAAAAAGGAACTTGAAATAGGAGTGAACTAAGTGAATTAAAGGCCACCACACACAGACATCCTTATGAAAGGTGCTACAACAATCACATTCTTACATCAAATGATGCCCTCTGAAGCAGAAAAATAATGAATGCCTCTTTTTAACATGCATACATCTAAAAAGATAACTCCAGAACAAATTACTTTCCTTTTATTAACAGAGCTGGGTGTCTGGGTGTGAATTTATGGAAGGTGTGACCAAATCTACCAAAATCACTCGTACCAGGACCAGGGAGACTAACATGAGGACTGTTGCTCAGAAGTCCGAAGTCTTTCTGGAAAGACGTAAAGTGTACATTTCATTTGGATATCAGGGTCCAAGAATCTGGGGGAGGAGTTGAGATACACAGAGTCCAAGATTCTTGACACTCAGTGGGAAGTTTCCACAGACTGTGATAGTTTGAGGTGCCTTGTGATCTGCTTGTGTTGGTCTTCTGTGTTTAAGATCAGAGTCAATGCAGCCTAAAGTCTACCTGGAGATTTCACACCTCTTCATGCTCCCATCTTCTGAGAAGCTCTGAGATGCTTTTCCAGTAGAAATTAGCTCCTGTCCACAGCGCCAAAACTACTACTAAATGGTTTGCTGACATTATTGTGATTAATGGGTCGGCAAGTTGGCCTGATCTGAAACCTTACAGAGTATCTGTGGGATACTCTCAAGAAAATATTGACAAGCTGAAGGCCGCTATCAAGGCAACCCGGGCTTGGCTGAAGTATTTACATACAATCAATGTAAATACTTTTGAATTGGATAACATTAAAACTTGTTTCCCCATTAGTTAATTTGTTGGGATGCATGTGTACATTTTGTACTTCTGAACAAACAGCAATAGGATCTTTTCAGACCAAAGTATAACTGTGTAAGATCTCTTCAAGAACTGAGTACTGGATCAAAGAAAATACCAGACAGGTTTATGGTTGTTTCAATGTGTAAAAAGTAATGGTTTCTGTAGACCTGATGCTCCATCTGCTCAAAAGACTTTCTCTCTCTCTTTCACACACACACACACACACACACACACACACACACACACACACACACACACACACACACACACACACACGTTATCAGCCTCAGCATTAATCCACAAGATTAATGTTTTTGTTTAACTGACATTTTAGGTGCTAAGCTCTCGTTGTGTTTGCGCTGTGATATCTTTTTCAGGTGCAAACACACACACACACACACACATGCACACGCACACACACACACACACACACACACACACACACACACACACACACACACACAAACGCACCTTAAAACTTCCTCTGCTTTCATCCCACCTCAGTATCAGTGTGTGTAAGGGAGGAAAATGTCCTGAGGGTGTCTGGAGTCTGTGATCTTCTTCGCTTGCCAAAATAATTCACTCTACCTCTCGCTATGATCGACTCCCTCCTCTTGCTTTCTCTAAAACTCTTTTCTCTGTTTGTTTTATATCCCTTAAACTCCATTCTGTCTTTGTCTCTTTTTACATCCTCTCTTTTGTTTTCACTATATTCATTTCCTTTTTTTTTTTTTTTCAACCATATAAACAAAGCTTGATTCATCTTCAGCAGCAATTCTTCCTGCCGAGCTTATTGAGATGCGAGAAGCAGAAGGTCAACAACAAAGATGACAGGGGCTGCTATAAAAAAAAAAACTGATGGTAATTGCAGCTCACAGTCTCAGGAGAAAGTTCATAATAGCAACATGATCCGATAAGCAATAAAGGAGCTACGTGTAGCTTCTCCACAAAACAAGTTAATCGAGCCTCTTATCTTGACTCCTCCAACTGCATCAGATCAAATAGAGTTCCTCAATATGTTAACCAGCCTCTCTTACGCAAAATAAAACATACAGGTGAGTATTAAACACCATAGCTTCTGTTTCTGTACTTTTCCACTTTTAAGTTCCTGTGAGTAGTTTCCTGTGATAAAATGGGCTGAAATAAACAGTGCTGTTGCTGCAATTTATGATAGTTTTGCTTTGTCGTTTTACTGCCCAGTGCTGAGTTAACCCAATATTCTATTTGATAACAAAGGTGTTTTATTTTGAAAGGACATGAAATATACTTTTGTGGCATCCCAAAGTTAAAGGAGCAAGTGGAAACTAGGTAAAATAATCAGCAGTGCAAAATGTTTGGTGCATTGTCTCCCTCTGAATACTTAAATGGTTGGCAAATATAACTTGGCAGCCTTAAAGTTTTCGTCTATGTGTGGACGAAAAGTCTGACAGTGTATATTGCACTGCAGAGCTTCACCTGCTGCCACCATGTCTGTGAAACTGAATTCTGCTACAGACCTAAGAGATTTAACGGCATTGAACTTGAAAGGTCAAAGGCAGAAAGTGTCCTCTACTATCTCACCAATTTGAATCGTCCTGCATGTGCACAGATTTTCACCTTCCTCATGAAATGCACTATTTGACTCCTTAGGTGTGTTGAGACGGGTGTTAAGGGGTTGTGTCTTAATTTTTTCTGAGTGAAAAAAAAGGAACTTTAACTGAAGGAAGAATAGCTGGACAAGGTCACATAAATTTACCAAAATTCACCTCTAGTTCTCCTCCACCTAGCGTGTCACCCCTGCGGAGATGACATTGTCAACTCTTCGTAGCCTCATACTTTTGGAGTACTAAGTGACGGAGGACAGGCACAGCCGTCCGCTGAGCACTGAAGCTGTGAGCATTAAGACGGCTGTGGCTCAACAGAGGAGAACTATGAGAGGCTGAACAGTTGGCGCTGTAGACACAAGCTAAAGTCAGATCAGCCTTAGCTGGGATATGTAGAGGAGAGTACATGGTGTTAGAAGAATTGAAGATCTGATTTCTGATGGCATGTTCAGAGGCAGTGGCACATTTCCTCTCATTTGTTTGACTTATTTTTCAAAATTCTTCATTTTCATATGAAGATAATGATGTAAAAAATAGTTGCATTAGTTATTATGAGGTTAATAAAAATCTGGAAAGCCAAGATAACCAGGGAGAGATTTGTGCGCTTTGTTTTCCTCTCTCTCTATGTCTGACTCTGCCACTCTCTCTCTCCCCCTCCATATTTTTTAGTTACCTCTCATTGAAAATGATAATAAAGACAAAGGAAAGAGAAAAGCGGGAAAATTTCTTTCTCTTTCATTACATCTGACTCCAGAATAATCAGATTTTCAAGTGACTGCCTGGGGATATCAAGACCGGTCTGTGTGGCTGAACTTTCCCTCCTCCCCGTGTGTTAGACTAAAAATAGGTGCCACTACAGTATAATCCAATAGTCAAGACAGGCGTGGAGACACAATCACACACGCATACACACACCTCTGACTCTGGGACTTAAGAAAATGTATATGGAAAAATATAAATCTCCACTTTGAGAGATGAAGCTGAAAAGCTTAGAGGCTTTTTTTTATTGTAGAGGGTTAGAGAAACAGAGCGAGTAAGGATGTCAAAAAAGAGGGATGGAAAGAGAGGAAGAGAAAGAATAGAGATGTTATTTCCTCAGGTGAAGTTGTAGATCACCGTTTCTAGAGAAGTCTATCCTGCCTTTGTCAGAGAGTGTCCTGCCCCACTGTAAAATCTTGGTGTTTTACATTTTGGTCTCAAAACACTGTAGAGGTGTCGCCTTTCAAACCCATAATTTGATTCAGTTTCAGCTCAAGGTCATGACCTGATCCGAAACATTTTTTTGACTCATTACCGATTTGCAATCAGTTCCCCATTTGTGAGGCCAGGCATTCACTCTGCAAATTGAGGCTGATTCTGACCTGATTTTTTGGTAGCATGGCTGATTTTGGAGTCCCTAGATTTTTGCCTGATGGCGCGTTGTTTGCTATGCATTGTGGAGGTGGGCAGGTGAGCCGATTGTGGCTCCACCTGCTGCTCTCCACCACTCAGAAGAATTTCTTGCATGTCAAAAATTTGGGTCGGCTGACTGCTCGCTCTTGCACAGTGAGGGCTGAGCCACAAGCCAATTCCTCAACGCCAGGGGCTTTTCCTTGATTGTGCCTGTGCAAAATGGGAAACCGCAGCCCAATCTTAATGTCCATACTCACTCACTTTGAAGCGACTTCCCACTACCTCCATAAGGGCTTAGAGCTGTCCTGCTGTCAAATGATCAAGGGGTCTCTGCCAGACTTTTTGAGCCCTATATGCACCTTTTCCATAAGTGGGCATCTCTGCTTGCTTTGCATGAGATAATAACACATAATTTATAATTTATTTATGTTGTGATGTTTGTCAGAGGAAATCTGCAAGCATGGAGGAAGACAGGAATGCCAAAACACAGATTGTTTTAAAAAATGTTAAATAAGGAGCATGGATGGTGCAACATAGACACCTGAAAAATTTGGTTTGTCTTTGTATTAATAAACATTGCCAAGATTCACTTGTACACTTGTTTTTTTTTTTTTTTTTTATCTGAACAGTAGTTATTTCCCTATCTTACATGTTTGATTAACCGAAGCATAACAACAGATAATGCCTCTTTGTTAACATGTATATATCTACCGCGATAACACCAGAATAAATTTTTCTACTTTTATGAACATTTCAGAAAGGTAGAGCTGGGTGTCATCTGTGTAGCAGTGGAAAATAATATTGAATTTACAGAAGGTATGACCGAGAGAAGGCATGTAGATAATGAAGAGAAGAGGGCCCAGAACAGAACCCTGGGGAACACCCGACGAGAAAGATACAAGATACTTATAAATAACTGAGCTCTGATATGACTATTGCTTTTGAACTTGTTTAATTTTTGTTTGTTTGTTTTACTGATTTATCTTAGGATTTATATTGAAACTCCAGATTCATTATTATCCCGTGAAGCTTCTGAAACAATCTTACCGGGCTTTAGATCCTTAATCTCGTACAGATTTGCTTCTTGATCAGTTATGTAGCAGACAAGTTTATGCAGCTGAAACAGATCTTCCTTGTCCAAAGCCTCAACTGGAGATTTTTTTAAACAGGCATCAGTAGAAATTGCAGAGGAGTTTAACAATTGAAGGCATACAGGTTTGTGTTTGAGATCCGGGCCTAGTTGTTCAACTGTCATCTAAAGAGTGAAATTGATCTGATTGGATCACGTCTTGAGAATGGATTGTTAAAAAAAAGTACAGATATTTATATATAAATGAAATCTTTTGATGTATTACAGAATATATTCTCAATGAGGGCTATCCAGTTTTTATGAAAAACTTGAGAGGATCATCTTTATTCAAAAATATTATGTAAGAGAGAGAAAAGTAAAAAAGCAGTGATTTTTTCTTTTTCGTTGGTAGAGATGAAGCACACAACGAAAGTGACAAAGAGAGAAAGTGATACAGAGGGTGGAACAAAGTGAGGAGGGAAAGAAAGAGAAGGCCACTGCGTTGGCAGAACAGTGACTGTGTAATGTCTCCATTAGTGGCAAAGTAGTTCTTTATGGGTTTATGACTTGATAAATGAGCTGTAATGGACAGAGAGATCATTTCTATGGTCTCTGTTTCACTCAGCAGGATAAGAGCAGTCACCTGAATCTAACACACACACACATATACACACACCCTGTGGGCTTAAAAAATTACTAAAGGATTTTGACTATCTAAAGTGTTTTTATGGAGGGATGCACAGATTTAACGTTTTCTCCTCTGGGGATGAGTATTAATCTGTGTTCTTTGTGCTGTGGAGCTCATTGGGATCATTTTACGGAGGTAACATGAGGTCAGAGATTGTTGTGGTGCTACATCTTAGGCTGGTGTGTTTGATTAAATGTGTAACATCTGACACATTCTTATGAAGTATGTTTAAACTTAGTGCTATTTTAGATATTCATTATCATTTTAAATAGGTGGCAGCAGATAACCCAAGAGTCAAGGGTGTAATCACATTGGGCAGAAGACAGGAGTGGTCTAAACTGACACAACATGATATTGTTGTGCATACAGCATACAGACCATAGTAACTTATACATGCACACGCACTCTTACTGCACACACATTCATCTACAGTCAGTGTGTGTCGGCACCGCTATGAGAAGCTGTACTGTTGTGCATGGTTGTGTGTGTGTGTGTGTGTGTGTGTGTGTGTGTGTGTGTGTGTGTGTGTGTGTGTGTGTGTTATGTGTTTCAGACACATCATATAACAGGAAAGGGAAAGAGAGGGAATGATAAAAAGTAAATGGCAGCAGTTGTTGTCAACCCCAGGACATTTTGGGTAATATAAGGAGCAGTTTGTCAATTTATTTCTCACACACACACACACACACACACACACACACACACACACACACACACACACACACACACACACACACACACACACACACACACACAGAGTCAGCTGGCAGCTGAATTCACACACTCATTTGAGCAGTTTTAACGCCGCATTGTTCACGTTAATAATGAGCTGCTGGCTGGGAGACCAAGACAGCAGTTGTCTGAGGGTGTCACAGTGTTTACCATTGTTTACCGTGTTTGCACTGACTGCATTTAGGAAAGTGTTCTGCTGTGTCACTGGCTCAACGCTGCCCGGGATGCAAATTGAAATAACTACTAAGATTCTGAAAACATCAGCTCCGGTAACTTTTTAAAACTCAAACTTAATGTTAGCTTTGGCAGATACAGTGCCCTATTGTACGCCCAGTGCAAAGTGCCTGGACATGCATCACAGGCCTCATTGTTATTTTCTGCCTGATGCAGTGTTCATTTTCATGCCCAGTGCCCACGCTGGATAAATAGCGAATGAAATTGAGCTCCTACGAGGTTGTTAGACATAAAATGAAGTTTTCTTCAGGTGCACAGGTGGTGCATTGGTATCTTGAGGATGCAGAGACTGAGTCCCTGCTGCATGTAAAACCGCAAGACTGTTTTCCAAGGATATACAAAATATACAGAAAACTGTATGTGTCAGTAAATCCATTAGACTAATCCAGAACAGAACTGCAAGCTGCTCTAAGTTACATGAGAAGTACACATGAGGGGTATGAGACTTGGCCCATTTTGTGACACATATGGCTGGTGAACCCCCATAAAAGAACATTATATTACAATGCAGAGATGTCCTAAACTTTTCTGTCACTTGATACTTTTCTAAACTATGTGTGTGAGATTAGAGGGTCAAAAGATGTTGCCATATTTTATAAATTGTCTTTTAAATAGAGGAACACAAATGACGTTTTCCCACCTTATTGCCCAGTTGTCAAACACAAACCCTAAGGCAAATGTCTAACACTGTCAATCACATTTGGGCTGGTCTGTGACATTTGTAGTGACATGTAATATGCAAAAGAGCAGAAGTAGTACGTTTTTGAGAGCTTTAATCGAGAAATTGAAACACCTTTATTTCCATCGCAATAATGAGTTGAGAAATAGTTTGACTTATTCTCTGGCAACAGTAGAGGAAGCTTCAGGAGAGCAAAAGACTGACTCATGGTGGATGTGGGTTGGGCCTGGGAGTTGAGGGGACAGTAGTTGACACCAGTCTGCGATGATAATTAGGCAAACCTTCTACAAAGAAAGGGAGGATATAAAGCTTGAAAGCAAACATAATCATGGTACCCCCTCTTCAATATTTCAAGAAAAATTAACCCCTCACACACCCTCTTCCCTCAGTCCCTGTCTCCTAGCTCCAGTATGTCACTGCTGGCCTTCAGTGTCTTTTATTTCTTACAAACCAACATGCTCTAACTTTACTTTAATCACTTCAATTAGCCCCCATCTCCTGGTGATGATCATGACCTTTTCCAGCCAACAGCTTCCCCACAACATCAACACTCCAACCAGAATCAGACTGTTGACATTTCAGGGGGCATGATGCAGACCACTTATAGGCTATTAAAGAGTTAGCTTCAGAATTACATTTTAGCACCAGTGTTTTCTGTCTGAGGTGTTTCTCCTTATTGAAACTAGTGTTCTGGGTTAAGATTTTACAGAGGATACACAGCATCTGTATGTTTATGTCAGATTTAGTGGTATTCCAGTTTTTTTTAGACACACTGTATGTTATTATGTTGTGGTTCAGTCTTACCGTCTAAGATGACATAAGTTAGTAACTACCAGGCCTGAATTTTACCTTTTTAAAAAGTGAATTGAAGTCAAGTCTTCCTAAAATTAGAAAGAGGAAAATTTTCAAGTACATCAGGACTCAATGAATGCACAAGAAGGGCAGTGTTTGCTTCTTACACAGTCTATAAATAAGCACTTAGCTATCCAATATGATTGGTTACATTAACATTATGCAAAAGTCTGATTAATCTTAATAAATAAGTACAATGATTATGTGTAAGAAAAAAAGCTTTTGATGTGGGGATTTTGAGATAATAATCATTAAGTCACCAGAATGAAATTCAAGAATAATACAGACCACCGGCTGCTCCTCTGATATCCTTCTATGTGTAATTTTAGCCCACGTGTAGATTAACCATGGCCCATTCTTTACAACTACTTTTTTTACATGTAAATTTACAACTTTCTTGTTAGATTTCAAGTTGAGTCTTGTAACTCTACAACTTCAATGTCATAACACTGCAGCTGTATTGTCTCGAAGCTTTATTTCCACTCTGTATTTAGTCTTAGAAAACTAAATCATATGTTTTTCTTCCTTATTGTGACCCTCTGTCATCTTCTCCCTCAAAATGGTTATCTTTACTTGTTGGATGGTGGCTTGAGTATAATGGGCATGTTAGATTATGCGATACCCTCAAATTGAGCACTGATCATTATGGGAATTATGTACAACATAGAGAACAGCATAAAAAAAGTTTGAGATCTGATTTTCACTCTTTATTATATCTGTTTTTATTGCACTATAGCTCAATTAAAAACATGCACATATTTTTCACTTGAATATTTGCAGAATCGGAGCCGACCTCAGAGCTTTGTATGTTTTGGTTGGACGGGTCTGTATATGTGTCAGAGGCAGATTATAACATACTTAAGGGTCCCCCATAGATTTGTAGTGAAACTGAGTGCAGTGAATATAATACAATACAGTGACAAGAAGTCCCTCTGTTTACAACTTCAACCCATTATATCCTCTATTCCCCACGCTCTCATTTCTCAATACTAATCTGACAAAGCATCCCTTTGATGATGAGCACTGGCCCTGTGCGTTTGTGTGCACTCGAGAACTGTGTGTGCTTTAAGCTGTGGCTGTGTGTGTGTGTGGATGTGTGTGTGGATGTGTGTGTCTGTGAGGAAGTGGGGAGAATAGCCCCTGTGGAATAGCAATCAGCAGAACAAAACGGGCGTTGAAAAAGAAAAGAAGAGATGAATGGCTGTTGAAATAACACAGAGAGGGGAATGGTGGGGGATGTTGACAGCTCTAATTAAAATCCCGCCCATTAGCTCAGTGTAAATTGGATGATTTATTCTCCCAGGGGACTGACTGACAATCAAATGATGCCGATAGTATTAAAATGGATGTGAAAACGGGTATTATCATGCTTGTGATGTGACGATATGAAAATGATGGCGTTGTTTTGTTGTAAGTAATCCTCACAGCTCATCAGCCAATCAGGATCATCTCCAAATAAAACAAGTGCTTGAACAAATGAAGATATAAAACAAAAAAACTAGGACTGATTGAGTTTAGATGAGAGACGAATAGGATGTGAAATTTCAGTCATACCTAGAATGAATATTAGTTTAACTAAGCACAAAGTTAAGAAACAGGAGAAAATGAGTGTGTGTGGAAATGCTCAGACATCTTTGACGTGCAAAGGTGCTGTTGTCAGAGGGTTTTTGTTCCTTTGCCTTGTCAGCAAGACATTTTTGCCAGAAATGGCATTTTTATTTTGGATCTGTGGCTGTCCTGGCCTTTTGTCTGAGTGATTTTTAAGTGGAGGGGCAAAATTTACATAATCTGGATTTTGCATGTTTGGCAGCTCATTGTTACTCAGGTGAGGCTTTATTGTGACCTGGCATGGCTGCATTAGTTCAAGTAAGGACTGGTTTAAGGAAATACTCCCAGCATCAGCTTTTAAACTGTCAATATGTTTGACTCACTGTTCAGGAAGAAAAATATTAAATACAGAGTAAAAGATGGGTGGATGGATTGGCAGATAGGTGGATGAGAGAGGGATGAAGTAATAGAAAGATGGACTTTATTGATCCTGAACTGGGACAACTGAGTCAACTCTTTGCAATATAAGTCATGCCTACTTTGTTCAACGACTTTAGTACAACTAAAAGTACATGGAATCAGGTTTGTGTCAAAAATAATCGAACAAAACTTCTTCAACATCAAACAAAAATAAGAATTTGAGAAGAATAAAACACAAACAAAAGGATGTATGACAAAAAGTAACAGGCCAGTAGTTTACACAATTGCACAAATAATTTGTTTGCAAGTAACAAGTTTTACTTCTGAGATGACTTTTTTTTTTAGCTTCAGTGAGTTTTATTCTCTCTCAAATTCTTATTTTTGTTTGATGTTAAAAAAGTTTTGTTTATTACTTTTGACACAAATCTAATTCCTTAAAAATAAAAACCACCACAGCCTTTATTATGTACATTCAACTGTTAAAGAGTGTTTACCATGTCCAAAACCAAAAACATGTCAAAATTCAGCAAGTCAAATCTACATATTGCAGCTCTCTGATGAAAAACATATATCTCTGCTGAAAGTAAACAACAGTGCTGGTAAACTGAAATACCAACTAAGGAATGTACTTTGCATTCTTATTTTACTCCCTTATTGGCTGTCTATAAACCTCTGGCTCTGATTTCCTATTAATGTGAGTGGAGAAATCGAAAGACAGTGGAAACACAACTAAGTGAAGAGATAGTCACCAAGTGTGGGAGAGATCAGAGCAACAGCTTTGAGACATACAGAGACATTAGGGTAGTGTCACCCTGGTCTGTATTAAGTCTATCAAAGTAGAAAGTCAGTTTGCGGACATGACAATCAAGGGCAAGGGGTGGGAGATACAGGCTTTGATTGACACTTCTGACACTCAATGGGTGTTGAAAAGATGCTGTAATTAAATGTCTTTCCATTGGTCATTTGGATACCCAGAGCTACGGGTTGTTAGGAAAGATTATAGACAATTCACGTATTGAAAAAAAGTCCAAATCGCTAAAGGTTGAGATACATGTTTTTCATCGGACAGCAACAATATTCTCCATTAAAACTCTGCCAACCCACTACTGTGCTGCCATTATCCTATTGGTGCTTGTTTACATCCAGCCAACAAAGGTGGTAATGTTCAATTGATTAATCAACGAAACACACACGCCCTTATGAAAACGATAGATGACATCGCACAACAGCGAAAGGTCAATGTGTTTCAGCATTTTCACCTGCTGCAGCTGAACCAAGATACTAAACTGTGCACAAATACTTACACTTTTTTAGAAGACAGTGAAAAGTCCTTGAGTTTAATGGGTTAAATAAAATGTGTTAATGAGGTGTTAAGCGAAAAACTGAAACTACCAGCATCTCTCCGTCTCAGCTGGTGGGGTCTAGGATATCTTGATAAGGAAAAATAAGAATGAAATTACTGTCAATTTTGAAACACTTACAAATTTTTAATGAAGACAGCTGGGAATAAGGCCCAAGTATGATAAGGCCATTAACTCAAAAATTAGCATTATTACAACCATTACATTAACATAAGAGACCTCCTGCTTCTGAAACACAAAGCTTGAAAGACTCGCTGTCTTTGATGCTGCTCTGGTGTGTAAGTGTGTGTGTGCTTTTAAATGTGCTGATATATTTAGAAGTTGAGGTACATCAGAGGTGCATATATGGATGCATGTATATATGTATGGTGCATGTGCCTGCCTTTTCATGTGTGTTTGTAGTGTGTGTGAACCTCCCAAGATTGGCTGAGTTATTTAGCTCCCCCAGTCCTTCAATAGAGGACTTCAAATTGATTTAGCTCAATTGCCTTTCAAAGCTACTTCAATTTCACCCCATGCAAATTTACACTCCTCTCTCTGTCTCTCATTCGATCACTCATACCCTCTCTCTCTCTCCCTCTCTCTCCCTGCCCTGTCATTTATATATCCTTCCCAACCCCACCGCCTAACTTCCCTTTACACCGCTCCTTTTACCTCTTCACTCCCGTCCTCTCCCCCATTTCTGTTCCTTGTCTTTGATAACACTCATCCACTGATTCTTGTGTTTTTTATACTTTTTGTCCCTCTTTGCTTCCCCTCTTAAGGCCCCTGGATTTACCCTTTGTAATAGTGTGTACAACCAAAGAGGCCGTGTGTTAGCCCCACAACCAGGTCAGCCAAGTGTGTACAAGTGTGTGTGTGTTTGTATCTTTGAGAATGTCAGGAGATGACAGCGTAGCAAGGGCTCACTTAGTTAGCTGACGTTGTGTGCGCTGCAGTCTGACTTCATTTGTGTGTATGTGTGTGTGTGTGAGAGAGGGAGAGAGTGTGTTTAAGTGTGTGTCAAGCGAAATAAGAGACCTTGACAACAGCAACACAATTGCAAGTCCATAAAATGGCTGCAACGCTTTAGCTTATGTACCTGGAAATGACTGCTGGCATAAACCGCTTGTCAGCTCACACACAGCCAAGCAAGCGCACACACACATAAATACACACAGTTACATTGCAAAACACTCACAAATACACAAACTAACTCTGTCCTGGATGCTCACACACGCACACGTGCGTAAAACAGATACACAGACAGATACACCTTTCATGTTGACAGGGAGGCCAGCTACCGAATTCACACACTGTTTCAGGATACTCATGCAGACAGATATTGCGCATACACTCAAAACACACACAGTATCTCCATATTTAAACCTACACACACTCACACACACACGGAGCGCGCAGGCTCTCAGGTTCTCAGTTGCTGCCTCGCTGCATCTTTTACTGAGGAATCGTTAAATTTTTTTGATGGATTCAGCAGTAGGGGGTCGGACTGAGATAGTGTCTATTGATTTTGTATTTGGCAAGCTGTGCTCAGGCCACTTAGTCCTGCAATATACCTTACCCTCCCTCCTTCTTTTTATCTCCCTCCATCGCTCACTCACACCATCAGACTCTCTTTCTCTTCCCCGTCTCACTCTTTTCCTCCCGCTCTCTCCCACCACCCTTTCTCTTCACTCCACTCTAGTTTTTCATCTTTTATTTGAAATGCTCCTTTACTTCCTCTACCACAGCCTGTTCTAACTCTTCCTCCTCTCATTTGCAGTCTTTGTCTAATTTTTCCAAACATTCTTCTCTTTTTTTTCTCCCTGTGTCACTTTCTCTATCTCATTCCCTCCATGGCACCTTTCACTCCATTTCCCTTTAATCCCTTTTCTCCCCTTTTCTGCTTCCTCACCTGTTTTACACCCCATCCATCCTGTCCCCCCCTCCCGCCACGTCTGCCGTTTTCTGCTGCCTCATCTTTTTATTACTTTTCCTTCCTCTCCTCTTCCTCCTAATTTCCTTCACACTATCTCTCCTACTGCACATCTTTTTCCCGCTTTTTGCCTCCTTAAAATTTTCGCCCTAATTTTGTGTCCCCCTTTTCTTATTTTCTCTCTTTCTCACCTCCTCCTTCTTCTTTTTTAGCCTTATCTTTTCTTCTTCTCACTCCTGCTTTGAGCACATTCATCTATCACTTTTATACGCCTTCTTCGTTTCTTTCTACTACCTCTTTCCTCCCCAAATCCCCCCCTTTCTCTCCCGTCTCTTCTTATCTTTCTGATTTTTCTCCTCTGTCCTCTCTCATCCTGCGCTGTTTGTTCTTGTCATTCTTGTCCCGTTCAGTCCTTTGTGAATAAGCTGCAAATATGTCAACCTTGCCATCCACGAAATTTGGATTCCTTCTCTGAACCTAAAACCGTCTTGTTCGCTTGTTTCCTTTTCTTTTCTACTTCCTTTGGTTCAGATGTGTTTTGTAAAGCTGCTGACCTTTTGGACTTTATATATCATTGTCATATTATGCATGAGAGCTCAGAATAATTACCAGGAACTAATGAGGCCATGGTCGGGGGATTTGTTCATCTACTGCGCACTATACTTTATTTGTTGCTGTGCAGTATGTGGAAAACTGCAGACATGCTCCATCAGTTTTCTGCCATCGTCGTCCATGACGCTGTGTTGTCTATAACACATTTTGGAGGCAGCCATAGACTGTATATTCCGTGGACAACTTGGCTCCGCCTTCCGTCTTTATATGAATTTGAAGCCAAATTGCTCTCAGTATTTCCATGATTTTCTCCACTTCAAGGAACTAACACTTGCACAGTAGCATTGTGCGCATTTGGCGGGAGAGTCGCTGTTATGATGCTCGGCTCAAACAGCGTATCCCCCAGGTTAGCTATGCAAACTGTGTACGCCTGTAGCAGCCATAGAAAACATGAACCCCCCCAAATAACTTTTAAAAATGGAGCTGTACAGAAACAAAGAGGACGTGAGCACAAACCAGTCTTGCAGTAACATCATGCCAACATCACTAGCCGGGGGGGGGGTTGTTAAAGTTTGTCCACAGCTCCAAAGGGATTGCTGGAGGAGGCGGGATTTGTGACCTATACTTCTGCCCGTCACCAGAGGGTGCTGTTGTCGCGGTGGCTTCTCTCAATGAGGAGGTAGATGGCGTCTATTCTATATAAAGTCTATGGAGGCAGCATGGCACAATCTTCATAGACGATGTATTCATGAATGGACTTCTCTATTTTCATAACATGGTAGCAACAGAGCAAGCAGGGCAGTCCAAGCATTAAATGCAGGCACTGTTGTGTTGGTCTTGGTCTTTATCGCTAGTTTTTCATTCTCGCCAACTGTACATAGGATACAGTTGTCCAAACTCTGGAAAGCTCATCTATTCTGATTATATTAAGGCAAAGAGTCGTGTATAATTAGGACCCTGGCTGATCTGACTAACAAATTGCAGCTGTTTGCCAGGTGGCGAGGCTGTGGCCTCCTCTCAACCTTTATTTGCCAGTTTCTAATTCAGTCTGGGGTTCAAGTCAGCATTTCCATTATGGCAATGAAACCAGTGATTGACATCACTTCGACAATGTCCATGTTTTAATCAGTCCATAGTTTCCCTTGATAACATCTGCCAGCTCTGACTCCGAGTCGAGGCTGGTCAAGACATTTTTCACAGATATTGATTATGTATTTTACGAAAGTATTTTGCTTTAAAAAATATCTTTCATGACTGTCCTCTTGTAAAATACTAAATGGTCAAGTTTGACCTGCAATGGATGCTCAAACAAAACAGTCTGTAAGCAGGTGCAAACCCTCTGACAGGATGCTGCTATTAGACATTTGTCTGCGCTAAAAGGTCAGAAACATGAAAGCAGAGGTCAAAGTTTCAATCTAATTATAAATGTGATTTTTGATGATGAAATAAATTACAATGCTCAGATACTTAAATCAGGTTGAAGTAGGCCTGGACGATATAGAAAAAAAGCATATCGATAAAAAATAAATCATATTGATCGATATCGATAATTATCGATATAATTATTATAGTTATTTAACATATATTTTAATTGCAGCCCTGGATGTTTTATGCTATTGCTTAATGACCTACTTTTAATAAAGAACACACAAGCACTGAATTCAAATTCAAACCTTTATTCAACCACCTTTTTTATTTTACCACAACTGAAAGTTTTTTAAAAAAGAACTAAAAAAAAAAGAAATCAACTTAAGGGGCCTGAGTGATGTCAGTAAATACTGACAAACATAAAGACTAAAGTGACCAGAAAATCTGATAAATAAATATTTAAATAGTCTTTTGATGAAAATAAACAAAACAAACAAATATATAAATAAACAGAATAGCTTTAGGTGGGAATAGCATACTACCAGTTTTAACTGTGTGAGAAACTGCCCACAGCCTGGTGTCTGAACACTGAAATATTTCTCCCGGGGCCGGGAGATTTATTTTTTTTAATTATCATGTGATTGACTTGATACGCAAACTGAGCACGAGAAGCAGGACTTATCCACGCCGATGTTGTGTCGTAGAATGCACCCCTGCCGAATGCACCCCCTGCTAGTAGCCATGATCCAAATACTCGCGTCTTTGTAAAATATGAGCTCATTTTCTTCCACTTTAAGAAGCTAATGAGTGGACGGGATGCATTCTTCTCACCTTTTCAACCCCTGACCCATTTTCATGCCTGAAGCGCTGTGTTTGAGAAATACTTGCGGCCGGGCACTTCATATCGCGGGTCGAGAGTGGCTGGAAGCTGGTCGAAGCCAGGCTTTTCAACGGTAGTTATTGGCAGTATGTCCCTCGCTATGAAGCATGTTACTGCATGGGTGATGTCCTTATGCCGCTCGGACGCTTTGTCGTATTTTGGCAAGAAACGAAGTCCAGTTTGGTCTGCTTCACATGCTTTGTGCTGGTGCTGGCAGCGGTTCCAGAGGATTCCTCCTCCGACGACGTGGAGCCGCGGCGCGGCCGACACAGCTCGTACTCCTGCGGGTGCGACCGGTTTAGATGGTAAAACAAGTTGGTTGTGTTACCAGACTTGGTTTTTACCAATTCTCTGCAAATTTTGCAAACGACCGCTGTTCGCTTTTTGTCAGACTTCTAAAAACCAAAACATTGCCATGCTGGTGAACTACTGACAATGTCCTCCGCTTCTCCTTGCTGTATCATTTTTTCTAATACACGTGCTGTCTGTTGTGGTTTGATAGGGGCTGGGCTTGGTGCCGTAGCGTACCTGGGTCTGTGTTTGTGATTGGTTGGGAGGAAGTAATGACTGTAGTAAAAGCTACATGATAGGCTATGATGAAAAAGAAAGGGAAACTGTGTTTTTCTATCGAACTTTTTATCGACCCGTTTTTTTTCTATCGCAGCACACGTCTATCGATCGATATATATTGTTATCGAATTATCGTCCAGCACTAGGTTGAAGCATTTTTCCCCTCTCTTTTCCCTCCATCCTTTCTCATCCATTCTTCTGTCTTTGCTCTTCTTTCTTGTGCACATGTTTAAATGGACCAGAGCACATTTACAGTGACTGAATCACAGACTACGTTCTGAATAAGATGGTGTCAGTGCCTGATTTTGCAGAAGTGTGACACTGGGTGAGCTGGGTGTGTGATTGTTCAGTGCTAATATTGGTCTTGTATCAGTCTCTACTGTAGTCAGTGTACCATGGCACCTGTTTGAACTAATTAACTGAGTTGACTGAGGTGATTAGATCTATATTCTTATACCAATATAACTAATCCTGGGGAGTAATGGACTGTCACTCTGAGCCTGCAGCCATTTCAATAGCTTCACTTCACACTTTCTCTTTCTTCTTTCCTCCTCCCAACTCTTCCATATGTTATTATTCTTTTAGTTTTTTAGCTTAATGAGGCGATAATTCTAATAAATCGACCGCTGATACATCCACTAAACCATTCAGAGGACTTGGGGTTTGTTTGTGGGAGCCTATAAAAGTGAAGTTGACAAGAAAAACTTCAAAAGTAACATCATTCTCACACAGCACCCTGACTTTTTTCTTTCCTCTTTCTTTTGATAGATTCTAGTTGAAAAGAAATGCCACTTGTTTGCTTCATGGAGGGACGTTTTTAGATTTGTGGATTGTCAGCCGCATGAACAGGCAGGCTGTGGAGAGTGATGAGAGGGATAGATAATGTTCACAAGGCGAAAGTGCTCTTCACATCCTCAGCTCAGGCTGAGACCAATAATCCTGAAGTCAAACAAGAAGTCAGTCCCTGCCATCTGTGCCTGCCTTCGCTTTCTTCCCTTCAGAAGCTGGAGAGGGCGGTAAAGTCAGTCTGACAAAGTGCGATTCTCATTTATTTTATTGTCTGTTTGATATCCAAACAGTGAGCCCCTATCAGGACCTGAGAGAGTGGGGGTTCTGCTGGGTCCTGCTGGGTCTTTATTCATAGTCAAAGTAACTGTCACATAGTTAAATGTGCTTACTTTTACTCCAGCAGGAGATGTTCTGGTTGTCAAAGAAAAACAAGATTTTTACAGCAATCAAAGTGCGGACAATTCCAAAGCTCTCAGAATAATCACTCCTTCCTGTCTTTTTACTGCCTCTGTGCCATTTGTGTTTGTGGAAAAGGGGAACAGGGAAATGTTCCCTGTGTCTGAGGAGTAGGGGTGCAACAATTTATTTATCTGTCAAAAATCTGAAACAAAATTTAATTAGATTTTCAATAAGTCCATGATTTTGTGTGTTTGCAAGCTGTGCACTGACTTAACATGCTGAATTTGGTGCTGCACAACAGAAACAAATTTCTAGAAATTTGTTCAAACATGACAAGACATGAACGACAGTCAGCTAAACGATTCAACACTACGAACCAGTGTGCAACAGCAGCAGAATCCCTAATTAGTCAGAGAAGTTATGAGTATTATCGTTATTATTGTATGCCGAAAATGCAGATCAGAAGTTTGGTCGATGCTAGCTCATCGCACTGGCAATTTTGGAGTAGTTTGATGTAGAAAATAGAGATAAAACTGCAGTGTGCAATGTTGCAGTGTCATTTAACAGATACTTTTATCCCAAGTGATATACAATTAGGTATAAGTACAACAAAAGAAAAAATCTAGACGGAAGGGAACAACATGAGTGAGTGCCAAAAACTGAAAACACACAAGTTGAAGCAAAAAAAGAAGAGTTAATTTTTTTTCTGTTTTATTTTTCATTTGTTTATTTATTTATCGCATCATCACCCTACTTATTAAAAACAATTATCATCCAGACAAAGTTACAGTGATAGTGTCACCATCGTCATCATCGTCATCATCATCGTCTTATAGTTGTTCACGGAGAGCTATGTCAAAAAGGTTCTCAGCCGTAGATTACTGCATGTGTCACGTCGATGATGTTGCCCCCTTCTGGCCATTTGTAGAATGCAGGTTTTAGGGCAGTTTGCATCAACTGTACTTTTATATTCAGTTATTTCATTTTCTATAAAAACATTGACTCAAACAAACAAACTATAACTGTGCATATGATTTCAAAGGTGTTGGTTATTAGCAGGCAAGGATGGCGAGGCTTTACATGAGGCTGAGCTCCCTGACCCTTTGAAAGTAAGTCAAAATAGCCCATCCTTGTATCTATTTCCATTTTTTTTTACCTTTCTTTTATTCAAATTATCCTCAATAGAATCCTTTCATATATAAGATGAAAAGAGTGAAGCAGCTCTTTTTGTTACGGTATACAAGCAGAGTAAACTAATAAGGTCAATCTGCTGGAATAGGTTAAAAAAAATAGACCTGTTTTAACATGACCTTGTTGGTCTTAAGTTAAATAAAGATCAAAATGACTCTATAGTAAACACTTTTTTTTTTATCACACTCCCCAGCCCAACAACTCCCAAGCCTAACATTTCTGTCTGACCCTGTTTTCCTCCTTTACCCCCTCAAGTATCCCCCTCGTCCTCCCCTCATACTCTCCCAGTCTTTTGGGTGTGAATCGAGGCGTCGAGGTTCCAGTCTGTTGGTTGTTCTTTATCATGCCTCAGACCAAAAAAACACAGAAACACAGAGTCTGACAGAGTAATCAGGCAGTGACAACAAAACCCAGCCAGAGTTTTTAGCCTTCTGTTTGCCTGCTTGAAACAAATGAAGCCGGCAGGGGCACTGGCTTACATCGGGGGACAGCTTGTCACAGATAATGCTCTCATTTGGAGGGAAATTGACCCTGGGCGCTGAATCTGCAACAAGATAAGTTAGTCTTGCTAGAATGCGTATAGGATTTTATTGGAACAAGAGGGAGAGAGAGAGAGAGTATGAGATGGGGAAATAGGAGGATAATGGTATGATGGCAGTGTAGCAAAAAGTACAAGAGGAAGATGGTGTGCCTTTGTTTACAGGGGGGAACAAATAACTTTAAACATAAGTGCTGGTTATACAATGCAGTATGATGGTAGAGTAATGCAGTCATTTTACTTCCTCCACTTTTAAAGAATTTCAAGACACAGTTTGAAACTACATTTTCTTAACAGCAGTGGGTTTCAACATCATGATTACGGTGGAAACATGAAAAGATTAGAAGCGGTTCTTGCACCAATAGCAGAAACAGAAAAACAATTTCCTTTTTAAATCAAGACTGTTGTGTTTGACCATCACATTAACAGCACTCATGTGGTCCTTCACCCTTAAGTATCACTTCCTAGGTTTACATGCACACCACTGTGCGGTCTATTGGAAATGGACTTTATTGGATGTTTGGGGACAGATGGAATAACATAACCAGAAGTCATGAAAGTGGCTTTGCAGTGTTCTGAGCTTATTCAAGCAAATAAGGATACAAGTAATCAACATTACTTACCAACATTAAACCATGTCTAATGTTGATGTTTAAGCTGAGTGGGGAGACGATGAAATAGACAGAAAAACACAGCAGATGGATCTTACAAGGGTGACGAAATGCCAATAAAAAACTTAACCAAACTTTTTTTCAAAAGCATGTTGTGGAAAAAAAGGTAGGAAGCGCAAACAATGTGAGACCAGAGGAGCAGAGGAGGAAGGTACTGAAAATATGTAGTTTTTTATTTTTATAAATCCTACAAAGGTACAATTGGGAATTTATTGTTTAATTGGATAACTGCCCCGCCTTGCCTTCATCTGAAGAAAAAATAATAAAAAAACATGCAGACTCCCAGCAGAATTTTACATTTGTATTCCTTAGAGGCAAAAAAAGTTCTTTACATCTTTACATTTTTTGTTTCTTGAAAGCACCTAATGCTCATGTTTTAGTGACTGCACCCTAGTAAACTTTAACATGACAGTTGAAACGTGAACACTTAACCACTGGAGGTCAGGAAAAGTTAAAGTTTGAGCTGCTGTGAAGCTTCTTTGCGAGAACAAACTCAGAGTTTGACTTTGAAAGCAGAACAAGAATTACAGCCACCACCGAAACCTAAGCTGAGTTTACAGATGCCAAACAAATGTGTTTGACGTGCAATGTTAATTTGACAAAACAATGAAATTCAACATGTTTGTTGAATCAAAAAGTGTAAAAAAGTCAAGCAGGTACTCTGTGTTAAAATCATAAATATTTTAAGCCACATACCAAACCATTTGGGAATTTAAATATAAAGCTTCTGTAGCTCCTGGAAACGATTTCAATATTTCTCTGGTCACGTTTTTACAGTTTCACCTGCTGCTATAGAACATCTCTGTGTTTCTGTGTACATATGCATGCAAATACGCTCACAAGTGACTTGATGATATTTAACTAGTGTGTGTCTCAGTGTTTGTGTGCGCGCCATTTGAATGTGTTCACATGTAGATAAGCCAGCCAGCCTGTATGTCATATTTAACTAGCAGGCAGGATGTATTCAGGGGTGTTTGGCTAAGCAGACGGGGCGTGCCTGCAGGGTCCTCCAGGGCTCAGACCTTAGTGATCCCATTACACCAGAGCCACCAGGACAGACCAGAATGTAAAAATCATCCGGTGTGCTGGTGAAACCTCACATATCCAGCAGGAGAACAAATGCAGTCATCACTTTTGTGCCCTTTTTCTTGAAATGCCAAAATAGGGCTCCATTCACATTCTAGTCATGATGGATGTTCTTTCAGAGGAATTCGGTGTGTATCATTAAGCTTTAGAAACCAAAGTGACAATGGGAGATGTGAGGTTTTTGTAGGACACCAGCGAAGAACTGCTCATTCATTTTGTATTCATGTGAAATGTATCAGACTGATGGAAAATACTAAACAGCTGCGTCCCGTTAGACAGACCATATGGAGAGAGAAACGTCTCCTGAGCCTGTTTTTAAAAAAGTGATTTAATATCCATATTTAATGAGACTTTTTTAAAATGTTGTCACTTTTTAAATTTACTCTGAAGTCCCAACCAATGTTGTTTTTTTTTTTTTTTTTTTTGTACTAATTAAAGTGTTATTAGTGGTCTTTAAATTGTGATTATGAAGTTTTTAGCCAAAATTGTATTACCTGTGTCATTTTCAAGGGCTTTTCCTCTGCAGAGCTCCAGTAGCTCATTAGCAATTCACCTCTGAGTCGTGGGCAGAGACAGCGCTGCTCTGTACCCACCTCTTCACGCTAGCTTTCAGCCTAACATTGCCTGTGCAGCAGAAGTTACAGGTAACATAGGAGTTATTCAGCTTACGAACACTAGTGTCTTTAGGGACATGATGAGGGTTAATATCATATTTAGCTTTCTTACGAGCATTGCAATCCGCTAACACACACGCTCGTTTCTTGATTGTTCTCTCTATTTCTCTGAGTGTGACCTGCATAGTGGGGCTCCTGGGGCGGAGCTGGGATTTGCTACGTAGGAAATCTCACTTTATCTGGTTCTGCCGTTTGGGTGTGCCAGAGTTTCACTGTGATTTGAATGCAGGAATACGCAGAAATGCAATTTCGCTCTTAGTTTGCTCGTGATATGTCCTGTAGAATCAGAAAAATGCCATGTGAACATGTGAAAAACAAGAAAAACATGATTTTCATCAAAGTGGATCTTTAAAGAGCCGGGAGAAGTAAGATAAGGTAGGGCTGCTTGATAATCATGATTATTTCAGATGATATTGATATTATGCTTGTTAAAGCAATTACATGAGTTAACAACTGCATCTCACTCATTTACACAACCTAAAATCTCTTAAAACTTAAAAGCTTTTTATTATTTGGAAAAAAAAGCAGTATAAGAAACTTTTTAACCTAACTTTGTTTTAGTTTATTGTTTTAACTCATTTGTTCTGTTAGCGGTAGGGACCATGCAACAATTCTTGACTTCACTTGAAGAGTTCTAGCTTCATTTTTTGTGATAACACTCACTAAATTAGATGCCCGATTATAAATTGTTGAAAAGTATTTTTGCACAGTGTCAAAAAGACTCAAGGATCTGAGCTCTTTTACGGCTTACATTGTATCACTGAGGCTTTTCAAGCTTTTCTGAAACATGCTCTGTAACACTGAGACTTGGGCTTGTGTTTGAACATGATTTGGAATGATCTCTCACTTTTTACCCCACAGTTGCTAGCTTTTTGGTACTTGTGCTCACTTTTGAAACTTCAGTTTCTCTTTGGCCATTCTCGTTCTGTCTCTCAACTTTTCAGGCACACACACAGAAAAACACACCTGCCTCCTCCTGCTCCTCTCCCTGATTTCCTCTCTCCACCTGTGGCTGCGTGAAGTGTTAAAGGTTCAGGAGTCCCACCATTAATTTTAAGGGGAGCTGCAACTTTCTCATACTGTCAAACTTTATTTCATAATGACTTAAAAAAAATTGAAATCCCTTCTGGGTGGCCAGCATTTTGTTGAGTTTACTCCTCCCTTGCCACACAAGGAACATGACACTGCAATATGGCCAACTCCAAGAAGAAGCTTATTATAAGATTATGATAGTGTAAAAGTCCTTACTTTGGGTGCAGCAATAAAACTATACAAAAAAAAACTACAGTCTTTATATACTCATCCTCCTTCTCTTACAAAGTGCTCCTTGTAGTCATGCCTGAAAAGTTTGGCAAATAATAGATGAGATACACCCCCACTTTTAAAGCCCTCCTTAAATATGCACCTTTATTATCTAAACTGTAGCTACTAAATTACTCACCCTAAAATGTAAAAGGCTATAAAGTAAAAGAAATAAAACTATATTGAATCTATCTATCAGTGGAAGATGATTGAACACAGCTCTGTAATCCCTGTTTAAATGAAACAGTTCTCTAGTACTGACTGCCAAGCAGAACTTAAAAGTGCACTTAATGTTTGGGAAAGTAGAGAAAAAGAGCTAAAGTCAGGGTTTTGCACCAAGTAAAGGGCTTCTTCTGGTCTCTTTTCTGGTTTACAGGCAGTTACTTAAACCCAAAGAGTACCAGTCAGTTTTAGAGCAGATAAACTCATCTTCTTTTACAATCTGAGTTTGTTACTATTCGTGAATTAGTAGCTGCATATGAGCTCTTTACCAAAGTTTTGGAGAAAACGTCATGTAAATACTTTTAAGCTGTCCTCTATAGACATGTTGAAGAGCTAGAAGACAGAAGAAGGAAGTGCTATTAAATGTAAGGACTGGTGATTCAGATGCTTTACCTTTGGATGTCAGTTCAGAGTACTTTCCTCATGTTTTGATGTCAATCATTTTGTAAAATCAGTGCCATGAAAGAGATCTTGTTTTTTCCCCATTTGCATAAGTTTTAATCCAAACTTTCAGATGGTTCATCACAAAAACTTTCCTGAACAAGTGGACCTTACCTCCTGGGCAGACATCAAAAGAAACTATAATATAATCTTGTTCTAAGAAAGAGAGTGAGAGCGAGACGAGAGAAGGAGGCGGTTATTTCATCTTTGTGTCTCGAACAGGAGTGTGTGTGATTGTATTGGGCTGCCTTCAGGGTCTTTGGTTAACCAGCAATTTCAACATTTCCGGAGGATTGTGATCATTACCTTTTTCCATCTCCTCACAGCAGAATGAAAGTGGAAAAGAGATTTTGGTTTAGTAAGAAGTTACAAGTTTTAGCCTATGTTCACTGGATCAAAACGACACGATGGGAAAATGCTGCTGTTAGTGTCACTTTCTGCAAACATTTGTGGAAGTGCAAATAACCAGTAAGCAAACAGGTAACACATTAGACAGTAAACACCAATGACTTTGCTTGAAAAAAGCATCTAAAGCATTTATGTGTTTGTTTGTGCCTCCGACATGCACACTCATTCCTCCCTCAGCAGTTTTGGGGACTTGGGAGTGGCAAAGTTCATCCCCGTGGCAGCATCATCACCTTATTGATGCACTGATCAATGCCCTGTATCATCCATTACCGTGGTAATGCAGGGGTGCAGCATAGAAACTTCCTGCTTATGCACTATAATTTGTAAGTGATTAATCCAACAGGTTTAAATGTGTCAAGTATTTTGTGCTTTCCCTCAGCAGTTAAAAGGCTTCTCCGAAAAAAGTGCCAGTGTATGTTGTATAAGTTTAAAATGGGGAAGGATGGCTGTGAAATCATGCAAATGGGGTTAGAGTTGATAATCAATGTTGAATATATTAAAGCACAAAAATAAAAATCAATGTTGTTCATAACAAGGCTGTGTTAAAATGTTAATACCGCTAAGTATTGCAATATTAGTGTTTGCATTGTGTGATGTATATTGATTTTTCTCCCTCCCTGCACAGATGCATGGTGAGCAAGAATGAGTGTAGGAGTAGTTGCATGACAATAGACAGGCAGTTTAGAGAGTCAGTGATGCTAATAATGACAAAATGGTTTTAATTTCAGATTTTCCACAGTGATTACACACCTAATAACTATTTAACAATCCCAAAGATATGTTTGAAAGGAGTTGAATCTGTCTGTTGGCTGCTCTACCTGTGCTGTGTTTCTGTCGGGCCTGCAGCTCTCACACAGCTACAATGTAGACAGGCTGTTCAAATTTGCATTTTAGCTGATACCAATGCTGTGCAAAGTCCACTTGGTGTCTCATTAAAGACCCACTCCTGTGAAAATCATGTTTTTCTTGTTTCTGTATGTTCATATGGCATTTTTTTCTTATGCTGCAGGATATATCATGAGAAAAGTAAGTGCAAAATTGCATTTCTGAGTGTTTCTGCATACAAATCACTGTGAACTTCTCACAGACCCAAATGGCAGGTTTAGACACAGTGAGATTTCCTACGGCACAACTGTGAGCTCCAACCCCAGAGCCCAGCTATGAAGCCCAGATTTGTAGAAGTAGAGAGGACAATCGCAGAACAAGCATGTGTGTTAGTGAATTGCTAATGAGCTACTGGAGCTCTGCAGACGAAAACTCCTTGAAAATGACAAAGGTATCAAGGTTTAAAGAACAATGAGAACACTTTAAGTAGTAAAAAAAAAATGATCAGAGTGGGACCTAAAGATGTAAAAGTTGCATTTGTTTCTAAGTCAGTCAGAAACGAATTTCTTATAACAGGCAGAAACCTTGAACAGAACCAGACTCGTGTCAAGTCATCTGCTACCACTGCACTCACACATTCTTGCACTGCTTTGTGAAGGAAAGTTTTGTCCAGAACGTGTGCATTACTTTGGGGGAAACTATCCTCAGCTGTGCTTCAAATGATAAAACAAGAAAGTCCCCAACTTCAGGTGCCCATATTTATATTTATTTATGCAGCCCTGGCAACAAAACAGGCTTTGATTTTGTTCTAAGTGTCACCATATTGAAGTCAAAACCGACCAATTTGGGGTATAATTATTGAAGTATCACAGCAGTATACTATTGTGGTCCATGTGTCAAGATATACATTGTATTGTGAGGTCCTTGCAATGACCCGGCTCAGTTTGACATACTGAATGTTAGTTTTTTATGACTAAGGGGAAATTCAGATGTAACTTTTTACTTCCTATCTACTCTGCTGCAGCACACTGACTCTGCTCTGAAAGAAAAGTTAAGAAATACCTTTTTTCCCCCGAACATTTCAGTGGTTTTGTGAGGAGGTCTGTGTCTGCAGTATTGTGTCTCAGAGTGAGATGAACACACTGAACTCAAGCTATTGGAGGCAATTGTGAGAACATTTTCAAAGACACAGTGCTTTGTGGACTGATGAAAGAAAAAACATGAAAAGAAATTCAATTAGGATCTGGAGTGCCTTATTGTACTGTTTGCAGTATCTAGTCTCTAACTTATAATTTAACGTCATACAGTAATTAGTTTGTGTAATTGTTCCTTTATTTCAAAAGAGTCAAGGTTGTAATTAGAAGAGTAGCCACTGAATACGGTGGAGCTTGATCTGCATCGAACAGTTTTTAGAGTGGTTCTGACATCAGCTGCACTCTGCTTTCACACATTTCTATGCCTGATATCTTCCTCTTTTGTTTTAGCAGATTACTATCACACAGAGCTCTCTTTTTTCGGCTCTACTCACCTGTAAAGTCTCAGTGTTAATAACTTTCTTATGTGGTTTCCTCTCATTCAAAGAAAGTTTAAGTCTTCAATGGTGGGAATGTGACAGCAGATTGTTTCAAAAGTGGTTTGGCAAACTTGACTTAGGCCACTTTTAGACAGAAACGGTCTTCATAGAAAACAGAAAAATTTAGTACTGTTTAGGGGGGTCTGTTTAGACGGCAACTGCGTTTTCAGGAGATGAAAGCGTAACAAAGTGAAAACCCCCTCCAGAGTGGAAATGTTGTAAACGCTCTGCTAGTCCCGCTTTTGTCTAAAGTACAAAAATGCTGAAAACGGTCAAACCTGTGACGCCATGTCTCACGTCGGCTCAGGCTTATGACATCATAGCCATTCGCAGCTTCCTTGAAAATAACAACAGCCACGCTAGACATTCGAGTCGCGCTGTCATTATTATTGAACGGGCAGGAGCTCAATTTCGACCTGTACAGAATCCTCACAGATCATACTGCTCAGCAGAGGAGGCTTCTGAATTATTTGCATCAAATAATTAATGTAGAACGGAAGTTGTTCTACTTATGCGTTGTTGGTCTATATGGGAGCGCAGTCACCTAGTGACCTGGCATGCACATTTCAGCGTTTTCAACCACATTGCTTTTTTGTGTAAACACAGCATAAAAAATGAAAACTAAACGGCACTTTTCTGTTTTCTATGGAGACCGTTTCCACCTAAAAGTGGCCCTCAAACTCATCACTGAAGCAGAGAGCGTCAGAGCAGCCCACAGCCTGAAGCTGCACTGCCCCTCAACACGCTGACCGTCACCACACCAGCCAACCTTTTGCTTTCATCACAGCAGGATACGTGATCAATTTGATACAGGCTTGTGAGGTCACAGCTTGCCAGCACCCAAAATGACTTGAGTTGAGCTTGAAACCCCTGCAAGGCGTGACAAAGTCGCATGTGATGAATACAGGAGTTTTGTCAGGGCTCCAATATGCAGTGTTCAGTTTAGCTATAATGTAAAGCCTTCAGGCAACATCAACCTGGTTTCAATGTATACCATAACTTTGGATGTGCAACACTGACCAGCTGTCACATAGATCCAGATAATAAACCACGACTTTCCAAATTAGCAGTAGGAACTCTGAAGTCTGGACATTTTAGAGGCATATTCCTGTTCTGTCAGGGAAAATCATACCTGTTAGAATATTTCGAGTTGTGTGTGTGTGTTTGCATGCGTGTGTGTGTGCTATTTTTGCCTTCAAGTAGGGTTTGAACCCGTAAAGTCATGAGAAGATGAAACAGGATCAGGACACTTTTGAACATTCAAGGCAGCTCCTGCTCTCATCAGATAAACTCCAGGAGATATTTAAAAGAGGCCACGAGATGATGATTGAGGACCTGGGAGGAGGAGGAGATGGAGATGACAGTTTTGAGGCTTACCAGGAGCCTCAGAGACGCCCGCTGCGGCTGCTGCAGCATCTGTGATAACTGTTTTTTAACCGCAGAGATAACTTTACACAAGCCCCCTTTTGTCAACCTTCAGGGGGACGCATCTGCAGCTGGGGTGAGGGCTGGGGGGGAGGAAAGGAGATAGCATGAGAGGGATTCACTTGATACCTTCCCTCCTTGTGGGACCCTGAGGCGTTTTTATCACACCTCTGAGAGGTAAAGTAGCACCCCCTGACTCTTTTTCCCGACTCTGCCTGTCTCATCTATTCAATCTTCATCCTTTTAGTTTCAAATAAAGTTTATCATGCCCATATAGATACTTTCTCACCCTGCTGTCTTCTGTCTGCGCCACTAATATTTAGTATTTTCAGGCACTGCCCCCTCTTAAAAAAAGCTATATTTTCTATTTTGCTGTACTTTTTTTTTTATCCCATTTCCTTTAGCTGTCAGTTGAAGAACCTAAAGTTTGGTCACATCAGTTTGACTTTTAGTATCAAAAGTTAGACTATTACAAATTCAAAGTCAAAATAGATATATTAGCCTGAATATCAGTAATAATTGATCTTAGTAAGATCAATAGAGGTCTAGGAGTCCAATACTGTCAAAGCTAAAACATTATGACCGGCTGCTCTTTATTAAGTAGGCCCTTTTCTTCTTAAATCAAACCCCAAATTTTCCACACCTGGCTAGACTATATGCTCAATTTGGATTGAGATTTGTGAAATTTGTGGGCTGAGTCAACACCCTGAACTTGTCAAGGTCCTGAGATCCCTCCTCAGCCCCACAACAATAGGTGATACGTTGAGTAATCTGACCATCATCTACTTTTGCAGCAATTGGAGCCCAAGACCCTTCTTATAGTATTGACCTGCCAGCCTTCACTCACCAGGAACAGCAATGAGACACTTCATTACAGATTAGAAACATCTCACCAGCGCTGCTTTGGGAGATGCTCTGACCCAGGTGTCCAGCTATAACAGTTTGACCTTCGTCAAAGTCAGTCATATCTTTAAATCCCCCCAACTCTGAGGTCAACAGATAACCAGTGTTACTCACTGAACCTGTTAGTGGTCATAAGTGGTGTAAATGTTATAAAAAAGGATTTACATAGTACCTCCATTTGTCCTATTAGACAATGAACTAATTCTTTGTCAGCCAGTTAAAGCAATATGTGAGATCAACTTTTGCCTGAAAAAAGTTTTTTAAAAATAAACGAAAGCACATGTACATGTCCATAATTCTCTGAAAAAAAAAAGCATTTTAAGAATGAGGAACTCAGTTTTTCAATCAATCAATCAATCAATCAATCAATCAATCAATCAATCAATCAATCAATCAATCAATCAATCAATCAATCAATCAAATGTTATTTATATAGTGCCAATTCACAACAGTCGTCATCTCAAGACGCTTTTCAAAGAACAAGAGCAGGTCTGGACCACGCTCATAGTTTGATGATCAAGAACCAACCTAGGATGGGTTTTGGCCCATCTCAACTAACATGAGTTACAGTGGCAAGGAAAAACGTCCTTTTAACAGGCAGAAACCTTGGGCAGGACCAGCCTCATGTTAGACAGCCACCATGCCGCTGCTGGGTTGGGGAGGAATGTAGAGAGATGGAGGGAGAGAGAGGAGAGAGAGGGCAGGGGGAGAGAGCGAGAACAAGATAAGGGAAGGCGAGAGAGAATGAGTAAGGAGAGGAAGGGGGAGGGAGAGAGAGTAGAGAACGAGGGTGAGAGAGAGACAGGGGACAGCAGAAACAACAGCAACAACAACAACAACAGCTCATGTAATGGTGAAACAAAAAGCGTTCAGTTTACAGGGTTAGTATATGAGTGATTATGGACTATGTTAAATTAATTGAGTGTGATTACAGTTAGCAGGCCTAATCACAGTCAGCTCTAGTTTATGTTATTAATGTCAGTAATGTCAGTGAGGCTGATGTTCATGTCTGCAGTAACAGTCCAGAGGAATCCAGGAGAAGAAGGAGCTCAGGGCCTGAGGTGGACAATCATAGACAGTAGTCAACTTTTGTCAACTTGGCACCCCCTGTGGACAAAGCAGCCATTCCTCGTCTTGTTCTCTACATGCTAACACAATGTTTATTGACAAAAAAAGATTTTAAAAGGAAATTGAAAAGACAGGGCTGTTTCTTCAGCTGCTTGGTGGATGCCTACCTCCTCACACAAGTTTCAGGAATAAAAATTAGAATTAAAAAATTGTTGATCTCATTGCTGAAGGTTGGAGTTGCCTTTGGTTACCAAGTAAGGGCCTCAGCATTGATTTCAACCTATTTATTCCATGTCTAAAAAACTCTATAGGAGCTTTACTGTGGCTACTCTCCTCTTTCGTCTCCCAGGGTATGGGCTAGGTCCTTGTCTCGTCTTGTGAAGAACCTTTACTTTAGTGAATGTTTCAGTGAAAGGCCTCATTGTTTTCACTTGCACTTCAATGCATTTCCACTTCTCTATAACTTTTGGTGCTACAAGTGCAAACTTGAAAAAGTGCTTACAAACAGGTTGATGGAACACACCTAATGACACTTTTGTCACAGGTGCAAAAAGAGTACGTCAATGATTTAGGACAAACTGTTTCAGGCAAACATGGAGACCTTCAGACAGGCAATTTAGACATGCAAGGCATTTCCAAAGCCCCTTGCAGACAGGGTTAGGTGATGAATGGAAGTCAGATTGATTTTGGCATGGCCACACAATGTCCTCTGTGTATTGTGGCATTGAAAAGATCTGCCACGTCCTGACATCTTTGATTCCTGTAGATCCGCCCTTGGCTTCGAAGTCGGCTCACAATCAGAGCGAGGGTAAGAAGTTGGCAGGCAGCTGTGAGGATGGAGTGGACTAGAATGGAGAAAAGTGGTGGCAGCAGAGGAGAGGAAAAAATACACAGAGGAGAATGAGAGGCAACGTTGACACAGAAAAATTTACACCTGGTGTCCAACTCAGGGAAAGGCATCGCTATCAAAGTAAAGATGTATATCTTCCTCTGTCCCTCCACAGTTCTTCAAAGACACTAAACTCATGTCACTGACCCACTTAGGTCAACTAGATAAGAGAAGTGGTACCCAAAGTGGGGGTCACATTGTGAATCTTATTGATAACTTCATACTTCATCCATTATTGTTAAATTAAGCAAATTTTAGATCAAACCAGACAATTAAAAAAATGTTTCATCAGTTTCCCACCTGTCTTTGTTGCCACCATAGACTGTATGTAGAAAGGAAATCGTCTGCTTCCTCTCTGGGTGAAGCCACCCTAAGAACAGCACCCTCTGTTGACGGGCTGCAGTATAGGTCATAAATCCCGCCTCCCCCAGCCATCCTTATGGAGCTGTGGACAAACTTTAGAAATTTATTACACAGAATATAATTTTTCTCCCCCCTTCTTGTGATCTTGACATGTAGTTATTGTAAGACTGGTTTGTGCTCAAGTCCTCATTTTTCTGTGCAGCTCTGTTTTTGAAGTTATTAGGGGGTTCATGTTTTCTATGATTGACACTTGATACAGCTGATTGGCGAATGAAGATTGCGTAGCTCACCCGGGAATACGCTGTTTGAGCCGAACGTCATCACAGCGACTCTCGGTGACTCTCCCGCCGAATGCGTAACACGCTACTGCGCAAGTGGTGGAGTGGGTACAACGGTACTGCGCAATGTTGGTTTTTTACGGAAAAAAAATGCGGAACTACCGAAAGCTTTTCGGCCTCAAATCCAGATACTGGTGGAAGGCAGAACCAAGTTGTCCATAATATATACAGTCTATGGTTGCCACATTACAGAAAAAAGAGGACTTGAGCACAAACCAGTCTCACTGTAACTACATGTCAACATCACAAGCAGGGGGGAGAAAAATTTATGTTCTGTGTAATAAATTTCTAAAGTTTGTCCACAGCTCTATAAGCTTTGCTGGTGGAGGCGGGATTTATGACCTATAATGCAGCCCGTCAACAGAGGGTGCTGTTCTCGGAGTGGCTTCACCCACAGTCTATGGTGTTAACCCACAGTCACTTAATAGATACATAGAGGAGGCTGTGCAACGTAAGTGATTTTGTACGTTTGTTTTTTTTTTTTATTAAAAAAAGCTTTTTTTGCTTTTTTATTCAACTTTATTCAAACAGGAAAGCCTTATTGAGATTATGAATCTCTTTGTTTGTGATGTATGTGATATATAATATCAGCATTATCTATTGGCCTTTTGCCAACCTGCTCTATTAACATCAACATCAGCCGTTGATAAACTGATATAGGTCAACCACAACACAAGACAACACGTTGCCTCATTATGTTACTCCCATTGAAAACCCATTTTAATGAAGAGTTTCTCACATTTCACCTTTCTCTTGGAAGAATGGGAGAATAAAATCTGTTTGTGATCACTGCAGATTTTGCCTTGTGGGATAAAAAAAAGAATCATCTCAATGCTTGAAGCCACATATGGTGCAGGGGAGCTGGAAACTACTGTGGGACAGAATAACACTGAGCAGGTTTTAGTCTTTTCCAGAGATTGTTGAAAATAAGAGAAACTGAAATAACACCAGCTTTATCCTTTAAGACTGTTCCTTTTGGGACCTCAGGAGATACAGTCTTTTCCATAACACTTTAGAAACTTGGATAAATTTGTTCAAGAGGGGAAGTGAAATAAAACACACAGAGCAGAGGGGAGAAAAAGATTTAAGAGTGATCATGAAGAGGAATGAGGAGGTGTGAGAAAAAGGTGAATTTGTTTGTAGGATACTTTGTTGGTTAGTACTGAATTAGTTTCACTTTAAAGATTTCTGCCACTCTCTTCTACAGGGGTTAAATAGCTGCTTCTCCAGGGAGCCTGAGCTGTTTATTTCTCTGGACTCTACAAATAAATAGACACATTAAAGATCAGGCCTGTGGGAGGAAACAGTTTTTCTCTTACTGCTAAATTAAAGTAACAAGCAGTCATCATAAATTCTGTTCTTAAGCCCTCCACTGACAATGAACACAGAGAAATATGATTGAATATACACCTACTCATAATTCTGACAAGCGTTGAGCTTTTAGACCATCTGGAATGAGTCCAGCTGAAGGAAATTCAAAGATTTCAGCCGCCCTGAATTTCTCAGTGTTATAATTAGAGTCTGTTATTGATGTCCTTTGACCTTTGTCCTCACAGAGCCTCTTTACAAAGAGGCTACTTGCAATGGGGAAACATGAGGCAGAAATATTAAAGAGTACAGTCCACTTGAGACTGGCTCTAGAAACCCAGAGTGTCCCATTAACACTCAAGTAGAATACCTGATGAGAGAGCAGGCATGGACACATTTACAGCCTGGTGCAAAAAGCGCTTTGAGCTTGAAAAGCATCACACTGTACAGAGGGCAAAAGCTTTTAAACCTACCTGTTTTGAAGACACTGATTGTTGCAAATTGAGGCATAAACAGGAGTGTAGGCACATTGAGGCTGTTTTACAGGAGACTAAAGGCCAGACTTTTCCTGAGGTAAAACAAAAGTATGGTTGAAACCTTTCTCATATTAAGGTGTTAAAACTCTGCTTCAGAAACCAGTGGGTGCCATCACTGACTCTTAGTCCATGTTTCAAATACAGTATCTGTTACAAAGTCCTTCACAAATGTCCTCTAACCCATATTAAGGCAAGCTTTTAGACTATGCTGCACAAGTGCAACTCAAGAAAACCTCTTACATCCATGATGCTGATATCCGCAGACCTTTGTCGTGAGAGTGCCAAAAGCCTCTCATCCTAACTCTGCTGTTTGTTTTGGCTCAGTATCTGTAAAACAGATCAAATGTACCAATTTGTGTAGGTGAGCAGCCTCAAAATGTCCCTAAAAACTAGAGTTAATACAAATTTAGATAGCAGCACTTGTCAATTGAAGAAGAAATAACTGCGTATCCCTTAATGTGAAACTAATTCTGGTAACAAAACTGAAAGAAAGTCAGTGTTTCCCCTAGCTTTTTCACTGCGGCAGGTGTGTGGTGTTGCGTATGCTGAGCCATTTGTCACACCGTGTGACGTATGTCTATGGGTTGTCAAAACTATCCTGCGCAAAACTGGCAGGGTATGAGCGGCAAGTGCTTGCGACCAGAATACCAGAACCAGTGAAGCTGAAATGCCGCGCCTCTTCACTACGCAGCGCGGCATGTCAGCGTGCGTGTTTATTGTGGGATAGAGAGAGAAGCAAATGGAGAGCCTGCTTGCCGCAGAGGAGCGGAGAGATACATTTTTCTTGAAAGTAATGGAACGATTGCAAGCTTTAGGGTCTGAAATTGCACAAATTATATTTTATAGGCCGTTTTGATGAAAATATAAATGAAACGTATATATTCAGCTACGACTTCAATATCTGGGTTTGGGATCTCATAATACATTATAGGGGAAACACTGAAAGTTAAGATAGCACAACTGGCCAAACCAGTGACCTTTCATACTCTGCTGTTTCAAACCATTAATACGCAACAAAGCAAAGGCTTCAAGTTTTGGTCCATAAACTCAGAGAATAACTTTATTTTTTTTCATATTTGTGTTTCAGTTTCAGACATCACAGGAGTATGGACTTTGGATCTGGGTAGACTTACATTCTGAGACATAGCCGGTATCAAATTTTAAAAGAGGCTTGATTTTCACTGAGTCCACAGCTGCACAGCTCAGATGACCTTTCTCAGCATTTATCCTTCACGTTACTACAGTCTCTTCTTTCCCTTAGACCGACAGAAAATATGTAACCTGTCTCCTTTTTCCCTCCGTGCACCATCACTCTACTGACCAGCAGTGCAGCTGCAGTTTTATGACACAGCAAAAAGAGCAGTGTTACCACTTTACCACTGATTACTCCCCTCCGTTCAATCACTTTCAAGTCCCCAAAGGCCTAAACTCTTACTCCCACTGGACTTATATTTAGTTAGAGCTGTAGAAAATAAATGAGGTCAGCCCGATCCTCTGATTATTGGTGGAATTTCTGACATAAAAACTTGTCATGTACAAAGCCACCAACAGTCCTTGGGGAAATTTTGTTTCAGGGAGGACAGAAACAAAAGTGTACTCTGTACACAGCAGCAAACACACCATCACCTGCTTTTATAGCCACTCTGGTCAAAGTTGCACATTTGCAAAGAGCAGAGCAAACCCAGAAATTACAGAAAAAGTTATTTTCATCTTTGAGCAAATGAAAAAAAAAAAAAAAAACGCTTTTCTTGTAAGGAAGGATGATGATATGGTGCCAAAGTTTATCAGCGCTGACATTTTCCAGATCGCCTGTCTAGACTTTTGAAGTGCTAGCCACTTTTGCTTGCAACTTTCCATATTAAACAGCTACCTGAATAATCACAGGCCTCTTATGCCAACCAACCTGCATTCACCAGAATTGAATTGAACAAAATTGAACAAAAGAAACACCAACACTGTGATTCAACAAATTACAAATCCAAGAAATCATTTCTGAAGCGGTAGAATGAATTTATTCAATTCTTGGCTACTTTGATCATGCTCTGTAGAGGGCGTCTTTGCCAACCTGAGAGATTTAATGATTAATCTGTGTTTCCAGACATTTTATATTATTGTACCGTTTAATATCCTGTGAGTATCCTGAAAAGTGTCCATGTCCATGTCGAAAGCCAGCACAAGCAGCAGAGTCCTCTCTCTTGCTCCTGCATGGTGAAAATCCCTACTGACTTTATTGTGATCAGATCGTGGAGAATATGGTTCAGATTGAAAGCGTGGGTCCCCTTTCACACTTTGTGCCCGCAGCTGACTGTTAAAGCCTCTTTCACCTGTTTGGGAATCACTTCAGACCGACTTCAAAATCGACAAAGAAATGTCTTGATGCTTTTGGTCTGACAGCTCACAGGTTTGTCGCCACAGTGTGATGTCTCCAGCTACAATGAAACTCCTGTAACTCTGAGACAACAGCACAGCTGAACCACTAGTACAAAAAACTGTACCCCTGTAAATCATGGACTCAAGGCTTCTATACCATGACAGGAGTGTTTATCTGATGGTCTTCAAAGTCCTTGGCAATTCTGTAACTTCTGAAATAGACATCCACTCCCACAGTTCACACCAAGATCGTCCAACTCTGCAGAGATTGTCAGTCAGTTGAGCTGTATTTCATCTCTCTGTTTTCAATTCTTGACATGTCTTCAACATTTTGAGTGCTTTCCAGGAGAAAGAGTCTGAAAAATCTGCTCTGATATCTTCATATATAAGTTATTTTTACATTGGTTTATTGCAGGCGAAGCGGGGTGCCTTCACCACGAGAAGCAGTGTGAAGTCCTGTGGAGTCTTTGGCTCCTTGAGGAGAAGAACACAACAGGAATAGAAATTAAGTTTTGACTGTGAAGTTTATTCACATGTAGTGCTCAATGTTTTTGTAGGCCTAACTTCAGAATAGAAGGATGATCTGGAGTGAGAGCACTACAGTTGCAAAGTTTTATTACTATTAGTTGGTTGTCTTTTAATAAATCAGCTGATTTTGAGTTTGGAAATAAAGTGTTTGGCCTGGTTGTTAAATGGCATGCTTTGTACTAGGGACGTAACAGTATTAAAATTCTACCTAATGGTTATTGTGACCAAAATGATCAGTTTTCTGTATTATCGCAGTATTTTTTAAAATGTACTGGCATTTATTATGGCAATTTTGATGCTTTTAACTAGCACTAAACAATGCCTTTTTTATCATATCATCATATCTATACAGGATTACTGTCTTCAACTAAGCATACCCTTGACATTCCTATAAAACCCAAAATATGCTCATACTACCGACTTGGTCCTCTTAGAGAGCTGATGAATGTCTTGGGCGCAGTCGTCTCCTCCTTCCGCCATAATTCCATTTAAAACTGTATTGTAAAACGCAATGTAAATGTAAATGCAAATTGTAGGCTACACTGTGCGCCTGTGTGGCTACTTCAGGAGACTCAGATGAAGTTGGGATGATTAACACAGGTTTCCCCTACATGCATGGCACACCGTTACGGCTAAATAAAACCCACCACACCTTAATATTTTTTTTTTCTTTCGTGGTTCTACCTCGGATTCATCAGTAGCTGTATCAGTAGCTATGTACACTTGTGGTGCACTGCGGATCGTGCACTAGCAGTAGCAAATTATGTTTGATCACACAGCTGATTCATTACACACACACACACATACACACCACCACAGATAGATTCCCATCCTGCAGGAAACTGACACAGTTTTTGAAATGAAAACGGTCATTGTCATCATCAACATTTTTATCACAATTTACCGTTATACCGGTTACCATTACATCGCTACTTTGTAGACAGAGGCCTTGGTTCAAGGCAGGACAAATGTGTAATCCTTTATGGGAAGTCATTCCCCACTTTTTCCATCTGTTAAAAAGAGCAAGACATTGTTTACGTTGAAAAATAAACGTATAAAAATGTGTTTAACATGTTCAAGAAGTATAAATGGTCCAATATTGCACTTCCTTGGGTCTTAATGGGTGTTATGAAACACTTAACAGACTCAAGCCCAAACTGTGTTAAATCAAAAGTGAATATCGTGGAGTACTCTTCGCCTCAGATGCTTCTTATAGAAAGGAGCTTGGATTTGAACAGGACTACGCTTTCTAAAAATAAAAGCACTCAATGAGGTACTTCAAGTCATTTTGGATAAAAGTGTCTGCTAAATACCATTTAGTATATTGTATTGCTACCATTAAAGCAATATGGACCTCACTCTCTCACTGCCCATTGACTTCCTCCATTCCCAATGGACCATCTATCTGTCCATTGACTGCCATTTAGTGTCAACGGGTCCATAACTCGTTAGCAGAATGACGTTTAGACGCTCAGAGGCTCATTACAGAGGCCAGGGGTTAGACGGCTGTTGAGGGGACACTTCACCGTCTATCTCTTTGCACTCGCTGTCAGTTTATCTACCTTTCTCTTACACATATTATCTGCACTCTCAGGAGTAACATGCTTTATTCATTAACATGCTTCTGCCATGTTTTTAATTCTAATAATGCATCTCTATAACTTGTTTTTGGCTCTACCCTGCATGCGTGGGCTTCTTCTAGTCTGTCTGAATGAGCTGCTCTTGGCCTGCTCGCTCTAGGGGGTCAATTATGCCCTTACTGAACAGATTAAACAAATCCATGGGCAGATTTGAGCAACACGAGGATGAAAACACACTGGGCAGCTCTGGGTAAACTTTGTGCTCATGTTTAGACTGAATTAGACCTTGAGAGGAACCAGGAAGTGGAGTGATTGATGCGTAATTCATAGAGCTAATAGCAGCCACGGTCAATTCAAAGTATTATTTAAAAATGCTCTGTATGGTGTTGTGGAATATGCTGTTTTAGACGATGAATGCAGAAAAGAAAAAGGTATCTCTGAGTTTGAAGAGAGGTTCTTAACACGCACAGGGACGGTTCAAGGTTGAAGCCAATTTTTCTCTTACTTCAAATTATGCATTTCACAAAATACTTCAAGAAGACACTCCCAACATCAGCTTCACACTGTGGGGGAAAGGAGCATGTTTTTAAAGGTAAGTTCCAACATTTTTCATGTATCATGATAAGCGCAGTGTCTAAAATACATTTTTCTATTTCACTACCAACTAACTTTACTTCCTCTTCAGGTTCCCTGCTGATGTCTCATCGACTCCAGGTAATCCACACAAATTCAAGACAAAACAGAACAAAACAAACAAACTAAAAAAAGCTCAAAGTAAACTGAACATGGTCAAACGTTTACAGAGAAACAGGAACTAATGAGTGGTCACTTCTTCCAGGCTTGAGGCAGCTTTCCTCAAACAGGCTGCTCTTTTTTTCTTGTTCTTCTTTTCATGGGGAACTTTCTCTTTTTGAATTTGTTGTTGTTTTTTTTTTTTTTACTAAATCATCCCTTCATTCTCAGTTTCTTAAATACTAATCTAATTAATTTATCCTTTTTGCCTTTGTGCTGATAGGGCAACATTCTTCACGTTTTCCCACTATTTGCATTAAAGAAATGTGCATTAACCTTTACATGGTTCATTCAGAGTTTTAAATGTCAGTGCATGATGCAGACGCTGTTGTAAAATAAAAGGTTGCCCATAGACTAGACTTTCTGTTCAGTGTAATTCCTGCTGTTTGCTGCTAATTTGGCCACAGGCTGAACAAACAGGTATTAGAATTTTGCAAATAGAAGAAACAAGCTTGTGCACAAAAAAGACATGAAAAAGCAAACTTAGCATATAAAAATGCTCACTGTGTACACGTCTGCAGGGCAACCAGACCTTGTGACTGACTGTTTCAGCTCAAAAGGAGAACACAAAAAAACGTATTTTTAATTGAGTTGGTTTTCTTTCTCAAACTCTCACTGAAGGCAAACAAAAGATAAAGTATCACTAGTATTGGATTATGAAATGGAAATTAAACCTTGGATAAAAAGATAAATTATCACTTCCTAACTACATTTTGTCAGGTTTTAGCTGTAGCTTTGTGAAAATGTTGAACAAAACTGTGCCTTTCTGGTGTGATTAAATTAAAAGTGTCTTAAAAAATTTATTATAAAGGTAGCGAGATGACTCAGATTGAAAGTACTGCCCCAAAATTAGGATGAACCTCATTATTAGTGATCTGCTTCTTAGGCGCATTTAAAAAAATTAAATAAATAAATAGAGAATAAAAAATACCTAAGAAAAGGTACTATCAAGCAAAACACATTGAACATATTTTAAGGTAAATGTCAAATTTAAATGTAGTAAAAGGTGATCAAATGTAATGCGTTATGCGTTATAGTTTTCATTTCCGGTAACCAGTTTATGACATCTGCAGACATGGCGGTTCTCCTAATGGCATTATGGTGGTATTCATGGAAGAGCTGAAAATAAATCAACAAAATCAGTAAAAGAGAGGAAATAGAAGACAAGGGTGGAGCAACATGCTACTTCATAAGCTTAACTTTACCTTACATGTGGTTTAACTTTTGTTTTGCGTTTAAGTCTATTAGTTAACAAAGTTATGGATCTGGGAGAAAACAGTCAAATGATTGGTTATAAATAATAGGAGTATCAGCTTTAATATCGTTTTTGGATTCATAATAAATCAGAATGTCACCTCTCCCAAAGGGCTGCTACAGATAGCTGTCTAGCAGTCCACTTCTTCTTCATCTCCTATAAAGAACATGCAGCCCAGCATCAGGACCATGATTATGATCTCACGGTGTTACTGTATGCTTATTTTTAGTGTCAGTTACCATTAGTGACAGCAGAAGTGACTAGCTTCTGGCGCCTTAATTTTTAACCAGTACTGACATATGTAGACCGAACTGCGGTTATTGAAAAAAAAAAAAAAAAACCTTTTCAGATAGTTAAGAGGAAAAAAAAACTTATATTTGTGTAAGAAAATGTGTTGTTTCTAAATTTTATCCATTGCCGACATTATTTTCTTAATTACTTATCTTCACATGCTCAGCCTTCCTCTCAATCTGTACAGCTCAGCTAAAATGTTACATCAGATATTAGAAGATATTAGGCTTTGGCTTTTCTATTTTAGATCAATGTAAACAGGATTATGCAAACCACAGCCTTTCTCTGCCAGTTTGTGGTTGCCTGTGGGAAGCTGTTTTTATACAAGGAAAAGGCTGTTCTAAGTGCTTATTTAGGGAAACGTTACGGCCTTGCCAAGTGAGAGTAATAATGAAATTATAATCTGATAAAATTGTGTTTTACCTTAATGCGGCTTTTCATCAGCACAGCACTGCCCTTTAATTGCAGTAATGACAATCCTTGGCTCGCTGGTACAATCTTTAATAAAATGAGTGATGGAAAAGGAATGTTGAGACAAGTGAGCACAAACACAGACACAAGCGGGTGTGACAGCCACCTGCGGGAAGCTCCTCCCTTTCTCCCAGCAGCCCTGTATAAAAGACAAGTTTTTAGGTGTCTCAGTCAGAAACATCTTTGTCTTGCTGTCTCCCTCTGTCTCAGAGTGAAGATGACACCGAAGATGAAGCTCGCCGTGTTTGTTTCCCTGCTGATGGTTTTCCCCTTCCAGACCGAAGCTGCCTCATGTATCGGTAAAACGGTAGACGTGTGGGTGATTAACGGCCATGATCTCACCGGAGACGGACTTCAGCACCCAGACCCCTACGTTAAGGTGAGTTGTGGAAATCCCTCTCAGGATGTAATAAAAAAAAAACTGTTGGAGAAACTTTTCCAGACTAGAAAGTAAATTAGTCAAAAATGTTAAAAATTACAAGAATGTCAGCATAAAGTGAAACATTGACATAAAAAAATCCAGCAGGTTTTTCTTTCATTTGATGAGTTAACCACTTGTAATTTTATTTTGATTAATAATGTCACTGGTTAAAAACAAACTGCCATTTTTAATCAGTTCGTTTACAGATTTTAATCAGAAAATCCAGTAAATTACTGAACAAAAGCGCAGTCAGTGATGTTTTCTTGAATGAAATGTGGGTATTTTTACATTAGTCTAAAGAATACAGCAAAATGAATTAAGGAATTAGGCTACTACTAGAAGATTTATTGATAAATTTGACTGGAATAAAGAATGTGCTTCTAATATTGTCTTTTCTTTGATGTCCACCATTTTGCTCTTTTCCCTTTTGATCTAATTCAGATTAGAATCGGAGAAGTCACCAAGCGAACCAGAATCGTTTACTCAAATGCTGACCCAGTTTGGTACCAGAGGCTACGATTCTACGAAGTGACCAGTAGCTTGATGAGAATCGATATCTGGGAGGCTGACCGGTTCACCGCTGATGACCACTTGGGAACCTGCATCGAGCAAATGGATGCAGAGGGAACTGAGTGGCATCCAGTGGTGTGCAGGGCAACGGACCAAGGCTACGTCAAGCTCTTTTACAGATGTTTTTAAGTATTTTAAGTAACTGGCTCTTGAAGAAGTGGTGAAGAAAAGACACTTTCTCTTTGAAATGTGCAGTTGCAGAGAAATTGTAATAATGTAAGTTGACTTTATATAATATTTAAGTTGACTGTTTCTACACCATTATATTTTGGTTTCTTGAGTTTTCTCTCAAACTTGATCTTGAATGTTTTGAAGATATACTAATATATTGGAATGCAACCATGTACTTGATAATAAACTGCATAACTTTCTTCTTGAAAGTTCACAAACAGAGAAACGTCTCACAAAAAGGACAAAAACATTTGTTTAAAGAGGGCTGAGTGTCTATTTTAAATAAACCGCAGCTGCTCACTATCTTCTCTGATGAGAAAGTACTATTCTGAATGAGAAAGTGAATAAATCAAATTAAACGAAGACAACAGCATTGTCTAAGATTTTTTTTTGTCGGGACACTCACTTAAAATGTGCTTTACATACAACAAAGAGAATAAAAACAACCAAAATTCCATGTGTCAACTCTCCAGCCCAACAACACAAAACAAAACTGACATCATTTTAGAGGAAAACCATATCAGCACAATCAGATTCAGCAATAAGAAAATGCAAAGAAACATACCACAAACACCCAGGTCCTTGATCAGAAGGGGGTTGTCATTGAGCCTTGTCACATTATCCTTCAATAGAAAACCATCTAACACCAGGCGCGAATTCGCCAGGCGAATTATTCGCCTTTTTTAAAACAGCATAAAGTCAATGCAAGCTTCCACACTGGCGGCGATTTTTCTGCAGGGCGAAAAGCGTCTTTTATTTTTTTGCTCTTGTGTCGAATTTTTCGGCGATTCGCAGGCGAATATCTGGACCTGCTAGACCTCTGGCCAATCAAAAGTCATGTTGTTGATGACGTCACAGACCCATGCGGAATTTTGGGGGGTAGAACTTCAGCTGCTGGATGGTGGTGTGGAACTCGCCCATCTCCTTCCTCAAAGTCAATATGGGATGTACCCAAACACTCCTTTGTTTATTCTTCCGTCTTCTTTTTTTTGCCAAAAGCATCACAACGAGCTCATCATCGCTTGAGGATGTTGTTGACTCAATTTCTCTGTTCTCCTCTCCTCCGTGGCGCAAAAGAACTCACGCCAAAGACAATATATATTTATTAATTCGCTTAGCAAAATTTATACGCATGTTCGCTTCGCGCCCCGTGTGTATAGGTGAAAGCTATTTTTGGGACCAGCGAATATTTTCGTCTCGCTTTTTCACTTCGCTCCGCAAATTCACTGGTGTGTAAGGACCTTTACTCTTTAGAGATGGTAAGGCCACCCAGACATGGCTTTTGTCAGTCACAATGACACACTTTTATAGGGGATTTAACAATCACAGGTCCCAAGACCAGATGTCCATGCTATAAGGCTGCAATTGTGCTTGATATGACCAGTCTGATCTCTGCCCTGATAAACTCCTGAAATATTGTGTAAATGGTTGAAAAAAAAAAAAAAAGTCAGAAAGAAATCTCCATTTGGGGTCAAATATAAGCTGATCTGGTTTTTGATGTTAATAAGAAGAACAATTGTGACATTACATGAATCCCATTCCCATGAAAAGTATACGATAGCAACTCCAAGAAGGATGTTAGTTTAGTTATTTCTAATTTCAGAAACAAAACCATCACAACCAGTTATTAGACAATCTTCCCGAACCCCCATTTAATGTCCCATTCTGCTTTAGTGATACCCATGTTTATTTATTTATGCATTGTTTATTTTGAACCCTATTAGCTTCCACAAAGTGGTTGCTAGCCTTGCTAGTCCATGAACATACATTTACATGCTCTGCATTGAAACATCTGCAGTATTACGTATTTCTTGATGGTTTGGTGACGTAACCTCAACTGTAAAATGTAGGATGAAGGATGTGTCATTATTTACATATGTTCTACTTAAAAACACCCCTCCCAGCTAATGTCATCACTCAGTATGAGAAACTGTCAGAAGTTTACCATAACTCCACTTGTTTGTTTTCATACAAACTAATTTGGCTATTCTAGTTATTTTTTTTGTTAATTTTCCTTTTATAGAACATGTAAAACCTGTGACTAGATAAACTAAATCCACCAAACGCAAATATGGCATTTGATGCCTTTGAAGCTTTACACTTTAAAATTGATAAATGATAGACACCAGTCCCTCAACATTTTTCTAGTCTTATGAAAGCAATTTTGTATACTTTGTATGATACTTTATATAATCATTTTTATTGCACCTGAAATAAAATAATGCTATCAGATTTTTCTCTTTAAAAAAGAAAGGTAATGGCAATTATTCAGAGGGTTGGATAACTAAAAGCTGTGAGTCCTTTTATCTTTTTTTTTTTGCTATTTTTCATTGCAGAGTCGACGTCCTGAAAGTTTTTAGACTGTTGATTTGCCTCTAGATATTTTGTCAGGTGTCACTTATGTAAAGATCTACACTGCCTCAAGTCTTGTTCTAGAAATGCTGTTAAACATGCAGGTGTGACTGTTTCTTCAAGGCCCCTCCCTACATCTCTGTTGTTTTCTATAAAGTAGTCAACCTTTTCAACATTTTCAACAGGAGCGTTGTTGTTGTCGGTGTCTTCCTCTTGGACCGAAGACATCTGTAAAGATGAAGCTCGCCGTGTTTGTTTCCCTGCTGATGATTTTACCCTTCTATGCCAAAGCTGCTTCATGCGTCGGTAAAAAAGTAGACGTGTGGGTGATTAATGGTCACGATCTTACCGGTGATGGACTTCAAAACCCTGATCCCTACGTCAAGGTGAGCTGATTGTCTAATGTGGGGAAACTTGACTTCAGAGGGGATGGGAGATGTTATATTCCTTCAACAGATAGATACAGTCACCATACTAGCAAGGTTTTTATTCCAATGTGGACAACAGGACAGTTTAATAGGTCCACTATTGGGTCTGGAAAAATGAATATTGCATTTTCCTTAAAACTTTGCCTTTACTCAAGTTGACATTAGATGTAAAGCGTAAATGTCATTGTGTGTATATATGAAAATGTCTTTGCTAAAAGCATAACAGCAACTGATATTTATTTCGAATTAAAGCAACAACTTAATCGTACTTACAGATAACATGATTTTTCGTACAATATGTACATCTACCCTTTCCTTTTCACCTGCTTTTGTATGTAGTTCATTGTTTTCCATGTGGTCATATCTAATGGCAGTTATCATTTTTATCTTGATTTTATGCAGATTCAAATCGGCAGTGACAACAGGAAAACCAAAACCATTTATGGGAATGCCTACCCAGTTTGGTACGAGAAGTTTCACTTTAACAAGGCCAGCAGTGATGTGATGAAAATCGAGGTGTGGGAGGCCGACACCTTTACACACGATGATCACTTGGGAACCTGCATGGAGCCCTTGGAGGCCGGAGGAACCCAGTGGCGCAAAGTTGTGTGCAAAACTGAAAATGATGGTGATGTGAAGCTCTACTACAGGTGTAGCTAAGAATCACCTGCTCTGAAAATGGGAGTCAACGCGGTCCTTGAAATGTTTCATGACAGGACAATAGAACTTTTTCTCAGATAAGCTGTTTTAGTTTTCCGGTAGATTTTTTTTGTTTTGCAAATGTTTTTTTGTTTGCTTCCTCTGCAGAAAACAGCTTATAAGTTCCACTTTGGGCTATTTGGTGACAAGTGCAATAATGTAACACAAAAACATTACAAATAAGTGCAATCATTGTGTCACCGTAAGCTGTTTTTCTATGTGACTCTGTTGACTTCAGCTGTCATGTATCCTTTAAATAAACAAAAGTGAAAAAAAAGAAGCTTTTTGGCTTTGTTTTTTTTTTGTGGGTTTAAAAACAGGAACAAAATTATCGATGAAAAAGAACACACTAAAACCATAACTTGCTTTAAAATGCCCAGAATGGCTCTATAAAACAAGTTATACTGGTGACTAAGCTGGGGGCATGTACTCAAAGCAGCTGTATTGACTTTGGATAATTAGGTCCTATTGTGAGTCAGAAAGCCACTTCAATTAAATCAGAATCAGAACCTTCTTCAATTAAAAACGTTTTACATTTAAAAGTAGATACCAAAAACATTTCACTGCAATCCTTGATTAAAACAAGCAAAAAATAAAAAATCTGAGTCTGTTTTCACTTCTCTTGAGTTCTAGTTGACAAAGCTGATCTTTAATCAGATGCAAGCCAAAGATTTAAAGAAGCTTGAGCAAGCATGGATGCACAGCAATAAATTATGGCGTCATCAGCATAGATGCGAAAGCAGCATTTGGGACATTCTATCCAAGACAATTTATTTAAGTAGTAAACAGTAGTGGGCATGGAGCTGGTCCTTGTGTTACCTCTGAGCCAATACCTTCTAATTTAAAAGCTTGGAGACAAACCACCCATCTGTGTATGTTTAGGAATACCAAAAATCTTTGAGACGTTCGAGAAGGATGGGGTGGTCAACAGTATCAAAAGCTCTGGAAACGTCAATAAACAGAAAGACAATTCTGCTTATTATCTAAGGCTTCAAGAAGGGTAAGCCAATATCTGCTCACCTTGTATAGATTTTAATTTCCATAGAAACTCATTCACTATACTTTATTTTAAATCCAGTGGGCACTTAGTCCAAATGTTTAGAGCATTCACAGTCACATGCTCGTAAAGCTGTCACTCTTGATGCAATGAATTGTTGTTCACAGTTTCAGAAGCCATATGATGACATTATTTTGATTTCTGCTGCTGATGGACGAGTTTTACAATCCTGCATGGAAGTTTTCCTTCTTGTTTCTTGTGCTCTCTAGCTTTTATGACTGATACTTTTGTTGCTAGGGGGACAGTTTAAAGGTGCTGGTGTATTTATGTAATCTAGTGTGTGTCTGAAATGGACCTTTATTTCTTCTTTTCTTCTTTTTTTTTTTTTTTTTTTACCCCTACCAGTTGTATCTCTTCTCTCCTTGCCTTTACCCTGCATTTAACCTGCTTCCTCTCTCCTTCTCCACCCCTCTGAGCTCCATGCTAATCATGCACTAGACAGTTCCACAGGCCCCCAATTCCACTTCAAAGGGCAACCATTTCCTCCTTGTCTGTGAGAGAACCTGTCAGCCCTGCCTGCCTACCTACCGCCAAGAGAGCAAGAAAAACAGAAAGAGAGAGCGGGAAGAGATGGTAGACAGAAGGAAAAGGATGTCAGGTTAAAAAAAAAAGGAGTAGAGGAAAAGAGGCAGAAAAGTTGAGAGCTGGGTCCTCGAGGAGTAGGTAGAGGTAGTGTCAGTGCTGTGGGTGGCACTTGAGCGGATGAGTCCCGTCAGCACTGAGGTGCGTTTTTGTTAAGTATGTGTTAAAAGTATCTGAGTGCTCACAAGGTAAGAACAGCACACGTCAGCTCTCCGCCAATCTTTAACTAGGAGGAGAAAAATAGGCATGAAAATGGTCCTGAGAACCTTTTCTGTTTTTTTCCTCCCCTCTCCCTAAGAAAAAAAAAAAAGCTTTACCTTGCGATTTGTATTTGAACTTTTCTCCCGCTTCGCCTATCTCTTTTTCTCTTTAACTTCTCCTCCTCCTCCGTCTCCTCCTCCCACTTCTCGCTTGCTCGCTTTTCCAACCCGCAGGAGGAACAAGCGGGGAAAAGAGAGAGCGAGCGGCGCGGTGTCCTGTTCCTCCCCGTCTCGTTTTCGAAGCGTGAATTAAAGTTGCATTCCGTGCCGCCATTGTTAGGGTAATAAGAAAAAGTTATCTTCAAAGGGTTCAGGCAGCGGAGGGGAGAGAGAGCCAGGGGGGTGCGAGACGAAGGGTGTGTGTGTGTGTGTGTGTGTGTGTGTGTGTGTGTGTGTGTGTCTGTGTGCGAGCCAAGATTTTTTCTTGAGTCCTTCTAATGCGTGAAATTACACCTGCCACCATCCTAACTGTGCACTGCCAGAATGCGTGAGTGTGTTTCTGCGTGCACATGGTCACACACCTCCCTATTTGCTTACGAACTCATCCACATACAAGTACCTATGTGTATTGTACATGCCGAACAATACTCGAGTTAAACACGCACGCCTCACCACACATCTTCCTGTCAAGGGTGTCCTGACTAAAGCCATATTTCTGCTAACACGGTGCGCAACACTACATTCTTATTAACGTGCCCAATTCCTATTAACAGTCAGTCCCAGATAGCAAGTTAATTAACTCTCTGCCCTCCTTCTCCCCTGGCTATCAGCGCACAGGTAGCCTTTCATGTTGCCACTGAGAGATAGAAGGAGGAACAGGAAGGAGGAGGGGAGAGAGGTGAGTGGAGAGACGGAGAAAGACGAAGAAGAAACAGAGAGGGAGAGGGAAGTGGTAGAAAGTAATGGTAGAAGAAAAGGCGAATTGAAGAGACAGACGAGAAAAAAGGGAACATAGCGGGGAGAGAGACGAGCTAAATTGGATTTGCGTGAGAAACCGCTGAGAGGGTTGTAAAGTGGCAGAAAATTTTAGTTTTTTTCCCCTCGTCTTTAAATTTCTTCATCTTCTCGTTTTTAAATGTTGAGCATTTAAACACCTGCTCAGAGTGCAGCAGGAGATGAGACGAACAAGGATTGAGAAGGTGAGCTGAGGAGGCCAGAGGTTGGGATGAGAGTAGCTCGAGTTTGATCTCTGGTGTACTTCAAGAACGCTGACATCCAGGACATCTGCGTGTCTTATACTGGGAGCTAAGGGCCCTGCTGGAGAACTGGTTTAGTATCAAAGTGCCAAAGAGTGGAGGCTGATGTCATTCCTAATTATAAAGATATTAAATCCTTTGTGGGACACTGAGGATGCTTCCCGCTGGCATTGATCTGCTAGATTTCTGCAGCTCAACAGTGGCTAGTTGTGAAGTGATGCATGTGTACTTTGATTTGTGTGACTGTTGTGTGCTTGAAGCCATGAAACAGATCGGCTCTGCTCAGTCATAACAAGCTCTTTTTGGCACTTAAGATTGAATGTTTCACACTGGAGGTAAGCAAGTCTGGACATTTAATATTATGTCAATAATTCATCCAGCCCAACAGTGGTTTGCAATGTACCCATCTGAATTTCTTTCATACCCATCTGACAGATCTACTCTCTGTCTACTTACAGAGACAGGTTATCAAATTATTTAGCTGTTTTTAGCACTTGTATTAAAATGACAAATTAAGATTAAGGTTTACAAAGCCCTCTAGTGGTCAGAATGCTCTCGTTAAAAAGGACTGCCAAAGAAAGACTGCAAACGTGGGAGGTACAGAGTGCGCCTTTAACTTCAACAGCCGGCTTGTTGTAATACCAGTTAGACTTTAAGTGATTTTCCCTGAGTATTCACAAGTTAAAAATATGAATGAATTTTTAAAAATTACGATTGTGAAGTTGAAGAATAATTTAAATCAACAAAAACTTTCTTAGATGAGAGGACCTGAGATGCTTGAATCAGTATTCAGGCCTATAAACACATCTGAAGAAATACCAGATAATAACAGGTCATCACTGCAATGTTCCTCTCCCTGCACGTGTTTAAAAGTAAGTTGTTTCCCAAAGAGATCAATTTTCTACTTTTACCGAACTTTGATATTGGGCTAAAATGAGCAAACAGCAGAAGTGTGAGTTCGTAGAGGTTGTCCTTGCTGCTGGTGGCCACATGTCATATAAGGGGGGAGTAACAGGGCAGCAGAATGTCTGAACTGGCTCTCAAAGAGATGACTCAGCACTATTGAAAACTGAGATTTCATGATTTGAGTGTATGTCTCAATCAACTGAACTCTCAAACTGTTAGATTGTTGTTTTGTTTCCACTCAGTGATTCTCACAGGACGGGAATCTATATGTGGTGGTTTGATGGATTTTGGAGCAGGGGCTAATTTATCAGCTGTGTGATTACAGACGACAGCTTGCTAAAGCTAATGCTAATACTCAGCGTGCACTGCATATACTGATACATACTGCGTCAGTTGTTGCACCATCACGCAGTAAAAAATTCCTAGTCTGTGAATCCTGTTTATTGACAATGGCAATAAAACCCCTTCTGATTCTGATTCTGATTCTGATGTTTTCAGTAGCGTTGGTTTGTTTGTTTGTTTGTCTGTTAGCAACTTTACGGAGAAAGTAACGGACGGATTGACCTGAAATTTTCACCAGAGGTGCATCTCAGCCCCAGGAGGAGCCCATTAAATTTTGGTGGTGATCCGGACAAAATTCTGGATAATGTGATCCAGAACACACAAAAATAAGGGTGTCGTTGAAATTTTCAATGCTAAAAGATAACCAGTGGGCGGCACAGTGGTGTAGATAGGCGGCACAGTGGTGTAGTGGTTAGCACTGTCGCCTCACAACGGGGGGACATGAGCTGCTTGGCGGAGGTCTGCGCTCTCCGAGTGCTTTTCTTGTTTTTAAGGTGTGGAGGCTTTTATTTAGCTGTGGCAATTCGCCACATTCATTTACATGTCGGGGAAACCCTGCACTCAGTTCCATAACTCACTTATGGGGATAATATCGTTATCATGATATTGTTTGGCCAC